TTTTATCAATGATTTCGCTTAAATCCTTTCAACTGTTTGCAATTTCCAAGTTTTCTAGTGTTTGCAGCTGCAGAAGGTAATTAAAACTGCCATCATTACATGCGTTGGACGATTCGACATATTCCTTGATTAGCTATATAATTTCAAGTATGACATCATTTATCAAGCCACTTTTTATTCTTATCAATAGTCAATGTATCACTGAAATTTGTACGCGCAGATGTGCTGTGAGATTTCTTTTAGGCACTAAGCCAGCGTCACACCCTTAACATACCCAATAGACGTCCTTCTGTGATTTCTATACTTTGCCCTCCTGAAACCAATCTGAAAAATTGCTTGATGAATTTGAAAGGGGCTGAATTTGCTGTAAGGATGAACTTTGAGTCAGTTAGAGAATGCGTGTTTCTGACTGGCTTTCTTCCGACCTCACGAGTCCCTCAATCTTTGACATCACTGTATTTTGACATAGTTGTTACTCTAGTTGTAAAGGACTGGATATCCCATTGTTACTAACTCTAATCGAAGCCAGAAATGACGTTAGTTGGAATGAGAGTTTGTAAAACCAGTTGTTCGTTACACCATGTTGGGTAGTGAAATAGATATTTAGTTTTTCAATCTCAGAAGCTTGATAAATTAAGAGTTGAGGGGGTGTTTCGTTAAACCTGGATTCTATTAATTGGACGAATGAAAAAATCCTGCAGTTTACTGCTGCTTGGAAACTAAAAACCAGATTGCAACTCAAGAAAGGCAGATTTCAGATAAATTTTGTTAAAGCAATCTATAAGAACCTCTATCCTTTATCATCCCAAACTTTAATAATAAAACACAAGACCGATGATTATTCATTGTGGGCAGAATGTTTTCATCGGCATAATTTTGCCACATTCATAACGTATTGATACTTTTTTAGTAGCTGAGCTTTCAAAGTATGGCACTAAAGTATTTTCCTAATACATTAGAGTAGAAATAGGCTATGGTCCAGCATTGCTTGGAAGTTGCAAACCTGATTGTAGCCGAATAAATGCTGCTTTCAGACCAGCTTTGTAAAGGCTATCTTTAGTGATGTATTACTCTTACTCTAGACATAAATGACAAGGTTGATTATTCATGCAGTGCAGAACGGTTTTTAGCACCATGGGATATTTCCCTGAAAATTCTCTACCTGGCGTGCCTATACAAATTTCCTTTACCCCGACACTGTAAACCAAGCAATCCGCAGACTTTTCTCCAGTATCTATAAAGAATCATTGCTGTTTCCAGATGACTCGGAAAAGCTTGAAATCTTGCTTATTAGCATCTCCAAAAAGCATCGATAATCTGGATTACTCGGATTACGTTAATCTTCGAAGCCAATTTGGCAAATGTTAGTTGTTTAATGCTAATTCCCATAGCAGCTCCCAAAAAGCCTATTTAACAATACAGTCTCTCTGTGCGCAATCTCAGTAGGTGCTCTATAAGAGAGTTGAAAACCTGCAAAAGACGATTAGCAACACAGATATAACAATTCTTCGTCGTTGGACTCAGTCAACAAACCAGCTGAGGTTATGCTACTGCATTAGGGTAACATCTGGATATTGGCATGTTATAATACGCGAAATGTCAATCTGATATCAGTCACAGACTACCTGTGAATTCCCTACGATATCTATTTCAGAACTATTTTTACATGTAGCTCCTCTAGTCGAGTCCTCTTTCCTTTAGGATAAATCATGTAGATGAAATGAGTTTAACACATGCTTGGATCACGTGGATCATATTTGGTTCGATATATACCGAATTACATTTATTCCTTTCTTTGAAAACAATTATTGCGAATTTCTGAAAAGAAAATGTTCACAAGAGACTAGCAAAGTTTCGAAGCATACCCTGACCAAATTTGAGAAGGGCCTAAGATAACGATTTGCTGGTCAAAGAAGGCTCCCTCCACCCTGAAAAGAGCTGATCCTAAAAGAAACAGTTCATTGCCAAAGCTCATTCTAACAAGGAAAACTTTCCTTTATATCTTTTTTCATGAATCAACCAATAAAGTCTTGTAACCCCTGCATGCACTAGCGCCATTCCCATCCCATCGTACCTGTACTGGCTATGGCCAACATATCGGCTTGAAATCGCAAAGTAGAAAACCAATTCTTTTGGAACTAAATATCAGCAGATTAAATGAATTTTTCGAAAAGTGATTTGAACTTGTAGTATCTTTTCACTGCCCTCTTATGACGTTTTCACTTACAACTCTTATCCAAACATAGTCCAAACATAGTACAAAAATGCGGGTTCATGATGAATCATTCGCTATTCTTTTTTTAAGATACCACCGACCTCAGGTAAACCTGAGATCATTTCGGATGAATATGAATCTCACCCTGACTGGTCTAGAGAGAAATCCTGTCTGGAGAATATTTGACAAACTGAACTAAATTTTTTATTTCAACAGCGTATCTCTTGTTACTTTGTGGCTGATTAAGTTTTTTCTTCGACTGCCCTTTATTCTTTAGAAACTAAACTTAAAATTACTTTCAATCTTATTGTTCGTTTTTTTTAAAGTTCCGTAAAGACAAGATCGTTCTTTGCATTTATGATATACTCAACAATTTCCATGATAACCCGCCTACAAAGCTTTTTCTATCGTTGTTTATGTAATTAAAGCAAGTTATCGAAGAGTAATTGTAATTGTTTCTGCTAAATAAAACCAACAAAGATGGCTTTGCGCAAGAACATTTGAAATATCCAGGCATTCACCACTTGATGAAAGATTAGCTTCCAAATATAATCTTATTACTGTTATATATTCTTGGTAGCCAAATCTTTGTTCCTTATTCCTTTTGATATCTTCCCCGATCCAAGTCAACCACAAAAAAATTTCCGAAATATTTTAATTTAATTCATTTCTGATTGCCTCATCTAATGACTCTATTGGTCGTGCACAGTCCTTTCAAATAATGGATATATATGCATTCACGTTTTCTATAAGTATTTTTCAAGAATATCTCATTTTAATTTTGTTCAGTACTTACTTTACCGTTCCGAATGCACGGAGTTCAAAATTTTACTACCAACAGAAACAATGAAGATCATTTTGTCATTTTTCTTCCATTTAGATTGTTTGTAGTCTAGTTGGAATAAAGGAAAATCAGGGACACGTCCACTTTTAAAGTCAGCTTTCAACTTGAAAAAATAGGAAAGACGATAATTTAACTTTATTTCTTTTGCTTCCTTCCGTCACTACTGGCTGCAAATAATTCTTTTTACTGTATCAAAGCAGAATTTACCGAAGGACATATATTTGCAACTCTGACGTCTCCGGTAAATCCTTCCTAAAGGAAAAGTGGAATTTGAAGGGAAGGTTATGTAAGGCTAGATAGATTGAACAAGAACAATCTGAATGTGCATCATCTTTACAAAAATCAATGACTACAAGGAAGGGAAAGTTTCTTACAAACTGCCTTCCATCCAGTCTCAATCTGCCTCCCATCAAATCACGTGACTGGTTAATGTTCAATTTTAGAAAACCTCTTCTTGCTTAAAAGCTCTTGCTCAAACCGCGTGCTTAGCGGCAGTTGTCTCGAGAAATTGCATGTGTTTTGTATTTTCAAGATTTTAGGCCAGTTTTTGAATTATAATCGCAAAGCATGCTGGTTGCGCAAGAGCCTCAAAGGCTTACATACACTGTATTCTAGAGAAGGATCAAAGTATTTCTAAAGTAGGGCTATTAATTGCTGATCGACTGATAACTCGAGTCGCATAATTTTTGCTACGGCCTACTCGGCCATAGTTAGTTGCCAAGCCAAAGGATATGAAAAGTACTTTAGTTTAGTTTAACTTGGATGGATCGGAGATTTAAGGAGCAGAATATTTCAAGCTCTTTTGATAAACCTTTCATGACATGAAAATATAGAATTTGCATGAAAAACTAAACACTAAGATTTGAAGGAAGATCGTCTTGACAGGCTGAAGTTTCGAACTCGACGATTATATATCCCATAATCCTTTGTATTAAAAGTTTCTTTGACCGATTTATCAAATATAATTAGACGACTAAATCTCATTTGATTTTCTGCTTGATAAGATCTCTTATCGCATAAAGGAAAGCTCATCATTTTGAAAAGGGAATATAACATTGTGTAACAGTTCTCTTTCTACGAGGTGCAAGCTCTTGAAAAATAGAAATTAGCTCTTTGTGTTATGACTTGATCCATCTTGCAATAGATACATTAACATGACCTGAAATCTCGGGCAACAAACCCTTATCATGTATTGAACTATCATACGCTTTTCTTTCGAGATTTCAATATGGTTTTCACCATCGGCGATTTTATCTCAGTTTTGCCTAGCACCATATTGTTTATTCCCTCCAAAGCATACTCACCCTCCACCTCATAAATCGTAGTTTAGTCACTAAGAATTCTTGGAAATTTTGATTAACAAAATAGGGTTAGCTACACCCTGACCTTCTATTTTTCCAAAAGAAAAGCTTAGCAAGTTCACTAAAAAGGTCGGAATTTTGACTGCATGGCGCCGTAAGATTCGTAACGCCGTGTTTACACATATCTTTTACAGGTTTTATTCTATTTGTTGAAACGTGTGAATTATCTGTGACGTCATTCAACCGAGCAACAGAATAATATTTCTTTGTGATTGTCGCTCTAAATCCAACATGCTTAGTTTGTATGGGTTTTTTCCCTTCATTTGCAATTGGTGTCCGATGTAATTATGTCTTGAAAAGTATCTTATGGCTTCTGTTTTTTATTCTGTTCATATCGTTTAAATAATGCGATCCATAGCACTCTGTATCAACGGGACACAGAAACCAAATCTTCTTCCACTCAAGCTCTTTTGCAGCTTTTGGTGTAGACTAATATAAAGCTATACGACTAACTAAGAAACTAATAACAGCTTTTCTCAGTGAAATTTCGTTGTATTATTATTTTTATTCATATTTTAGGCTTAAATACATTATTTCTCGTACCATAGGGCATTTATCAAATGTTTCTTCTAATTCACAGGAAACGACATTTCTCGAGGATAAGGCTCCGAACTCAGCTATGTGTCAAGTATGTGTCCACCTTTTTAACTTTTTCTCTTTTTAAGTGGCTAAATTTGAATAAAAAGTAAACAGGTGTTTAGACAGGTCATTATACTATTCTCAAAAAATTTTCATTTTCACAAAACTGATGAATATGGAATGTTGTGCAAAATGATTTTTGTTAACTCGATATAAGCATTAAATGGTGTTTTCACAAATAAACAACTGGAATGAAATTTGAAGAAGAGGAATTGTTCAATCTTTTCTTTAAGTTTAAGCTGGTTTAACTTGATTCCAGCCACTACGATTAGATTTTTACATAAACGATGCACTGAGATGGTTGACAAGCATTTTTACACTGATTTATTTATTCAACTACCATAGCGGGGGAAATTTGGGGTTTCAAGAAATGATATGATCTCCGTGATTGACTCACCCAAAACTCCTTCTTCTGCTTCTATTACTAATATGTATGTTATTTAGTCATTGTAGTCATTTTAGTTAAAACATACATCTGCAAGAAATATTAAACTTAAAAGGAATCGTCGATGTTTCTTGGAGAAACTAAAAACAACACTGAAAGATAGGAAAACCGCACTTTTACTAGGCAATGGAAACTTCTGTTAAGAACCTAAAAGGGCACTGATTGGAAATACAAATGATTCCCTTAACCCGACAATATGTATTACATGTCTATGAGATTGTGTTTTTCTTCACATTTTCTTTGACTTGACTTTCCTCACAAAGTTTGACCTTAGGTTATTCATAACCGACATGTTTTTCATTCCAACAAACCATTCTTAAATATAACTTTTGTAAGCTATCCCCCTGATCGTAACTATGGCTTTCTGCTTAAGGCTAATCAAAACGGATTACAGTTAATGCAATATTGTAGCAGCGTTGTTTACTGTACTGGATAAATGATAGTTATTCACGTACAGTAGGAGCCCCCGTCTGGAGATCCGGTTCGGCAAGAGACCTGAACACTCATGTTGAGTAATTGGAAAGTATGATAGCATTTTTAAATGAAATTTCTCATTGGCCGTAAGGACGCAAGCTGGAGTCTTTTCAATGGAGAAGAAAGGATGATCGGGGCAATCTTTTATTAAGCGGAAATATGGCTTTTGCACTGGCTGGAGTTTACACTAAACTAAGTTTGCATGCTTAAAGAACTTCAACCTGACCTTTGTTGTTTTAGAAATTCATGCAAGGCAAATGAATGCTTCTATAAGGCAGGTCCATGACTGAAACCCAAGGCTGACATCTACGTAAGGTTTGTGGGCATTCCATTTTCTTCCTCTGTTGATATTTATGTACTCGTGTTGCACGTGTGCATGGAACAGGTCTGTGCTAAGCATTTTAAGAAACGTGATGCTAATTTTGATATTATGACAGTTTTTTTCAATTTCTAAGCTATCATCGCCAATAAATTTAGGTTCAGATTGCTGATCAATAAAATTTTAACAAAAAAATACCCTATTGATCTCTTTCTCATATGCTCTGCAATACCTTTACATGTTTACATAAAATTATGTCACATTTCATACAATATAAATTTTTATGTTTGGCTTCAGCGAACTATTAGCACAAGTAATAACTAGAAATAACCTATGCTAAGAAACTTTCCTATCTGCTTTTCCTTTTTCAAAAAATGGAGATGCAGTCCTAGGATTAGGCTTTCTCAAATACACAGACTCTAAAATGTCTTTAAAAAGCAACCTTAGATTTTCCTATCAGATTTTTCTTTTTCTATAAACTTCTAGAGTTAATGCTTACCAAGATATTTTTCCTGGAATACAGTTTAAAGCTAGCAAAACAAAACTGGATTTGCTCCCTGTTAACAAAAAGGGCAATTTAATAAAGCATCATATTTGTTGGAGAATATGGAGTAAATATTTGCTGTCAAAAGCGATTATCAATCTGCCACCGTTTTCCAAGTTATTTTACTCAGTGTTCAGATGGAAGGTGGCTGTAGAAAAGAATCGTTCCATCACTAATAAATTTAGCATTATTGCCAAGATAAGCTCTGGCTTGGAATGCAATGAATCCGGATTTTGGGTTCAGATCTGAAAGTCTTTTTGTTTATTGATAGCCATATCAAGCTTCATTGACTTACATGTTCCAGCCTGATTCATTTCGTTTTGATCGTAAAAACCTCCCAATCGTAATGAATTTGAACTATATTTTAAAATCATATTACTGATAAGCTATAGGCGTGGGTTGACTTCGCTTTCAACGGGACATATAACGCAAGACAGGTGTTGGCCATTTTGCTGGGTCTTGGTAAAAATTCATTAGTAGATATATGAAATGGGGTCAGGGAAACACAAGAGTTGTAGCATAGAACTTTTGCGTTGCAATATAACCATCAACTAGATCGACAATGAAATGTACTCGAAACTCTCGTAACTTTCCCTTTTGTACTCGAAACAGTCTTTTACAGTATTAAATGTAATGAGGAATGTTCGTGGAATTTAGAAAATGGACAAAGTAATTGGTTTAAGGAAAAACGGGTGCAGAGATAGGGCTTTGGTGCTGGGATGGCTATGTGGTTTGGGTCGCGTACAACATATCCAACTATAGGAGGTTGGGCTCCTAGACATGACTAAACTTTCACTTAGATTAAGGGGAGTCTCCAGCTCTTTGAAGTTCAAGGCGTATGAATCACGAGATGTTATCACATCAAGTGGCCCGACCATGACACTTTTCAATAAGCATAGCTTCTCTGTCTTAAAATCTACCTTCGGGATGCCAGGCAGAAACAAAAAAAAAATTGCACAGATTCTTATCCGGCTGACATAGTTGTAAAAAGTCTATATATGCACCAATATATCAATGGTACAACTGATGAAAATGAACAATAATGAGCTGTTTACAGTAAATTGTTTCTCGCAATTATTGTAGAAGTTTTTCCACTTTAAAGGCAGACGTCATCTGCAATTTTCATTGGAAAACATTTTTCAAGGGTCAATTCATCACGTGATAAGCGAGTGTTGCTGTGCAGTGTGATAGGTAAAGATACTTCCATTGTAAACTGTCAGCAACATTTATTAGTTAGAATACAAGGCCAAGTGCCATCGGGAATACTTTCCAATCAATTCATGGAAACGTTGCAAATAGCATAATACAAGCATGATATCCTGCTTGGTTTCTGAAAAAAGGTTCTTTTGTTCCTTATTTCCTATAAATCTATTTTGCTGCCAATGCTGTTCTAATGTGATATTTACCATGATTGGAACGGATAGATCAAGAAGAAGCAGTGGATAACAGATGCCCATAAAATAAAAGGAAGACTGTTTGAGCAAACAACTACTTGTTTCAAAAAGGACGGTACCAATGTCACCGGAAATAGTCGTGAAACTTATGATCTGACTTTTTCCAATGCTTGCAAGGTCACTCATGTGCAGTGTAGCAAATAAGGCAAATGGGTGGGGTCATCCACTTTTGATAAAAAATCTAAGCAAAAGAGAGTGGGAAAACACGCAATGGGATTTTTTGCATTTATTTTTTAACAATTCTTCATGCATCGACTCTCAGAAAATATTATATGCATAGGATACAAAAAAGAAAAATAAGAATTCCATATTGTATTAATAGAATCATACACTGATAATAATCCTCTTGGATGTACAAAATTTGAATTACAAAAAGTAACAGTCGAGCTTCTTCTTTTCCTTATTGACTTTTCTTGTATCAAACGGCAAACTCATCTGTCTGCTAAATAAACCAAGAGACGTTATTACTTTTAAATCCATTTCTGCCTTCCTATCTTCTTCATTAATTATTTACTGGATCAATCTAAGAGATTACTTCGCTTTGCAGACAAGTGTTTTGATATGATTCTTAATCAGTATGAAGGAATTCTGTCAACAGTGAATAAGAACTGTTTGAAGTGTGTCATTACCAGCAAGCATATCGAACATATGTCTGCAAGCCCTTGCTTTATGGCCTTAGAATAAAGCTAATCTTGTCGCCATCGTGCTCTGGTTTTGAAAGTTTCCAGCTAAGTTTGATACTTTAAAAAGAGAATCAGGCGTTTTAGCAACCTTGTTAAAAAACTAGTTGATTCAGAACGATGGACTTCTCTGTGATCTATCAAGAATCTTCATTCATTGAGTTAGGTACTTTTCCATTTATACTTTTTTCAGATTGATTATTTGTCCCATCTTCTTGCTAAATGACTTCTCATCGATGACGTCATAGAAACATGCCTGTCTGAAGAGATTAGAAGGTACATCTATCTTACCACAAGAAACTTAGAGGATACTCTTCCCCAAATCGTATTTTTATTTAGCACTACAACAAGCAATATGGCTCAGTTGTTAGAGGATGGCTCAGTTGTTATAGGCGCTGACTACAGACCCAAGGGTCCGTGGTTTGAGTCCCAGGCATGACCAAACTTTAACCCAGAGTGGGGAGAGTCGCCAGCTCTCTGTAATTCCAGGCGTAGGAATCATGAGGTGTGGTCACATCGAGAGGAAGGTCCAGGACACTGCTTGATAAGCATAAGCTTCTCAGTGTCCTAAAAACTACCTTCGGATGCTAGGTAGCAACAAATACAAAGCAATATGGTATAGTATAGTAAGACCTTGTCAAAAGCCCTGTATAGTTTCATTCTGCAAAGGGACAAACGATCAAAGAGAATGTATATATGCTGAATCCAGGAACTTATAATACGCAGCCAGCGCACATATATTAAGTAAATCAACACTGAATTTTGTGCAGCGGCAGTTACATTATTTGTTTAGTGTGAAATATGAAATATGAAGTATACTAAGCTTCGCTAGCTATTAGATTTACGTAATTTGTTTCTAACTTTTTACATCGAATAAATTTATAAGAAATGATTAACTTGTATGTTTGACGCAAACGGCTTGTTTTCTAAAGAATGTTTCCAAAAAGCAGTGAAAAACAAAAGATTTTATTTTTCCGGACTCTGAAAACTCTGCTGGGAGATAGGAAATTGCCAGAAATGGTTCACAAGATTAAGTAATACAATAATTGTTGTTAATATTATGAATTTTTGAAGTTTATCACTTATTTGTTTTGTTATCGATCCTCTCCAATTTGAAGTGCAAAGGAAGAAATTAGTGGTATTTCTAATAGACGTTTCAAAATTTGAACTTCTCTTAGATTGAAATTGAATATGTTCTTAAACTTCCTTTTGCTCAAAGAACACAGAAAACTTATACGGTTATTGACTGCCAGGGAGGCCAACCAAAAAAAAGGACTTTGACTTGAAACTTTACGCCAATATGGAGCATCGATTTAGAGCATTTAGCTCAGACAAACAAGAAACGCCATATTAAATTGGAGATTACAAAATTTGAAGATTGGAGGAATTTCAGCAAGACAAACTAGCGACACCCCCCTTGCTGGACAAGCGAAATTTTATAAAACAAGGGGCTACTAGGTATGTCAGAATACTTCACCCCGCCAATGCAAGTTAAATTAGATGGATATAAGGTGTTAGGAAGTTAGATTTCACACCAAAATCCGGGCTTATCTTAAAGAAAAGTTAAACAAGGTTCAAAGTTCCTGAAGGAAAGATTGACTTTTATCTAGACATTCAACTCTTCTCAACTGTTCAATTAATGAATCGTTATTAGAAATTAGTGGAAGCTTTTGTGAAGTTTTGGGAAGATACATGTCTTACGAAAACTAACTTCAGGATGGTCGTGACTCCATTGCATTGATTATGGGCCGTTATTAGAAGTTTTGTATCATCTTTTTTCTAAAGGTCAGTACAGGGTTCCATACGAAAAGCCACGAAGCCACTTATGGAAGTATTAAAAATCATGACACACTGTTGCTTAATAGAATCTTATTATCTGTAGATGTTGTTTATAGAAATGGTTTTTCTCCTCGCTGCTGTTCTTTTTATTGTGCTGAAGAGACAATCAAACCCGCGGCAAAGCAAAGAGCGTTTCCTTCTGAATATTAACTAATTGTTGGGTCTACATGGTGACTTCAACACAGTCAGCCGCGATGTATTCAGTTCTCGGAAACTTTTGACCATCAAAAGAAGGCTTTTGCACGTTAATATTCATTGGGATTTTTAATATTCAGAATAATACACTGTGGTTCTATCCATACGGATTATTGCTTCACGCAAAAATATGACGCAGACAATTTCTGTTTTTAATTGATTCCTAGCTTCTGAAGTTTGCTATTGAGGCAGTGAGAAGCTATGCTTATCGAGCAGTGTCCTGGTTCTTCCTCTCGAACTGACCAAACCACGGGATACCTACGCCTTGATTTGCAGAGTGCTTGCGACTCCCCTTAGTCTTAGTGATGGTTCGCCATGCTAGGAACACGAATCATAATTTTTGAAAAACCACAGAGAAATGATATGCCTGAGGCACCCATTACAGGAATAATATTTAATGTCCAAAGACAAGTCTGAACGTGGTTGGTGGAGGTTTAGGCTTTTGTTCACAAGCAAGACAGGCCAATATGTTTTCCCATGAAAGTGTCGGTTTTAACAAAACCTCGTTCTCATGCCGGGCTGCGACGAACACAAGACCGAAAATGAAGATCAAACAACTTTTTCATATAACAAGAACAGTCAAATATGATCCTAAGGCAAGACGTGTTGTTCTTTTACTCGTATAATTGCTTAATTACATCCAAAGCCATCTAAAAATGGCGGCGCTCCCTCCTTCATTAATTTAATCGACTGAGAGAGCTCCTCATAAAGAACTTTCCCTTCAAAAGAATCTACATTATTGTTACTTATTGTTTGTTATCACAGGTATGTTTATATAATTTGTAGTCATTGTATGTAATAAGTTGTAATGTTTATGTAGAGACGTAGATATTGTATGTAGAGGGAATTTAAAACATACATTTTAAATGAGCTGAACTGAAGCACTGCCTGTACGGCATCGACCGCTATATGACAGAGAGACTGTTGTACCTTAATATAGCACCAAAATACTATGCACAGGAGCGTTAGCTCATGTGACCTATGTATATGAAGCATATAAAGTTTCATACTACAGTTAGCTATGCGTGTAGGCCGTTTGAGTTGATATATAATATATCGTCCTGTTTTGTTACGAACCCATGCGTTGTTCTATCTCCTTCACACATTGACAGGAGACACACCATGTGCATGTTGTCAAGGACAGGGTAGTCAAAGGTTGATTATGATATAATATCCTGATACCGTAATATCAAGTATGAAGTACAAATGTAAATCTTAGAAGGGCATCTTTGAACCTTGATAAGGCCTTAACCTTAAGCTTGGTTGGCTCTGTTGGTAGGTATATAGGTGTTACAATTTAGGATAATAATTGATTGCTCATTGAAAACTATATCAACATGCTAGGAAAGAGAAGAAACGAGCAAGGTGTGAATTTACTGGAACAAGCATACAGATTGCTTTTTCACTGGTCTTTTTACCATCTTGTTTTATAACAGCCGAGGTAAAGAAATCTATTCGACGCCAAATATTAATGAACAGAGACATATCACACACTAGCAAGACTATGTGACCGAATAGAGAAATCTTATTGACGCCCAATTGTAGAATGTAAAGAAATATAAATTGCAAACAGTTTCTGCTAGGTCATGATCACATTGTCTGGAGATGCAGACTTGAGGCTGTGATCTTTTATAATCTTGTTTCGATTTCCCATTAAATTAAAGTCTCTGCCAGGGAAATGTTTCTTGATTCCATGATAAAATGAACTGGATTAGATGTGAGATTTATGATTTCAATAATTTTTCACTCTGTGGGTAAAAGGATGATCTTTGGCACCACGTTTTTAAAAAAGATGGCTTTCTTTCTATTTTGCTACTTTGTGTCTTGCAAGAGTCGAGTAGCAATTGTTGTATCTCCTGAAAATGATAAAACCTTCTAGAAGCCAGGAAACACTTGCAGAAATTGATCTGGTTATTAATGAAATATTGAATCCTATTCTTCAACGATCCTTTTTATAAGATTTCCTGTATAAGGTTTAATTATAATCCTTTTAACGTGTTAAACATCACCATAGTCATAAACCTAGTGACTATCTTCTTGTGGCAAATCCATGCCAATAAACATCTTGTTTTGATAGCAAGTTTGTATTACCTTATCTAATCTAGATAATATTTTCATCTATATCTCTGTCACTCTCCGAGAATAGTTGTTGGTCCCATGTGTGATCACATCTATTGGAAGCGCCTCTTTGTGAAAAATCCTGTCTGGGGTGGTAGGATCCTTGTTACTTTCATCGCTACACCTACAGTGCCTGCCAAAGTTTTGGAACACTGACGTCAGTTTCCAAGGTCAAAATCGATCATTCCCCTCTCCCCTACGGAACAATGTTGGTTTACTATGAAATGGGTCAGGATTTTAAGAAACATTATCTTTTGGGGGCAGAAGTAGTAATTTTTTTCGGAAAAAGGAACAAAAGATATGAAATGCAATGCAAATCGCTGGGTATTACAAAAACTTTTGGCAGGCATTGTAGCTCCTCTCATTCCAGCCATTGCTGTTTGTAATCCCTGACGGGTACTCAGTGGCATCGTCTTTTAAGAGTCGGATAACTGCTTGCATAGAAAATTGGCATCAAGCTTGACAATAGCTTAAACGAATCTCCTTTCTCGTAATATTTTCCTTGTAATTAATGTAAAAAAGTCTTGCTGTGCGGCACTACCAAGACTTAATTGCAATTAGTCAATATTGAAGAAAGTCACCATCAATTGAGCATTGATTCCTCGTGTGATTTTCATGTGATCAATTATGCTCTTTAGCGATCTGTCTAAAACAAATAAATATTTCACCTGATCAGTTATCAGATGAATACTTAACTGCTTTTGCGTCATGCATTTGTGTATTTCACAAAACCTGAATAATTCGACAATATGAAACCCCTGGGTACTACTGTTATTTTTTGCGGCTCTGGTACCCAGGCTACAACTTGAGCAGCGTTCTGGATTGCTCAAAAGGCCGATGTGCTTCTTCCTGTTTCTTAAGAAAAGATTGCTTGTATTTCATACTTTCATGCAACTCATTGCGTCCCTTAAATCTCTAAATCTTCTTGCAAATCGGCAATTATCCAATAATGTGTAGAGGTTGCATATCCAGAGCACACAATTACTTGCACCAACATGCACACACAAATTTGAAGCTCTTGTAGTTAATCACATAACACAGTTAGGATAATATCGTACTCTATCGTGATATTCTTCTCAGCCTTTCAATATAGTTATGTTAATACGACGTTGCGTTAATCACACTTCACCCCACACTGTGACAGGAACAATGATGCTTGTCGAAATGTCAATCCGCATTTTCTCCATTTCTTAACTTCAGAATTTCTTTCCTTTGATCTACTTAAAATGATCACCCTTTTGCCGACACTATTCTTTCCACTTTTGTTATGACACCTTCCCGGGCAGCTTCTCGTTTTCTTCCCAACAAGAGTCTTAAATATTTATTATTGGAATTTTAGAATATCTTATCATTTAACAATACAACAATGTTAACAAAACTTTGATTAATTGGGATAATTTCTTTACTTTGTTTGGACTTTTCTTGACTGTTCCCATCTGAAGTCTGTCCTTAAAGAACAATGTCAGAAAGCATCATCATTTGACCGAAACCAACCGAGGGGGAAATCACTCTATGGAACTCTCGTACACCTCTGGTGGAAATCATATTGTTTTGTCAGAAAATCCATAGAAATCCTTTTGTTTTCGTGGAAATCTCATAAGCTTTTTGCAAGAGTGAATCGCCACTCGAAGCCAAATGTTATGCCTTCATTACACTATCAACCAAGATGGAGAAAACCAGATTGTTTACTCTTGAACATAATCAATTTCATGTTCTGTTGATGATTTACAGAATCTCGTAATCTTGTGTAAGCACATAAATTGAAATTCAATGTTAGTTGAACTTAAAAAATCATTGCACTTCAAGTTAAGAAATTTAATTTTGTTCAAAAATTTTAGTCAAGATATATTTTCGATTCTAGATTATGCTCAGAATCCTTGTACAAGCATTTTTGAGAAAATATCGGTTACTCACTTCTGATTGAGAGGCACGTGTTAAGAGCAGAGCGTTAATCTCACTGGAAATCGGATCCGTAAGATCATTTGCTTGATTGGCATTACGCTATTGTAGATGTGAGCTGAGCAGCTTTTGGGGATCAGGAAGACGATTAGGGCAACGGCATTGGTTTTTCGCAAGGAAAAGGAGGGAGGCGCTAATCTCAGTAGCTCATTGTGCGACAAGAGCTTGTGATCTACATTAAGAGGCAGATAACATAGTATCATCTAAAGGAAGCATACGAAGACTCCAAGGCTCCTAATTTATATAAGTATTCGATTTAGTGAAAAAGGAAAGTAAGCCTTATCAAGAAGTAACAGGAAGTAAGACAGATTTATAAGGGGCACATAAAGGCGACAAAGAGTAACTACAAGTAACGAGGAGTTACAATCAACCATCTAAAGTTTTTTAAGGAGTATTGAATTGTGTAGAGAGGTAACGCCGACTTATGCCGGAGATTTAGAGTTTATCAAGTCATTACATGGGTGATAGATCCTTGGCAAGCAAGTTTTGATTATGAAGAAACTGGTAGCTGCAAAGGAAAGCTTTCGGTAACAGCAAAAGCAATTGCTTTAACTTGCAATGATGATACTGAAGAACAAATTAGTCATTTATGTACTTTCCGTTATTTCAATGATACTGGACCTTTGCGACTGTTTGTCATTTTTGAGTCCAAAGACATCATACGCTGAGTATCCAGCTTGGACGGCCAGTGTCAATGGAAAACTTGAATTTGAATTTAAAACGTATGAAATGCAGTCATTGCTTCTTTACGTGGAGGAAATAGGTCACTTTCAAAGATACGATGATAGAAGCTACCTGAAATTGGAGTTGCGGAAGGGCGGTTTATACTTAATTGTGCAAATGGGAGGCAGTGACTCCGCAAGTAAAAAAAGAAAGAGATTTGGGGCAGGTTTAAATGACCTGAAATGGCATAAAGTAGTTATTCAACGAAATGGAATAAAAACTGTTGTAATGATCGACAAATGGAAATTTGATGTAAACAATGAAGGTGGTGTTCTGTCCTATTTACCTATCAATTCGAGTCTTTATATTGGGGGAGTTCCACATTCAAAACTGGGTAGCGCGGTAGACAAAGGCCTCGACAAAACTCCAAGGTAAGCAGACTCATGTAATGAAAAAATCAGTTGTTTAAGTTATGTTTTCAGGCTGAAATCGTCAGAGATTGCTCTAGAATTCTTTGGTTCATAGCATCAAATCGTCCTGCTTAGTTTTGCTTTATGACAGCCATCTGAAGTTTTATTCTTGAAAGAAGAACGTTAATCACAATTTGGTAGTAGTCTTGTGTATGACATATTTCCTCATTTCACCCTGTCCTTGTAAATCTTTGCTATACAGCTGTCTGTAACATGTTATCAAGCACGCTGGAGCCGTAGGGGGGGGGGGGGCTTGGTGGGGCGCAATAGCCCCTTCAATATTTGCTGAATTATGACATTCAGGAATTGGCATCAAAGTTGATGGGGGAAACTACTATACAGGCTACAAGCTATAGAAACTACTATAGCAAAAAGGGTAACCGGGATTTTTTTAATATGTGGCTAACCGGTCTTCTGAAAAATTTTCGATGACCGGGTACAATGGAAGGATTGATCACGTGACCACCATTCCCCTCATTTTAGAGCAACTGATGGAGCTTGAGTCAAAAACAACAAGGATCTAATATCAAAAGAAAAATCCTGCTTACTCTGTTTTCTATGTTGCTCACGAGATTTCCCTGTCTATACCATAAAAGTTTGCAAATTTGCCTACGGCCTTCCCGTTCCAATATGTGCTCTGGCGTCCTTGGTTATGGACAAAACAACACACTCTTGGAGGTCTCAATTTATAAAGAGAGAAAAAAGCACCAAGGAAAATACCCTTTACGTTGATACATTACTATTTATTGCAATGTTTCCATCTTATCATCTTTCCGATTAAATAATCATTAATCGGCAATAAAACTGTTTTCGTCTTTTCAGTCTTCTCTTACTAGCCGCTTCCATTATTGCCAATTCACTGTTTGCCAAAGCTCCACTGCCATTTACTTTTTTTTCACATAACTTGTTTTGATTTGAAATTTGTTTCTATAGGTTCATTGGATGCGTACGAAATCTTGCATACAGCGTCAATAGCGAATCGGTTAAAGCTGACCTTCTATCTTCTGATGGTGTTGAGTCTGGGTGTGCAAACGCCTGCACAAAGAGCAAGTATGTGCCATGCGCAAATTCCGGTAAATGTATCAATGAATTCAATACATTTTCTTGCAACTGTAAAGGATCTGGCTACAGAGGTCGCAACTGTACAGCGGGTGAGTATTGACTTAGTCCATTTAATGCGGGTTTTGCCCGATCTCGTTTAGAACTCTAAGAAAGTACTGCTATCCCCATCCATAGATCTCTTAACATTATAGATTGTTTCTTCTCCCTAAGACCAGGATAAAATTTGTCGCTTTTGCTAGGCATCTGACTAGAATAAAATTAAATTTTGCATGGCACCAACAGAATTGAAGTCCAAGGTAACAATCCATGCAAGTCTTTTGAAGAACGCTTTTTTGTGAGCCTGGAAATAGAAATTGGAGGAATCTCGACGAACTCCGATTAGAGTTCTACGAGCCTCCTCGTAGCATCGAGGTCACTGTGCTTGCACAGTTTATAACGTTCTGATGTGAGATATCTTCCGGTCACATGATCCAATCATGTGACCGGATATCTCACATCAGAACGTAATAAACTGTGCAAGCACGGTGACCTCGATGCGGAGTGGAGGCGAAGTAGAATTTTCTTTATGATAATAACAATACTGTTCTTTAGACAGGGTTATCTTTTCAGAAACAAATGTGTTGTTATCAATAAGGATCCTGTTAACAAAATTAAAAGGAGAAAAAGATACAATAAATCTAAAATTAAATTGATTAGAATCAGAGGTTATTGTTAATTACATTAAATAGTTTCTAGGTTTTCAAGAGTTTTTCATCTTCCTTTACACGTGTCTTACAATAAATAGCGTTCTTTTAGATTCAATTTAAAAATTGCAATGTTATATTTAAGATAATTTTATGTTTCTAAAGTTGGATAGCTGTAGTACAATCCTTGATATAAAACTCCAAACTAATTTTAAATTAAATTCATTTTCAAGCATCGGAAAGTGCATACTTCAGAGGAGTTGAGTATCTAGAATTTGGCGGTACACGAAGACTGTCGATGGTTAGCCATCACGTGATCATTCGTTTCAAGACGTACCTTGAGAATGGGATCCTTTTGGCTGTTGGAATTGTTGGGAAAGATTTTCTAATTCTTGAATTGCATAAAGGAACTCTCAGGATGGCGATTGACTTGGGTGGAGGTGAGGGAATTTTTTAAGGAACATTGCATTGCTAGTGAATTGAAAATAAATTTGAAAGCAAAGAAAATGGTTCAATGAAAATCAGAATTCACCTCTCGATATTTGTTGGTACTTGAAAAGCTCTTCTCTCTATTTGTGTATTCTTCTCCTGACTTGCATATTATCAAATGTTCATATCAAATTTGAAACAAGGATGCCCGTTTTGTTTTATGCATACCCCCATTGAAGCCTATTAATTTTTTTTTATTATACACTCAAAGTTCATTTTTTCTCATACACTTGCCCAGTTACACGAGATTTCATTACATTTGTATCATAGTAGTATGCATCTCTGATACAATTTGCAGATATGCTCTACTTTGGTCTGCTTATCTCGCTTAGGTATTCTGGAACTATTTATTGGAAATGGAGATTTGAACGATCGTGTCTGGCACAAGATTGAACTTATTCGGAAAGGGACGCTTTGCCAGCTCAAACTCGATGACAAGTATGTATCTTCTTTTCTCAATCTGTATTTCGATCAAAATTTGTGCAAAGGAATATTCTTGCTTCAACTGTAACTGATTAATAAGCAAAATAATATAAAGAATGCAATCATGGTTGATTGGTACATTTAATATCATTGATCAATCCTGTTTGTTTGGGTGCAAATTTCTTTCTAGATTTCAAAAATGGAAGTCACCAGAAAATCGAAACTATGAGTTCTATTAATTTAGGCACTAGCAAATAAACTCACATTTTTGTGCCAATTTAAATTGTTTGACATTTAGTATGGCTTTAAATTGTTTAAGAATATTTTCATTTAATCACATCTTCAAATTCAGAATCTTATATTCTATTATACAGAAACTTAAGACAGAATCCAACACTTTCTACAATGTTATTCAAATGCAAAACTATATGGACTCAGAAACTTCAACATAAACAGCAGAAATTACTTTAAAAGCAAAAGGCTCAATATATTAAAGATGTATTAGAAAGTTTAAGATATTCTTCATAGTTCTGAATACCAGCAAACTATCATATCGTCCAAAAACCTTTTCTTTGACATTCAACTTCTTTCATGAATAAAAGATGGGTACTCGATATAACTTCTGTTAGCAAAAAGATAGCTTGTCGATCTCATTTCAATTTGTATTAAGATGACGTTAGGATTAGGGCTTCTATGTGATTGTAGCAAACACTGAATGTCTCCCTAAAAGGACAGTATTGCTGGGCAATGGTGCTGCAATTCGCCAAAAACTTTAATTAGAATATAAGATATATTAGAATATTCAGATGTTTTGCAACATTTTCGGAGCTTGTTGTAAAAATGTGTTCCCTAAGATATGCTACACTTTCCTGGCCCTCTATCCAAATTCAGCACAATATTGCCTTCAAATTGATTTGTATAGATTGTTCAGGAGGACTGAAATAGTGTGATAGTAATGAGAAGTGAAAGTAAGAGCAAAGCCTGAGGCGAAAAACAAATCATCATTTGACATTTCCATTATGCTTACAGAATATAGACGGCCCCGATTGAGAGTTTTGATGCGACAGTATCTATCCTCTCAGCGAGGTAACTAGGGAAGGGGGATTTCCAGTGCTACCCCTGATTGTTCAGTCATGCAATGGTTGGCGAGAAATAGTCAGAAATGCAAAGTCTAGCTTCTGTTAACATTTGTTATTTTTCCCGGACCCGATTCTCTGATATGCCAATAATTTTTCGAATTATTGAGCTCGTTGGAAGCATTTACGTAGATCAAGAACGCTTTGCTCAAGTTGGAAATAAATGCGAACAACGTCGTTTCAATTTAAACCTAATTCCATCTAATTCCAATTTACATAATTTTAAATTTGTCATTAAAATTTTATCGTGAAGAAGTTGTAATATATCTTATTACTTTCTGGTTTATTACCGAATCAAAAAATTGGTTTTGCAATTGTGATTAAAGAAATTATTGACTTCTCCTTGGGTACTTGAGTTGTACAAGAACTTACATTTAAACAAATTAATGGAATTATCAAATTTTATCATTAAATGAATTATCAAAATTTACCACTAAAATTATTTGGAGAATAAACATGATTATTCTTTTGCATTGTCACTTTGAAAAAGTTTGTAATTTTATCAGACAACACAAAGTTTGGAGAGTTGCCATTAATTAGATAATGATATTAAAGAACATATATGTATTACTCAAAGGGCAGAATCTAGATCTTTTTAAAAAAACTAACGTTTTGGCAAATGACTTTGAAATTCCTGTAGCTTGTAAAATGATACAATAAATGAAACCCATCTAGACTCTATTGAGCTTTCAGTATTGCAATTAGAACCTTTTTTGTTACATTTTTAAGAAAGACATTTATCAATGTTCTATGTATTTTCATCCCCTTTTTTCTTAACGTCTCAAACATGATCTTCTAACCTTGGAACTCATGTTATCTCGATTGAAATCCTTTAACGTTTATAAATTGGATATGTTGAATAACTGCATGTAAATAAGATTCATATTTATATATTTATATAAAAATCATATACGTTTATGGATCAAGCAGTTCTCATAAGAGCTTGCAACAAAGTTTAATTGGTGATAGAATTAATGTGCAGTATATGATTTTTTAAGAAAATGACTTCATTATCTACAAAAAATCCAAATTCGTCGCTCAGTTTTTCTTAAGATCTTTAAAAAAGCTACTTGGTTCTGTCTTGTGCTATCTATTCTGACTTGTTATTAAGCCTTAATAATGTATCATTTCTTTACATTTTCTCAGGTACGCTAAAAATGCTACAACTCCAGGGCGAAACAGCAGATTCGACGTCCAACATTCTGAAACGACCTATTATGGTGGTCACCCTGACGCAAGATACCTGCAAACCTCTAAAGCGAAGCAAAATTTCTCTGGCTGTATGCAAGATGTTTTCTACAATGATGTATGTATTTATTTTTCCTTTAACATAAAAGTCAATTAAAATGGAAGGTTTAGGCGTCTTCGTTTCATATGTAGAGACATTGTAAGAAAAAGGTAAAGCCTTCTCTGCCCCTTAGAATCATAAGCATCGATATTTCTTGTTAGAAAGCCCATAATATTTTAGTGACAGGCGTGTTCCTATGAATTAGCAAATTTTGTTCCCATAATATGCAACTGGAATCAGCACTCCTAGCTACAAGGAAATAAGGCAGTATTTAGACATTATTTTTGAGTTGCAGAATAATCAGAAAAAAAATGGGAAAGCTTATCTTCATTTGATCTGATTGGCTGAATTTTTTGCCTCGTCTGTAAGCAGGGCAAATTTCGCATGTATCAATCCTGTTTGCACAAATACCTCAGCTGAATCAAATGTTTCACTTTTGGCGTTAAGATAACACCAGGCTTCCTCCCAATTTTTTCTCCTGAATCTGCGCTTTAAGAAACATTTATGATATCAATCGGTATTTACATGAATGATACAAAATATTGAAAAAAGGAAATTGCGATTGTTTTGGTGTACAACGATCATTTGTAGAAAATCGTGCGATAAAATGATTTGACAATGCAACAAAAGGATCTCACAGCACCGCTTACTCTATTTCACTGTAAATTGGACAGTAGGTCTGGTCCTACATGCTACATGCATCAGCAGAGAGAAGGTTTTAGTTCTTTAGCTATATATATAAATATATATGGGAGTTGCTGGACCAGCAGTGAAAATCAGAAAAAGATAGAGTTAGCAATACGTAAAAATTGATGACAACTCAGCATTAAAAGAAGAAGCTAAGCCCATTACATCCCCACAGACTTAGCAATCATAATCTTCAAAACACCCGAAGCCAATACTGTAGCTCAACTGTAATTCAAATTGTTTCCCTTTTAGGATGACGTACTGGAGCAGACGTTTAGCTTCAGACAAGTTAAAACAGTGGAAGGTGTACAGAAGGGATGCCCCAAATTCACACCTCCGCCAACAACAACTTCAGCACCAACAGGTATCAATAACTCATCCATTTGCATTGACCTTACTTTGGCATGCCCTGAAATATGTGGACAAACTTTTTATTACAGCTTTAAGATGATCTTTTTGGCAAAAGGTGAGGATGCCATGGTCCCCAAACCCCTCCCCCATTGGCTTGGGCCCTGTGCATATATTCAAAAACGGTCGGTAAACATTAATAAGCGTAAAGTCTTAAAAGTGATAAAAATCAATTGTTTGTTGGAATATGATCAAGAATGTGTCACTATCACTAAACATCACTTTAAAAAAATTAATTTGTCATTCAAAGCTTTCATAAAAATCCTTTTTCTTCAAAGACAATTAAAACTAGTTTTGGTTTAATTGTATCAAGCTTTTATTTCAACGTAAAATATGTTTGATCAACAGCTTCAAATGCTTTTAAAAAACGGTGGCCTTTGTTCTCAGAGACCTCATTGCTCACCTTGGCATTCGAAAATTCCCTTTCTAGAATAGGGCTATCTGGAAACCTGGACACAAAACTGACTTGTTCACTCTTCCGTTTTTGCATAAAGCTTAACGGCATGTTTCTGAACGCTTAATTTCAGTTGAAACTAGTTGAAAATAAGTTACAGGCACATTTTCAACTATAACTGTTTTTACACGCTCTTTCTCAATTTAGTTTGACTTATTTTGTTAAAGTTATTGTTCAACTAAAAGTATCAAATTTTGAATCAATTTCAGAATTTAAAAACATTATTTAAGACGGCTGTTTTAGCGTTTAAATGTAATCAGTAATACCTGAGTATAAAAATCAGTTTTCATTTTATTCATGTGAAATTGTCGATACATTATCTCAAAACTAATCCTTCTATTTATCTCATCAATGCAGTTCAAACGACAGTTACAAAAAAACAGGACACAACAAGGAGGTTGGAGGAAAAAACCAAAGAAATAGTAACACCTTCTGTTGTCAAAAATGGAAATGTGAGAATTGTTCTTTAGTTGACCAAGCAAACTGGCTACATATGTTCATAAACGTATAGTCATACATTGATTTGTTACCTTCTGCTTCTAAAGATCGTTTTAGAACACTGAGAGGCTGTGCTTATTGAAAGTATATATGCAATTTCACCCAATGTAGCCACTTTTGCTTGAATCTCGCTCATTATGATACTTTTATCAACTTTTTACGGGCTGCAGTTTATTCAGCTCCTCCCCTTTTGTGCGTATGTTGAACATTGTATACCCTATCACTTGAGTCTCCAAAGAAACACAGAAGAAAAACATCTTTTTACCGATATAAAGCATCATGTAAGATTGAGTAATCATATGCTGTGTCCTGAAGACGTTCCATGAATGTGATATTAAGGAATCTATTTCAATCTTATGCAACTGAATTCATTTGTATTTCCCAGCTTATGATGTATTTACGTAGGAAAGCTGAACATGTCTCTTGTTCCTTTTAATTTTATCAATGGCAACTATCCTATTTTCCGTTAGGTTTCAGAAGCAAAAAATGAACATTTGTTTTTTTTAAAAGTGTTATCTGAATGATAATCGTTGGTTTATTAATAGTTTATGATGTTAATATTTGATGCCTGACTTTCATTTCCGCCTAGTTTCAAAGCCAGAATGGAGGAAAATCGCCAAAAGAGCCTTTGACAAAGAGTCAGATTGCTTGGATTACCTCAGGGATTATTGTTGGGGCCCTTTTTCTTGTCTTCACAACGGCCTGTCTTGTTCACAGATGCAAACGAAGATACAATGGATTTTTAATCAGCAGTTCACTTAAGAACAAAGACAACCAGCAGAGACCGAGCCTGAGATACAAGGGCGAAAGGGTTGTATTTCTAGAGCATGGAACAAAAGAGAAACTCGACAAAGTAACAAATTTCTAACAATTGAATAGGTCTTGTCTTGTCAATGTGTCAGTTCTTTCAGTTTTCAAGACAAGGGTAGTGACTGATTTTATCCTTTCGTTAAAATACACTGAATGATAAATTGGCAGAAAAGATAAACCACTGAAGATATCGATTGGTGTGCACAATTGGGGACAATTGGATGACCTTAATTGATGCTTCCGAACAAATGAACATTTTCGTATTTTGTTTTCCAGTAAGAATATAAGGCGGCCAATACGTCTTGTTTCCATAGCTAGAGACAAGACGCCTTTCGATATAGACCGGATCTATGTTTCCAGTTCGGTGAATGGAAAATGCATGAAGGAAACATTAAATTTGTAAATTGTTGTAAGAAGGCATTAGAGTTGTGAACAATGTAGATAAGTATGTTATTAATGCTAAATTATATAAGTAAGGTGTATCGTAGCTACAGATAATTGAAATATGCTTTACTTTTGCCAAGGCTTATTGCGTTCAAATGGGTGGTAAAGCATTTTTATTACAATAAACATATATTTTTATTTGCTGCACGTTTGAGATAGTTGTTTAAAGAAGCATTAAGCGATTGGCTGTTTTATTCATCTCATTGCATTGCTAATCACAAAATATATTTCGAATCATCGACAACAATCACCCTAGTTAGATTCTCCTGATCCTAGATTCCCTGTGAATTCTCTTGATCCTAGATTCCCTGATAAATTCCCTTAGCTTGGTAAAATCCTCCTGATCCTAGATTCCCTTTGAATCCTCCTGATCCTAGATTCCCTTTGAATCCTCCTGATCTTAGATCCCTATGAATCCTCCTGATCCTAGATTTCCCTGTGAATTTTCTTGATCCTAGATTCCCTGATAAATTCCCCTAGCTTGGTAAAATCCTCCTGATCCTAGATTCCCTTCGAATCCTCCTGATCTTAGATCCCTATGAATCCTCCTGATCCCAGGTCCCTGATAAATTCCCTTATCCTAGTAAAATCTTCCTGGTCCTAGCTTCCCTTTGGTGTGAAGGGAATTTATGTTTCCATGGAGAAGCCAATTCTTGTCAATCGTTCTTTCTGTTTTAAAATGAAAGCAATAAATTATATTCCAAGAAATGTATTTCCTTTCGCTTCCATATTGTTCTTTTCTGCGATGTTTCTTAATACGTTGTTTTGACATCTTAATGCATTTTTTGAACACCAGAAACAATTATGTCGAAGATGCTTGGATAAATGTTGACCGATCTAAAAGTTTAAACTTTTAATTGCTGCCTCTGTTGTTAGTTAGCTTCATTAAGTTGACGAGCTATTGAAGAATTTGAAGATAGCACGGAAAGATAAACATTGTTCGGCACACCTCAAAGTTTAAAAGTTGGAGTATAAGACAGATATACCCAGATCCGAATTGAAAGAAACATGACAAGAACAACAAGACTTGATGGGTTTCTTATTTTTGACCAATTGGCAATGATCTTAGGTAATTATTCAACGCTTTTCCTTTGGGTAGTGTCAAACAGAAAAAACTTCAATAGGTTATCTTTCTGCTTTCAGTGCTATCGTCAAATTTTGCGATACCAAAGATTTATTTAGTCATTAGAAAAAAGTCGATATCACTAGTTTTGCAGCCTTTTCTGTAGCTCGTTCTATCCTAACAGTTACAAGTCGAATAAAGCTATTCAAAATGAAGTGTCACCTTTACAAACAATCATTTAGAAAAATTAATGATTATCAAAGTCTTGAGTGATCCTACTTTCTGTAAATTTAAATCTACAATCCGGTATAAAACTTGTCGAGATTTTCAATAAACGATTAAGATGTGGTGGCTACAGCTCTAACATTGTTTTGGTGGATCGGGGTGAGTGAGATTATCCAAGTTACAGTTCATTATTAACATTTTAAAAGATGAGATCGCCCTTAAAAAATTTGTCTATGGTTGCAATTATGTCATCTACATTCAAGACATTACATGGTTGATAAAAATAACTTTACCACAAAAATAATATCACAGGATATTTTAAAAAAGCCATTTTAATATCAATTCTGCAGTTTTTGTTACCAGACCCTACCCATAAATACAACTTTTTGTGTTTACTTTATCTCAAAACAAATATTTCAGTTTGGAGGACATGATACGGTTTGACAATGATCACTACAAATCCACGAATCCACGAAGTATTAAACTCGTGGTTCCAAAAGAATTCCTGTCATTGCGTTTTGACTTCACTTAAATGTTTACACCTAACACAAATCTGCGAGAGTTTACTCTTTTCTATCTTTCAGTCGTAGAAAAGAGAGAATTTTTGATGGGAGGGGGCATCATTCTTTGAGATCAGAGAAGCAAAAGGATCATCTGTTAATTGAAATCAAAGGATTTTTTATATATTTTGAGGAGGCATGAGCCCCTTTACCAATAACAATAGCTGTGGTGTGGTCCCTCTTTTAATGAATCTCTTTTTCATTGTTTTGAAACGTGACAACAGACTAGCCGATATGAAAGAATTATGTCTTAAGAGAGTTCAGAAAGGGTGCATTCCTCTTAATCGGGGAAGCATGCCATTGAGACAAATTTTCTTTGAGTGACTCACGTACATATAATACACATATTAACACTTTGCAACAGCATACCAGAATAAACCTCATTATTGCTTATTTGAGAATCTTTCCAAGCATGCAACTAAGCTCATAACATGGATTCCACGCAAGGCAAGCTGCATGCTATTTGGTAAACATGTGGTAGGGCCTAACGAAAGTCAAAAGGTAAGTTTAATAAGTTTCTGGTCGCAAATGAACCTTCAAAGTTTACCATCTTTAGAACAGGCGTTTTGTCAAATGTTAAAAACTGAAAGCTACTGCCCCACCATTAGGGAACTTACGTCGTTGAAAAGCAAATGTAGTTGTAACTAGCTATTGAAACTACAAAAGTAAAGATAGCAAGGAAAGGTAGAAGCAATCAAATAACCAATGACGTTACGTTATTCCACACACGTGACTTTCGATCCGCATCTCGATAAAGACTTCTCCTTTACCTTTGGTCCTCAACCAAAAAAAACATTCATATTCTGCGAAAGAGCCTTTCACCACTTACTTCAGTTAATGAATTTTAAAACTACCTTTACTTTCTCGACAAATTTTTTGGCAAATCTTATGTAGTAAAACGCTTTTACTGGTAGTTTAGGCTATATGTTGCCAACAGAGATATTGTCATCTTTTGTAGAAAGCTAGGCCCATTTCGGCAGATATCCCTAGTTTATAAACCAAGCCTTAAAACATTGCCTTTAGCCTTAACTACTTCAAATACAGACAAATGCCAACTCAATTCTTTATTATCACGTTGGCTATCGACCCCCTACAGAATTGTATTGATTGCAAGATATGCAGTAGCGAGTATGGATTTGGTGTTAAGTTCCTAGAAGATTATACAACACGTGAATCTCGCAAGATGGAATTATGAATAATTGAAGCAAATTATTGTGATAAGGATCAAAAGATTTGTTTACATCAAGTCCGTTCAAACTCGATTACAGAAGATGGGAATCCACTCAATTTTAATTAATCCAATTTCAAAGATTTGAAGAGGAAACATTTTCTTTCCTTTAATGATAAATTCTGTCTGTTTATAAATTCAAACGAGCTTGTTACTGGACGTTTGCTTAAACATGCTTCAGCGATAACTTCTTTTCGTTGACAAGATGTAGAAGAATTTTAAGGAAGAGCAAGTTTATAAACAAGTTATTAAAGGATTTTAAGTAAAAACTTTATAGCAAGTTTGAAGCCGGCAAAGCTCCCTGTGTCGGACATCTGCAAGGACGGAGACCTACCCATGACATGAAACTTTCAAACATCTCTAAGGACGGAGACCAACCCAGTGACGGAAAACCTCCTAATAGCGAATACCTCCTAATGATGGATACCTCCCAATGTTACCATTTTTTTTCCTTTAAACAATACCTTGCAAAGATGGACTCTAATTAAGTGATAAATCCTTACAGTTGAAGGCGCCTAGTATAAAAAAAGTTCCATTGTTTGATGGGATAAATTCAAAGTGCTGAGTTCATGCAAAATCACTTTCCCCTACTTCTTTAGGGGATGGAATTCACTATTCTAAAAGATACATTTAGACCTTGGGCTGACTTCGAGGTGAATTTCGTATTCATTGAGAAATTATGATTTGATTACCGTGAGACCACAAAGGGCGCACATGGAGATAACGGGGCACCAAAATGGCTTCACGTTACGTATGCCGAAAATGTTATCTATTAGTTTGCACTCGGAACGCCAAAAGTACATGAAAGGGTGACCTGAGTGTACAACGAAGATCTTCGGGCCTAAGTACATGGAATGCACCCTGGCAATTGATACAGCTTCTTGTTATTAACAGCGATATGGGCTCTGAACCAAAGGTCACCCTTTCTTTCTTTCCCCAACGCATGAATCCTTTCCTCCCAAATTTTTTCTAAAAATCAAAAGTCAATGTTTTTCTGAGCATCATCGAACTGTTTATTCTAGGTGGAATAATAATTTGTTAATTTTAGTCTGGGAGATGCATTTTGAGCCATTCTAGAAGGCTTGATTTTAAAAATTTCCAAAACTTAGCCCTCCCCAGATTCACTTTCATGGCGCCGCTTCTGTCCGATTCAATGGTGCGAATCAATGCTTGAAAAACTTTCAAGTTGTTGAAAAAACTACTATTTAATTTCTACTAAAGACTAACAAACGTGAGCCATGTTTGTATATCATACTTCATAATTATGACGAAGTTAGGCTGATGAAATCGCCCATAAGCAGTGCCGTAAATGGACTAAGGTTACATTTAGTTTAAAAATTATTGTGCCCGATACAAAAATTTGCTCTACGTTATTTTACTCTGAAGCTGGTATTCTGGATATAATAAACGAGTAGCCTGTATGAAACATCAGTGTAATTGAAAAGAATGTCTTTTGATTAGTATTTTATGTTTTGCCTATCGTATTTCCTCGAAAATAGGCCGACTCTCGAAAATAAGCCAATTCAAAATAGCTTGATATTTTATCGAAGCACGATTGACAAGGTCAAAGGATTACATTGGTGGGGCCAAAACTTATTGGGTGCCCAACATTCTGAAAACAAAGAGCAACGGGAGTCATAAATGGTTTTACTTCTATTTTGGAATTATTTTAGAGCGGCGCCACGGGGGGGACCTAGGGGAACACGCCCCTCCCCGTTTTCAGCAGAATCAATTTTGTATTTCTTCTAAATTCGATGAAAAAATGTTGGGAGAGGGGTAATATTTTGACACCTTAGTTTTTTTAATGTAATCCTATTATTTTCAAACTGCCAATTTTCAAACAAAAGTTTGTCATAGGCGTTCCCTTCGGATGAAATTGGCGTTCCATGTTGGTAAAAAGGCGTTTTCTGGTTGTTGAAAGGGCATGGATTAATCTTTTTTGTACCCCCCAGAGCTTAGTGGCTGGCACCGCCATTGCTCTTGCTTTTAAAGTCCCTGATGCTATTAGGTTTGGTCATAATCCATCGTCATAATTTAACTTAAAGACAGCATAATACATTTTCATTTTAGCTTTGAGCAGCTAAAGAGGGCAGCTTCATAGTAATGCTGATTTTCAAGGAACTGAAACATGTTTCTTTCAATTGTTTATTGGCAAGGAGGAGATTGTGTGTTGAATTTTTTATGCAATCTCCTGTAAGTATGTTTCGATCTAATTAACCCGCAAGAAATACATTCACAATTGTGCTTCCACATTTAGAACAGCAAATCTTGACAAGATCTTTCAAGGTACATATCACCTCTCAAGCAGGCCCTCCGATGAGGTAAGGGGGCCGGGGTTTATGCTCCCAACTTATTTGCAAAACAATAGAGCTTTTTCAAATCTATTGTTATGGGTTATTTTCCCTTGCCCCCTCCCACTTTTAAACCTTTGTCGGAGTTCATTTCAAGCCTAGCAAGAAACGATTCCAATAAAAGCAGAACAGGACGAGAACTGACCAAGTGCATCACTTCAATAAAGGTACATCAAGCTTGGTTGTAGATCTGTGGCTTAAGTTGATTCTATGGCTTTGATGTGTTCTATAATTGCCAAACGTATGTTATTATTTGAAGTGTCATCCACTGAATATCAATCACTTTAGGGTACTAACGAAATTCGTTATTTCCCCAGCCATGCTACACTCGTAAGTCAGATACCCAGGGTAGCTACATATAGGCACTCGACAAATACTAACATGGCCTAAACCATATGTCGATTTTATGTGAATACAGCAAACCGTTTCAAAATGGAAAACTCACCTATATATTTGAATCATAGCTACCCACACATGCACAAGAAAGTTACCAAGCCATATGCTCTTGTAACTCTCGATTGCCTTTGACCATTTTCTCAAAGTTTAAAATTATCCATGACATAATTCTTTTAAATTCCATGCATTGATCATAACATTTAAGAGCGCAGGAGGCACCTTGAAAAAACGATTTAGTGGTTTAGCTTAGATTGCTCTTGAGACAGTATAATTGCATTGCCTATTTTAACTTTATCTAAGAGGGTATTTTTTTCATTTTATTTTGTATTCATTTTTGCACTTTTTTGTGCTATCTGTTTTGCTCTTCAAATATAATTTTTTTTTAATTTTTATAAATATTTTTCAATGTTTATGAAGTGTAACAATTAATTTTAAATTTCCAATCAATTTTTTTTTCTCAATTAAGTAAACCCGTTATAGTTATAAAATGTATAATGATCAACAGTGTTTTACATTGTGACCTCACAAAATAAATATTTTTATAAATTTTGAAATGTGACGACATATCGTAAATGAACACCATGCGACACTACTGGATATGAAAAATCAGTTAAATGTGTCAACGATCGGGTGGGGTATGGCCAATGACAGATTTAACGTTTGATAACGGATTACTGTTATTCTGGGCTGGGTCATGAAGTTATGAGCCAAGACCAAATTACAGAGGTTTGATGGGGCAAGAGCCTGTGCTCAAGTTGCCATATCTCAGCCAATTCGTAATAGACAAGGAATTTGCATCCAGCCTAACCTAAGTTTTTAAAGTTTTGTAGCGTTTACTGGTTCTTTCGATAGCACTGAGTGAACACGTGCTTAGGCCCTAAGGCTTAAGTTAAGAGAGATAACACTTTTAAGAACCAAAGATTGATCTTAGTCGTTCAACGCTAAAAACACAACTTGATTAAATTACAAGAGTTACTGAATAAAAGGACGTAAAGACAACATATTGGCGCCAATTACGCCATGACACATAAACGCGAAAAAACTTTGCCAGGAAACTAAGATTTAAGACCCCGTTTACACAAGAGTGAAGCCGATCCGGATCGGATCCAAAAAAGTACGGATAGGCCTTGCGTTTACACGGGAACTGATGGATCCGTATAATTTTGGATCCGCTATCCGAACACTTTTGGGATCGCTTTCAGAGGTGATCCCGTATTGATCCGATCTAAACCGGATCCCGTGTAAACGGGTGGATCTGGTCCAGATCAGATCCGTCTACGTTATTTGTAGAAAGTGAGACAAAATATTCTTCAATTCAAGGTAGTCTGAATGTGTAATTCTTGGATTTTTGGCGGCAGAAGACCGAACATCAAGTTGACAAACTACTGTGTTGAAGAATTGTTACTAAACGATATGTGATCGTACTTTGTCCACATATTTTCCCAATCATGCCCATCTGCAAGCTTTGTAGTTTTGTAGTCCAATGCTACTTTTAAAAGTAGCGCAGTTTTTGCTTCAGTTCACTAAAATTTACCCTTTTTAGCGTAACCTCCCTCCATATTCAGGTTGAACTGTGTTTTGATCACGCACGAAGTTCTGAGAGCGTCGTATGGGCGTCAACTTACAAAGAGCGCATGCGCGTAACCTGTTGAATTCATCTGGATCTGTTCCTGTGTAAACGCAAATGTATCTGGATCGGATCCTGGGTAAACGTATTGCCATTTCAGGGATCGGATCTAAAAGTATCCGGACATTTGTGGATCCGGTCTGGTCCAGGTCTCGTGTAAACAGGGTCTAACACTCACATGCTAGAATGAACTGTATAAGCAGAATGTGGCGAAATGATATAAAATTATTCAACAGGACAACCAAACATGTTACATTTTCAACTTTTTTAAAGTGCCAAACTATTCACAGCTCAACTGGCAAAAAGCAAACAACAAGGTCTCATGAAGTATTTAGCACAGCACGTTATATTCATGAAATATATCTAACAAGTACTTAAGTAGTTGTTTTTTTTGTTTCCCAGCCTGGACATATACTCTATCTAACAATGCACGTCAGATTTTGCCAGAAAACAAAGTTCAGTTGTACAACATGCGTAGTCATAAAGTTTTAGTGCGATAGCCAACAGTGGACTAGGTATAAGTACCTCAGTCTAAATAAAGCCTTTGGTGAAGTTTTAAAACTAAGTCTAGGTAAGTCTTATTTTTTTCTAGCACTTCAGATTCGACCAGGAAACAAAGTTTCAGTCGTATAACTTGTATAGATATAAAGTTATGGTGCAAGACCCAATTAGGATTAGATACAAGTACATTGGTCTAAAAATTGCTTTTTTGAATTTTTAAAGCTGTCTTTGTATCTCGTTTTACTCAGCACGTCAAATAACGCCAGGAAAAAATGTTTCAGTTTTATAGCTTGCAAAGTTAAAACGTTGTAGTGCTATACCTAAAAGAAGACTTGGTACCAGTACCCCAGTCTAAAAATAGCTTTTTTGGGAATTTTTTAAGCTTGATATGTATTTCATTTTACTCAGCCAATCTGATTGTGTACTTGTACCAAATTTTATGCCATTATCATAACATGCATAATTTTACTGTTCTGCGTCGGTACTATAATGGAACTTCAGAAAGCAAGTTGCTTGACAAAATTTAAAAGTTTCCACAGCCATAACTTTTTGTTTATTGGTCAAATCACATTGCTCTTTTTATATCTTTTACTCAGGTTTGCATGTTTTTTCCGATAGTATCATCAAATTTGAAAAATTCGAAATTCGAAATTTTGCTGACCGTGCATTTTTCATGCTTCTGGAAACTTAACTTCCGATCATTTTCCAGTATGTCACCAAGGCTTGAAATAATCATTAGCTTTTACTCTTATGATTTAAACTTTAAAATCAGGCAGGTTGCTAGATGGTTATGCAAAATTTCCTGTCTATAATTTTTTAACCGATTTTACACATTTGGATATATTTCACGATGCTCATTTAGTTTATGGGATCAAGAGTCAAAAGGTCTTCAAAAAATTTTACTTAAGGACTCTTTTGCACCTTAGGGACCAAAATCGTGACGATATTGAAGTGACAAGTTACCTGAAAAGATTATAATATTTTAGGGATGTATCTCACGTTGGTGTAGAAAGAGATGCATTGAGTCTCACAGAAGAGTGAAAAGTCACAGCAGTTCATGGGAGCTTTTCAATTTCAATAATAATAAAAAAAGAACGCAGCTATTAGCGAAATGGCTTAGGATCTAGCAACTGTAAGTGCCAAAGATGGTGAATCAGATATTCCTGATTAGTTAACAAGCAAAATGTAAACTGTATGAATTTAAAATTGGTAACAGATTAATCCCATTCTTATGCAAAAGATAAAGAACAGGATAACCTCTGGCAGTTAAATGTTTACCTGCTGCTGCAAGCAAAAGTGATTTCATGTTGAAATTAATATATATATATATAAACATATCATAGAAATTTGTGCAGTGCTCCGTAGCACAGTGCTCAATACGTTGGCACGTAGAGCGTGATATATCATAGAGTTGAAGAAAATTAGACTACATGATTTATCTCTACAAGCCTGTTTCGTGAGTAACTCACTCTTCAGGAGATGTTGATATACTGGAATATTCCTCGAATAAATAGATAATACGGTACAGAAGGTGTTACATAATGTGTAAGGTTATACAAAAGGTAAATTAGGGGCGGTACATAAAGGGATTTATGTGTTACATAATAGCATTTTGTTTCTATGGCGGCAAGAAGATACGAGTTCGTACATATCATATATATTTTTATACATATATTTATTCAAAAAAAATAAGGGGGCAGGAGGAAGTCATTTCAACAGGGGTGCGGCTCAATTGTGAAATTACTGCACCTGGTCGGAATCGAACTCCAGTTTCCTGCACCAAATTCTACGACCATCTTACTGAGCCAAACGGCCCAATGAAATGATCATTGACTTCTGAAGCCCCCCCCCCTTCCTGAGACCTTACCGTAGCCAGACTATTTGTTTATTCTGCTTTGGTTTTCTAAGCCATATAAATGAGGTACCGTAAAACATTTAATAAACATTTGATTTCAGTCTTATGCATAGTTTTTGAGAAAAATACAACTATAACAAACGTCATCACATTAACACCACTTTTCTTACAGACAGAAATTGCTTTTCCCTTCTACAATCGAGATAATACAAAAACGATGAAAAATTCAAAAGCTGGATATGAGATTTTTAAAAGTTACAAACAAACTTCCAGAATGAATTCAAAGTCAAAATTGAATCGAAAGCAGACGTAAGTAACTGTACAAAACACAAACAGTGTATCTAAACTATTTATTCAAGGTTATATCATTGTTCAACTAGGGTATTTGATATTTTTCTTTTATCTACGTGTATAGTATTCTGGCATAAATCAGCTGACAGCTACTTACAATGATTGATTAAGATTTACATACTATGATTATCATTATATCAATTGCATTATTATATGAATAAAGATTGAATTAATATGAGTTGTAGCCCTAGCTTTTTGATACCACGAAAATGGTAGAACTGACCTGAGATCTGATGTGGAACAGAATCCTTGTTATATTATTCAATAGTTTTTTAATCGTTTGTAGCGTAGTTGTAGTTAGTTTGCCGTTATGTGTCTTTTTACATTGGCCATGGAGTAGTCATTGTCTTTTGCTTCTCATGGTATCGTACATGTTGAGTTGTATAGTAATTCAATAGGTATTGTTAAACGTAACGAACATTGTAAATTTTTGTATTTGAATAAAAAACGGTAGAAGGAAGGGGTATCCTTTTAACTCCTTTTAAAGCCGACAAGTATTCTTCTTGACTAAGTAAATAATATTATTAAAGAGACTATAGAAAAAGGAGATTACTATAATCAGGATCTAAAGTATCTCAGGTTTTGTTAAGATTGTCGCAGGATGCACAGGTAGAAGTTCCAGTCGTGGTTTTTTATGATACTTCAGCTAGAAGACCTAGGCCTTTTTAAAGTCAGTTGTCTGAAACAAGTAAGGTCTTTTGAGCTAAAGTGGTTGTTGCCTTCAACCTATTATGATAAAAATGCTCTAACTTCTGCTTGAATTGCAGAGTAAGTTGCCACATGAACCTTTTTTCTTTAACAAATTGTTCATAATGCCAAAGTTGGTTGCTTTAAAGAAATTAAAAATATTCTGGCTAATATTTAACTAAAAGTTGATCAGAGAGCGTGGTAGCAAAGTGGAAATACAGCAATTTTGTTTTGATTCGATTTTTAAATGACTTTCCATGCATAGAAGAAACTTTAACATAGGTGAGGTCTCATTGCCTCGTTTTAGCAGTTGATGTCGTCATCGTTTTTCCTAATGACAACTCAACTTACTCACTCTTAAAAAGCCAATGTGGTCAGTTTATCTTTCTTAGCAACCTGCTCGAGGCGATGAGGTTGAAACTACACGAAAACTAATTGACGAATGCTTTTATCTGAGAAGAGCATATGGTTAGAACACCAGACCCTATTTAGTCACGTTCTGTTTCAAAGAAATTACCTGAAAGCATGTTTCCCCATGTATGCTATGTTATAGACGCGAAACAAATCTCGATGGACAATTCACTAATAATGACAATAAATATGAAAGGAAAAACGCCTTGATGAAATAGTTAAATAATACAAGCATAATTCGCATTATGTTGTCTTTACATACACAAACCTTTGTTCTGCATCACCATCTGTTACAAACCATTCAATAATTAATGTTTTCTACGTCTAAACGAGCTTATTTATCATTGGATCGGGCATCGCTGTTGTTGATTCATGAAATAAATAAAGAGGCACAGTTTTCAGAGTGGAAGGGCAAGAAAGATCAGTTTTGTTAATTCAATCGGGCAAATTAGACACTGGTTGTTAAATGATACCATTGGTAGCCTGGCTACAAATTGAGACAATTATCACTACACATTGCTTTCAAAGAATACATGAAAACTGCCTTTTTTCTGTTGAGTCATCGACATAGTATTGGTTCAATTGGTGAAATTGTCAACATAAAACTATGTTTTAAAGCCAAACGTATCCCGCAGTCTTGACTAGCGACTGTAACGAAGCTGTCAAATACAAGCTCAGTGGAGCGCTGTAAGCCGATTTTGGAGAACTGTTTTTAGCCAAGTTGCCTGCGACGCAGTTACTCGGAGTAAGTGTGACGGTTAAATTATACTCTTTGTTGCATAGTTTGAATATTTTCTGATATAGGTTAGCCGAAAAAGTGAATTTATTTGCCTTTTCTTTAAGAGTTTGTAAACTAGAATGTTAAGAAATTCGTTAGGGTGCCAATAGCTATTTAATTTGAAGCAAAAATGAGTTTCTTAGAAGATTTAAAATTTAAGGTTTGTGTAGTTTACATATAATGTGTACATTGCAAATTAAAAGTAGCAAACTATGCTCTTTGGAAAATCGTCTTTATTTTGCTTTTCCGATCGAGCAAATGAACCAGCGTGTTGTAATTAAACTAGCAATTCAACCATACCTTCATTTTCATTGTACATGTGTTTTTGGTCCAAACAGTATAAGTCAAACCTCGAATCGTCTGTATTCTTAAAGATTTAGTTTGAAGCATATTTGTTAATTAATTGTAGATCTATTTTGATATGCCTATTCTAAAGAAATTAGCTCCGGGGGAAAGCCTTCGTTATATAAGAGGAGGACAATAGCCTATTGTTTAAAGAAATGGAAAGTCCCTTGGCCTGGGGGGGGGTTGGGGTAATTGCCCCCTAGTTATTATGCTGAAAAGGCCCTGTATCTTTTTATTCATTTCATTTAAACTACAAAATCTATTGGTATAATTTGTGTAGGAACAATTCATATATGCATTTTAGGGAGTTTCTGCAATTAAAGATGGGGAAAAGAAGAGTGACTGATCTCATATTGGCGATAATTGTGTCATACATCTCAAAGCTGAGCTGTTTTGATAATGTGATTACATATCTTGGTAGTGATGAAATCCACCAGGCCTCTTACACAAAGTATTCGTCATGGAACTCAGAATCCACTGGAATAATTTCCTTTAGCTTCATAACTAGCAATTCTAATGGACTGTTACTTCATGTTGGAGACAGCAATTCAACAGCGTGGAATCGAAATTATTTGGAGCTACGGATCAAAAATGGAATGCTGAACTTTATATCACGCATAAAAAATGGCACAACGTTGGTCAAATGGAAGCGAGTCTGGTACACAAAAGAGGTTGATGATCTCAAATGGCACGATGTTCAAATAAGGAGAAATGGAATCAATGCCATGCTATCATTGGATGGTGAAAGATTGCTCGTTCAGTTTGGAGCAGCCAATATGTACGCCATAAAGATTAAAGGCTCTCTGTATTTTGGAGGTTTACCTGGAAATGGTCAGCATGACTGTCAATTATCATTCAGATCAAATCAGTGAGTATCGTGAAATGACTTGATTCCCTAAAAACAATCATCCTGCCAATTTTTTGTACTATCTTTTGTACACTTGGATCTCTACATGAATATGTTTCATGGCCATCTATTGCAAATAATAAATTTTTGGTCGCAATTTTTAAAGCTTGCTCGAAATATCGGAAACATAGCATATTAAAGCTTTTTTCGTCCGATACTCTGCAAAATATAAACGTCGGATAACGAAGGAGAAAAAGCTAAAATTTTGTATCCGGGTGTGGATCAAAAGTAACGTGAGAGGAGGAAAGACTTTTAGTGACGAAAATTTTAAAATCATTGGGCAATGTCGTTTTTTCATTTGGAAGTTTGGGAACCCGTTTGGATCAAAACAAGGGATTTTTAAGAAAGAAAGATTTTTCTCTCTCACTTTCTTCAACTTGCTGAGACGTAAGCGGTTGCTGATTGTTAAAAACAAGATAACCGTCATTCTTCAAAGACAAAATAATCAAATGGATCTTTTTTCCTCTCAAGTTACTTTCGTTCCACACCTGAATATAATTATTCAGCTTACTGTTCGTCGTTAGCCGACGTTTATACTCGGAAGAGTGTCGGACAAAGAATGCTTCAGTATGCTATGTTCCGGTATTTTGTGCGAACTTCAAATCTTGAAAAAATTATAATTTTCAATGTTCTAGACAAAACAATACTTTTTTAATAATAATTGTTAAATAATTTCTTTATTCTGTTGCCTGTTGTGCTGTCCTTCTTCTGTATACCAGAAAATGCTCTTTATATGGCTTTGGCTGTGTAGATATCAAAATTGTGATGTAAACTTTCTCGTGTAGATTTATTGGTGCAATAAAAGATGTTGGATATGGACCTCTTTTTGAATTTCAAAGTGGCTATGAGCGTATACTAGTCAAAGAGAGGGCTGTCTGGGGCTATGTCGACCACTGCTTGAAAAACCGCGGGAGGATGAGGCTATGCCAAAATGGTGGTATATGTGTGAATAAATTCAACAACTTTTCATGCAATTGCCTTGGCACTGGCTATGAAGGAAGAAATTGTGAAAACGGTGAGATTTATCTTTTAGGTAACTTAGGTTAATTTTTCTCTGAAAAAGATAGCATTTTTTTGGGCAATGACGTTATCAAAGGAATAATCAGATAGCTAATAAAATAATAATCCAGGCAACATATTGAAAGCTTGAAATATTTTGCATCCTTATTCTAAATTTATAAATATAATAATCAATAATCGATATTTTGGTTTTTTTTCAAATTAATATGTAGAAGAAACAATGAGAAAATTCACACGAGTTGACATTGAAAAAAAATTCAATTGAATATAACTCTCGGCCAAGCTAATTACTGTAAGCAATCAACAAAAATGAAGTTGACAATAAAGAACTGTTATTCATTTAAAAGAAGTATTAACTTTCTCAACTAATAAATCTTGATTTACATGAGACGAATTTTTTGCACAAAGTGAATTTTTCGCCATAATGGCTTCTGATTTCTCTCTCGCATTCGAAGTTCAATTTACACTGCCATCAGTTTTTATACAAATCCATTGCAAATGTAGCGACCGTTTTAGGAGTACTGTTGTTAGAAAGCTTAAAATTTTAAAGATACTTCAACTGAAAAAACAAGCCAACCAGCCGAAAAGTGATACTGGGTAAGAAAAATTTAGTTAAAAAATTTTCAAACGGGAGGGTTTCATCTTACTGTATGAGATCTGGGTTTGTATGACCAAGGAATACTTCTACAGGTACTTTCGAATATTGCCATCTAAGCTTGCACAAACATGCAAGATGCTGTTAGTGCATCTGCATCGAATAGATATGAATTATTTTAAGTCTCAAAGTTGTTGCTGTTGAGCTGCCAAATATGCAGACAACATGGCACCGTTTTATGAAAATTGTTGACAAGCGTCTATTTCAGACATACTGGTACCACGAAGGAACTTTCAAGCCAGTTTTCTGATCTGAATCTACTTAAATGTAGTGTTTACATAGAAATGAATAATTCCAACCCTATTTCATTGACGTTGAATAGGTTAGAGTATTTTACGTAGAGTAGTGCTGAAAGATCTAGGTCATCAGGATCCAAAGCAAACTTAACTGTCTTCAAATGCTGTTCTGATAAGTTTAATTTACAACTCGAAAAATTTTGCAGCGAAAAAATAGAAAAGAGCTCTACCTTTTGTGAAGGAAATTATGCTGATGGGCAGTGAATTTTCCAGCCTCTACTTCTGCGCAAATCTTTTGCATAGAATAATTCGCTTTGCACAGAAAAATTCGTTTCGACTAACAATATTTGAGTATCAATTATTTTAATCTACAATAACAAATACAAGGCCTTGTATTAACAAATTTATTCTGATTTCGCCATCCAGAGTCGAACTCTATTGGTTTCAGAGGTTTAGACTACGTTGAGTGGAAACCGTTGCCATCAGAAAAGTCATTGGAAGCGAATGAGATTGCACTGAGATTTAGGACGCGTGAATTAAACGGCGTGTTGATGTACATTGGCAATGCAACAAAGTATCTGGTAATCGAGCTCTTTGCTGGCAAGCTTGTCATTGGCAGCCAGCTTGATTCGGGTAATTTTTATTCTATTGTTGATATTTTGTTGGCCTTTATGCGGTTTTTCATTGAAAACTTGACAAAAAATCCATTTGTTTACATGTAGTGAAACGCACTGTTTGCTGGTCTGTCATAATGTGCTTGGTACCATAAAAGCAGAGCTGCAAACACATATATGTAAAGGGCAGGACGGTTCTAAGTTGCATTTTCAAGTTTCACACATAACGTGATCACCAGGCAACTGTTAAAAAGACTGTCTCTGCGGATATTAATTGGGACATTAATTAGTGGTTATATCCCTAGAGATATTTATTTTTTCAATTGCTATACTGCTCTGCTTAATACACCTATCTATGTTTACACGAAAACATCAACATACCTTAGTTATGCATCGGGAAATATTTAATATCCTTTCGCTCTCCACACCAAGCATAGCATCTTAACACTCACAAATATAGATATCATGGCAACAGAAGATAAGATAATTTATGATAACAAGAATTCTAAATCTATCAACAAAATGTTGTTCGCAAAAATTTTCTATTAGCAATTAAGACTTTGTTTTAATTTTCGTTTGGATTCAAAATTTCTATCTTTTGAATAAATATTATCTTTGTTTTGAACATAATTCTTTTCCTTTGAAGGAAAAATTCCTAAGAGCAGCTATTTTAAACCTGAAACATCATGTTTCGAATATGGATGACTTGTTGGGGAGACGAGCAAGAGAAAGTTTTTTAAAAAGTGAGGCAACCCTCCGTCATGGAGTCAAAGAGCATGCGCACAGAACGAAGTTATTATTACGCATGCTCTCTGAATCCAGGACGGAGGGCTGCCTCACTCATTTGAAAATTTTCGCTCGCTCGTCTCCCCAACAATGACCCTTATTAATTTAGTAGTGAATCATTTATGAGAAAAACAGCTTGGGACTGTGGTTGGACATAGATGTCATGCTTAAAAGGGATTTAAGAATAAATTTTGGCTTATATCAAGTGGTTAACATGTAATCTTCTGTAAGCATAAGTCTTCAGTCATTAATTCTTTTGTCTAGAAAAATTTAAAATCACACCAAGAGGCCAATTTCGTTACATACGCCTCTTCAAACTTTAGCAGCGTCTGGGTGATGGCGTCATAAATTTCTAACCTGTGAATCATAAATTATATTACAAGCAAAATAATAGAAACTTTCAAATGGCTCAAATAAGATATATCTTTTGCAAATTTGCTTTGAAGCTGCTATTAAATATTATTTAGACTACTGCATGGTTCCTTTTTGCCATCATTCGCTGATTTAATAAAACGCAAACAGATTGAGTTCTTTGGGAAAAAGCCTTTGTTTCTGAAACTAAATTTCACAAATTTTGTAATGATTGAGCGTTTTTCATATGCTCAATGTCTGTTAAAAGGTTTTGGAATATCCGCATCATCTTTTTCTTTTAATGTCTATCCACATCTACCCATCCCTCTAAATTGTAAGATTTCCAATTAAAAAATGACGACAAATGAAAGCGAGAGTAGAAAATATCTTTAGCCAGATGACTATGTCACTTACCTTCACTTCTCTTAAAGGGAGGAGGAAGAGCATGAGTAAGCTTGGCCAATACAACCGGGCAACCCTTGATATTCATATGCTCGTGTTTTGGATGGCCTATTTTCATCCACAACTGGATACATATATTTCCTAGCGTAGATTTCTCGGTCTATGTTCTCACGTTTTATACTCTGAAGAGAGAGAGAGAGAAGAATAGTTTTGACATGGGCTAAAAAGTTTGCTTATTTCAAAGTTATTTTTGAACTGATACCTTTTTATCTTATAATGAAATATCAAATATTAAAGTATAGCAATTAAGACACATATTACAGTCATTAACAATCACACTCTTCTTATCTGCATAGGCTCTGATATTTTTCTCGCCTATTTTATATCCTCTCCTTTTTATATCAGAAAAATTGACAATCATTGCAAGCAATCGCACCCTTAATAACGACGACTGGCACTTGGTGGAAGTATCTAGACGAGAAATGCATGTCAAAGTCTCATTGAATGGAACGTAAGTAGCTTCCACCTCTCTAGTTGGCAAAGAAACATAGTTTGCTTTTTTAGAACTTGTGTAGGTATGATGAGGAGTATTTCTGATATTTAGAATGCTTTATGGAGATCCTTTATGGAATATTTCGCAGGGAATATAAATACTTGTCTCCTTCTCTAAGTTTTCTTTCAAGTTTGCATAAATCATGAAGAGCATCGTTCAGGAATATTTTGTCCAAAAGCATCTAACTTCTGTAGTATACGCTCAATTGGTTTTTTGAGATCTGTAAGATGAACTGGAGGAATCTTCCCAACAAATATTGAAAATGCTGTTTCAATTTTAGAAACAATACACAATCATCAATTCCTGGAAGCAGCTTGAAACGACATTTGCAAGATTCAAAGATATTTGTTGGCGGAAAAAGCTATGTCAACTGGCTCCCTGGAACACTTTCAAAACAGTATTTTATGGGTTGCCTTCAACAGGTCTTTTACAACGGAGTAAGAAATATTCTATTGATATTTTTCCTACAATTATTTTACAGTTACACTGTTTTTGAAACGATAGCCGTTTGTGCTTTAAAAGACTATTTTGAGCTGCTTACTTAATAATAATAAATTCTTAAGTTCAGAATTTTAGGACTAAACTTGATAGATCATAGAATATTGTCTCACCACATAGAAATGTTGATGTGAAATTTTGATCTGAAATAGGTGAAGTACGATACACTTTACAGGCCGTTATGGCTGCAAGACTGGTGATTAAAATCAGCTTTAATTTTTTTAACTTTTAGGGGAACGTAATAAAAGCTATAATAAAAACTTATCGCACAACAAGCAGGAGAAGGACAAAGCATGGGAATATTGTTAGTGGATGTCCTAGTAGAACAACCAAAGCCCCTTTCACAAGAGGGCCTAGAAGTAAACGTAAGTATTTCATCGCTATTTTTTCACTTAGGCTCTTGATATGAATGATCAGCTATTCATTAATATTCATAAACGCTATTACTACTGCCATAGAAAGATAGAATGGTACGATCACTTTATCGCACGATCACTTTATCGCACGATCACTTTATCGCACGATCGCTTCATCGCACGACCACTTCACCGCACGATCACTTCATCGCACGATCACTTCATTTCTTTCATTGCTTCTTTGTTAAACAACTTCTACGCTCTAACGTCCTCTGCTGTGACCTCCGCCGTTTTTTCTTTCCCAGTTTTCCAAGATGTCATATTTCCAGTTAATTTGACCTACGACAACTAGAATTACCTTCAGCAGCCAAATTATCAATTCAAAATTGTAATTTCCTTCAATTTTTCTCAAAATAATATCATAGCATCAACACTAATTCAAGCATTTCAAAACATAACCTTTTATGCATTTGCATCCTTTTATTATTATGAATATATTTGTCGAAACTAGCAGTTATCTTACTGTTTAAGGTTATCGACCAACGGTTTCAAGATTGACAAGAGCAAAAGCAAGAATCGAGAACAAAGAAGAAGTAGGCCTACCATTATTCTTTGTTTTTCTATTGTTGTTTTATGATGTTTTGTGACTTACTAAATTCTTCTGTCTCATATCTGCTAATGTACACGGTAAAACAAAATGTTATGCTTTCGATACTGTTAGCCTGCACATATTGCCAGATTTTGTTGTTTCGATAAGTCCTATTTATCGCATGCAACGGCTCAAACCACAAGAACTAACTAAGACATTGTCTAAAATTCAAATAAAATATTATAATGTAATCCACATTCACCACAACAAAAACAATATGATTTTGCTTCCATCGCAAAAATTCTATTCAATTGGTAGAAGAGAACACCCATCTTTTGGCAACGGCTCTTACATTAACTGTATCGATGTTTCCTTTTTTAGGAAGCTCCGAATACAAGAACTGAGTTAAAGAGAATCAGTGGCACTTCCCAAACCATGCTTATTATTGGCATTATAATCGGAATTATCGTATTGGTTGTTGTGATATCAGCTACTGTTCACTATTTCAAGAACAGATACAGGCGTGAAATGGCACTGTCTGCAGTATACACGAGGTCACCGATCGAGAATGGCACAAGCTCTGGGACAATGCCTATGTACATTTCACCATCATCGTCAGGAGAAAAAAGCGAGAAACTTAAGGGAATCGTAACCTGAAATTGCAGTAGCGCTAGCCTCTTGTTCAGATGCTCTTAAATAGAAACGAGGCATGAAAGAAAAGGAAGAAGAACACATTGCAGAACGATGATTAAAGATGCAATGTTATGTTTACGGTCAGCATTAGATTCAGATAAATAGAGAGAGATGCAAGTATCCAAACTGTGGCTGTTGAAGGTGTCTTAAAATGCAATGATCGGTTCTTTCAGACTTCTGTACAAGTGAGCCAAAATTTGGTACAAGAGAACTGCTCAAAAAACACTGACGCTTGGTTTGATAGTTCATTAAACCCTTTGCTTTGATGACATTTAAACAAACTTTGATGTTCTAAAACTCTTTTTAACCTAACACAAAAATCGTCGATAAAGAGAGCCTTAAAATCTGCAACTGATACAAAAGAAATTATCAATTTAGAGATGTGAAATGTTTAACATGAATTTTTGTTCAGAGAAATCTGAAAAAAGATTTACAACAAGGTATCTGCGAAATTAAGCAAAGAACTTTTCTAAAATACTGTAGAAAAAATGTCATTCTCCACAAATCCTAATCAGAATCACTATGGCTCTAAAAACTTTTTTAACAATTTCTATTACGATGAAAATTCGAGGAAGACAGGAATATGACAAACTTCTAATGCCATATCCTAAAATTTTAAGGCAATAAGATATTATTCACGGACATTCAAGTTATTCAAGTTAATTCGTATGTTGACAGAGGTTGTCTTAAGTGTGTTGAGGTTTACGGAAATGCAAAGACCGCACAACAAAAACTCATACAGTAGCCTAAAACCATTGCCTGGAACTTTCCCAGTTTGAATAATGTTAAAGAAATTTAATTGTTTGACACCCCAGGATTTGTGACACTTTTAAGGAATATTGAAGCTTATTCTATATTAGGATATGAAAAGAAATCTGCGTTAGTCGTTGCTTTCTTTTCTGATGTATCTAGTCCAGACCAGCTGGAAGGTTTGAACAATGCAAACCTGGCCAAGAGAAATGATTTTTGGAAATGTTCACAGAACAGTGATGAAAAGCCTTTCCATTCCCAAAAACTTCCACCCTAATGAGGAGTGTCCCCTAAAATAAAAGGAAATTCTGCTGATCCTGTTTAAGGTCTCGTGAACTTTTCCTTTCGCCTATTTGTTCAAGTTGTTCCTGCACTTGACATGAACCAACAGAAAACTGGCGTTTAAATGTCAAAATTGCTCCAAGGATATTTTTCAACATCTTTTTACTGTATCGTGCCTATAAAAAAATTGGCTAAAAAAATAGTGCTGGCTGTGTTGTAAGCGTATATATTTCCGAAGATGGGCATGTCTGAGCGAAGTCCTTCCGTGATCACCTTCAAAAAAATTCAGCTAAGCCTTTTACGTTCTATTTTTGTGTTAATTGGGTCTTGGCTCATTTTGGTGGTAAAAAAGTTATGATTGTGAATGTTTAGTTAATAATGCAAATTCCTGTAAATATGTTATATTATATAGTTTAAACTTTGTTGTACAAAAACTTGAATTGGTAAGGACGAACTTTCTTAATCTCAAACTTCAACTTCTCAAGTTCTCAAGCCTTCCAATGTCAGCTCACGATTCCTCGCAGTTTCCACTTTACCCAACAATAGCTCGAAATAGGACCAAAGTAATATAAAATTGTTCAACTTTAAATATTTTTTCAGTGAAGCCGCTATCTTAAGGATTTGTAGTTGTGTAATAAATAAAAAAGGAATGTAATTGGAGAACAAGATAGAATTAAAGACCTTTCTGTGGCAACGTTATGGAGTGTTTTCTTGGTCAGTGCTGAAACTGGATGTAAATAATTTTGACTTTCCTGAACCTATGGTTTTGTTTTACTGTTATTTGATAATATTTCCAAGGGTTTCTAAGGGACCAATTTTCTGATAAATAAGGCCTATGAAAAGTTATACTTAACAAAATCAATCGGAATTCTGACAATAATGACAAATTAAAGAACAGTTGGACTTTTTTTCTAAATAAGAAGCAGTTTTATTGCAACTGTGCATCCCAAGAACAGGAAGTTGCTCTTGAAATTTTTATTTGTTTATGATTACTCTAAACGATTGATATTATTCCAAATAATAGCGATTTTCTTGGGCAAGAACTTTGAGAGCATTGGAGCAAATCTTTTCACAGTCATTGTGAACGGTACGATCAACACTAGCATTATTTGGAGGAGTAGGATTGGCTGGTGGTTAGGGCTAGTGGTGTTCTCAAATCTGCCTCTTATAACAAACTAAACAACTCTAAAAAATTATTTTTCGAATTTTGCTTGACAGTGCCTTGGTACTTCTTAAATGTTTCTTCCCTCTCTTTTTCAATGATACATCCGCCCACCCAATAATTATTTGTTTTATACGTTTCCTCAATTTTAGAGAAAGACATTGTCATAAGGACTGAGTGCATTGAAGAGGAATGTGCTCATATCTTCCCATATGCTTTGTAGTCCAAAGCAGTATTCTATAGGGAGCCAAATACTGCCACTCTCAGCGAAAATCTTTGCTTTTTTATCACATCAGACCTTTTCTCTTTGTCGCATATCTCTTTGTTCTGTAAATTCACAAGCGTGAAAGCGTTCTGTTCATGCATTCCCTGCGAACTATATGCGCAAGAATCGGTGTAGCATTTCTTCGTTGATCATTCTTGTGTTACAGTTAAGACAAAATATCTGAGAGAGCCAAGAGAGAGACAAACATTTCAAGTAACTTCTTTAAGTTTTCATTTTACCTCTTTACTCGATTGTACGACACAACACACAATTTTTGAACAAACTACGACTGATTCTATACTTCTTTAGATACAATGAACTTCGTAAACAGTCGCACATCATTTGCTGATACATAGACTATCAACGCATTGACCAGTCTTTCGTGCACTTCCTCTATATTGCCCATGCTGCAGAATGTCCACCTGAGAAAACATCACAATCAAATTACACAGTTTCATATTAACAACATTGACTTGTAATTGGGACTGGATCGAGTTTCATACTGTATTGAGACACCCACGTTTGAACTCAATGCCAATACTTGAATGATATGGATTAGCGAGAGCCGAGAGCCTTTATGAAGTGTATCTGATGGCCAAGAAAGAAGATGGCAACCAAATAAGAGAGAACCGGTGCTTGAAGTGACAGTGAAGGTCAAAATGCAGGGACGGATTTAAAAGGCAAGGATCAGGGGACGGGGGGGGGGATGTTAGATAATGATTTTATTTTGTTGGAAACCATTCAGGTGACTGGAAAACAATGAAAAGACAAGTTTTAAAATTCAGCTTTTCATTTGAAGTTAAAGATAGATAGATAAAGATAGATAAAACATTTTTCTGCATCATTTTGCTACAACTGACAACCGAAAATGCTATTTACCGAGTATAAGCAAAATTTACCAAACAACACAAAAACATTTGGGGGAGGTAGCACCCTCGCACCCCCGCATCCCCGGTGAATCCCTCCCTGGCAGAGAGGTTAAGCTACTCCGAGGCACATATTTCGAATGAACTTTTATAACATCAGAAGCTCGATCCAATCAATTTTATAGGTCAACAGTGTATAACTATCATTTGAAAGGATACAGAACTCGGTTTGAGTAAATACCGAGAGGATTCTCTTGCCTCTGTCACATCTTTTCAGGTAGGTTTTCTTTTTGGGGATTTACTGTAGTCAAATATACTTTTAAAGCTGAAAAACAAACAGTCTTAGAGTACTCACATCATTAAAATAGACATGGGCCATGCATCCGCAGAATTTTGTTTGTGTGAATCCAGGAAATATCTTAGCTGTGTTCCATGCACCACCAAGGTGGACATTATCTATGATTCCGTTATTTTCATCGGCTGCTTCTAGGAACAACTTCTCTTCAAATCTATAGCAAAATGGATTGAGAAGCATTAAAATACATTTCAGAATATGTCTTGCACCTATATCTGTGTAATCATCAAAAATAATTGATATTTTTATGCATACTTTTGTTATGATTGATGAAAAGATTCTTAAATTGGAATTATATGGGAATACACTACTTTATGAGGCTCAATTGACCACAAGGCCTAAGTAAAATATGTCGTGCTCTTGGTTATTTGAAAATAATAATATCGAATATGACTTGACAAGTTAAGAACAAACTGTAGTAAACGTCTTATAGCCAAATATGCTCCTTGCACATCACCAGAAATTAGCATTCCTACTGTCCATGCACTTTCTGTACCTATTTCGCCATACGATGCTGTTAAGATGTGAAGGAGATAGAACAACGCATGGGTTGAACAGAACAGAACGATAACTTTATATTAACTTCAAACGGCCTTAACACATAACTGTAATACTTTAAACTGTAATCTGAAACTCTATATAAACATGGGTCACATAAAGTAATGCTCCTGCGCATAGTCTATTAGGTTACTACAGATGCTACCAGAAGTCATGTTTGATACACTGCACCACTTTATTGTTCCTTTTGCCTCTTCCCCTTATAGTCCTAACCTTTTCAAGTTTCCCCTCACATCCTTATGTACGGTCCCAAGTGATCCAAAACATACGAAACTGAAACTTATTGCAATTCCATTTTCATTCATTAAGTTTATCAGTGGTTGATACTTATTTCCTTTTTCTTGGTAGATTGTTTCCATATACAAATCAAAGCAGACAGTGACTTCAACAATTTCAAATTCTCTCTTGTTCATTTTTATCTCTAGTACACCAGGCTTCCTTTGGTTTAGCTGTCACAATGTATTTCTGATGTGTGGAAAGCTGTTCATGCCATTTTGTTGACAAATAACGTTGATGTTGAATTCTTATCTCTGTAGCTGTTTTCTGCACAAATTGATTAAGTGTGCCATTGATCAACAATCACATATACTATACTTTTTTAATCAAAAAGTTCGATACTAACGTTTTATCCACTTGTGCTCTGACTTCCTGCTCTCGCCTGGAAACCCTGATGTAATGCCAAGCATTATCGTTTATCTTGTAACTCTGTAGAATGACAGTCTTTTTATTACCTGTATTAAAACAAATACTTCAGCTACCTCCTTAACAAATAATGTATCGTGAATTGACATTGCTTTGTATGGGGCATAGCATCTTTGGAAGCTAAGAGAGCAAAAATTATGTTCCTATTTAGTGTTTTATCTCGCTAGTAGTTATGCAGTAATTCTCAGGCAAGTAAATTGGGAAATAGGAAATATTCTCCCCCACAAAACATAGTACTCTGGGAATCAGAGCTACATAAATTTTAGCGGGAAAACGGAAGGGAGGAGATGGGAAGTGGAAAATCATTTTATCCGCCCCCTTTTTTTGCATGAGTTATTGTGGCTCTGGTACCCAGGATATAAAACACGCGTAAAATGCCCCTGTTTAATAAATTGTCTAATAATAGATCAATATAAGCAAATTTCAGAGGGCTATAAGACACTAATACCACAAAGCAACCATTGAAATGGTCGTCATGCTACAATTTTAACTGTCAAAATATCGAGAGTGCCTTGACTCGGGCAAGTAATCTTCCTCGCACACTGTTTGCAGAGGTGTTTTGGAAGAATGCACAAAGATAAAGAAGTGAATCAGATTTTGCCAGACAGTGATCAATAAATAGTATTTTGCCAATAAATGCAAAAATTGTTATATTTTTCACTTTTAGCAAAAACAAGTGGAAGTTTTCTATTTTCATTTGTATGCTCTGTGACTTCTTACAAAAAAGACTGCCTTCTAATTGTATACATTGACCAAATTGTGACTACAAACTAGGAAATTAGAACGGAAGCAACATTTTTAGCCCAAATAATTCCCCTTTATGTTTTAAAAGCCTCAACATTTTCAGAGATCTTTAACAAAACCACTTCAACAATCGATGCGTTGCAGCCCACTATCCCCCCCCCTCCCCCTCCACCGTCAGGCGGAGGTTTTGATTATAATGAAAGCAAGAATCATCCAACTCACCTGTTTTAAGCTTGACACTAACTGCTAATTTTTCTTGTAGGATTTCAATTACAATAAAGCTGAATCTGTCACCTAAACCAAAGATGATGCCTTCCCGTGCTCTTGTTTTGAATCCGATGACAATTTCTGTTCTGTTTGACACAGAAAAGCTACGGTGCTCTAAGTAGCCAAGTCCGTCGAGAGTAAGAAGTATCGATGCTGAAAATGCATAGAAAATGAAGAATAGTGATTGGTTTACCAAAGTCTCCTGTGAGTTTTCTCAATCCAAAATTTTCTCAATTGAAAAAAAAAAGTTTTTTAGCAGAAATGAAATTGAAACTAAATGATCTTTAATCTATAACTATAACCAATTTTGTGATTAAAATGTGCAAGATGCTACAACTCTACCTATTTTCAGGCAGATGAGGATTTTCCACACAACCTTTGTTCACAAAGTTTCGTTTTTGCTGAGACCTTAAATATTGCTAGATACGATTGAAAGCATTTAAACTAAATAAAATATTCCGATACACTTAGCCCATGGACCTTATGTCTCACGTGAATGACTACAGTTATTTGCAAATGTAAAGGATCAATTCGCTGAAGACCTTGAGGAAGAAACAAGGAAAAAAACAGTACAGCCTTGCTTTAATGATTTTGCATTAAGTTGGTTGAAGGCTGTTTGCAAAAGCTTTGATTTTGCAGGATGCTTGTAACAATGGTATTTTTGTACTATGAAGCTAAAACAGGGCTTGTATTCCAAAAACACAGTTGTAAGCAAGATTTTGTAACACAAAGCGGTAATAAATACCCTTACTTACGCCTCTCACAGTATATTCCTTCATATCCAGTTGCACGACAGTCACATTCATAATCCAAGAACTTGTTACGACATATACCCCCGTTCTGGCATTCATTGCTTGGCAGACATGCATCCAGACATACCTCTCTTTGATCCACGTATTCGGTGTCAATCATGCGTGGTGGACCAATGTATGTTCCTTCTCCGTAGCCAAGATCCTTTATACAACCCAGGAATCTGTGCAAGCAACAAGAAAGTCCGTTTGACGCGCCTTTTTATGCATTCAGTAGAAGATTCTTTTCACAGAAGTCTAGCGTTATCCTAGACAGGGTTTTCCGTTTCTCAAAATTTCGATAACTGATTACTGTAGCGTGTGTACAGAATTGGTCGTGGCGCCAATTTGCAAAAAGTGAAGGAAGTTTGAGTTAGAGGCAATTCAAGTAGAATTGACAGTATTTGAACTTAACCAAATTTTCATTTATTCGAATATTCTCTAACCAAATCAAATTTCTATGAACTTTCCACATTTCTATGTTAGCAAACACAAATATTCGTTCAATTTTAAAACCTTTTCTCGTATGAAAATTGACAGTGACTACTTCTATGAACCCAGTCAATACATTCTAATAACGATCGTACTGTCAAGAGCCACTGATACGCTATATTGACAGTACGAGATCAAATAAAACTATCCTTTAGAGTTGACAATGGGCTTTGCAGCGCGTTTATGGTCAAGAAAACATTGAGAATTAGCCGATTGGATACGTGATAATAGGTCTATTGTGTAGTCCAACCAATGGGAAATTTTAATTGCCAACAAAATTTGTTGGGACATAGTGCCTTTAACAATTTGCTGATAAAGATTAAAACTGTCATACCTTTGAAATCTTTTTTTATTGGATTCACAACCCTCTTCTAGATATTTTCTTGGAATGCCACCAAGATACAAATTCGAAGTTATTCTCAAATTGCTTATCCTGTCAGCAAGAGGCAGCGAGGCGACGTCGTTGTCGACTTTTAACACCGTGTAAGCACCCTTTCGTTCTATATTCACTCCATGCCAATTCCCGTCGTCGAGATTCTTCCCAATGCTTATTCTTTCCTCGATCTTATTCTCTTCGTGAGCATTAGAGAAGTAATGCACCTGGAATTGGTGATTAAAAGCTTGATAAATCCCTTAAAAGAGTTGATCGCTCTTTATCCAAAGTAGAGTATCATCCTTACGAACATTAATTTCATACCTGGTCGCCAAATTTACTTTTACTGAAATCGGTATTTGGCAACATACTGACAAGATAATGGCTTATTAATAATGACAAGATAATGTCTTTTTAAGAAATTTCCAATTACCATATAACTTAAAAAACCTCTGAATTGTAAGAAGTCGGCTCATTCTTTAAAGCTTTTCATAACAGCTTGATATAGTAGCTGTTGGCTTGTTTACATAGTTAAAACTGATGCAAAACTCAAGGAACTCGTCCTCATAAGGTTTTTTCTGTAACAAATTTTTGGTAAATTCATATTTGTTCACATTTGGGGTTATTTCATAACGCACTTTCAAATTGAATGATCCACAATCAAGATAGATTTTCTTGACGTCACCACAAGTAGATTCAATTTCAGAGGACTGCTGGGACTTTTTCTAGAATTTTAAATGAAATAAAGTTCTAAAGTGTGACGTCATCAAAAACCTATTTTTAGAATTTTTGAATTTTAACCACATAGCGTAAACGATCACCATGAAATACTTCCAAATATGCAAAATTGGCTAGATATGTCTAAAATTGGTTGAGATATGGCTAATGAAATATTTGAGGTTTGCTAACGAATCACTGTTATTTAAGTTATGAACAGAGACCAAAATTCTGAGGTTTGATGGGGATAAGCCAGTGCACATATGGCCAAATCTCAGCCAATTCGAAACACATTTGACTGATTTTGCATATTTAGAGGTATTTCACGATGCTCTTTTAGGTTGTGGGATCCAAACAAAAAACTATCTAAAGATAGAAGTTTGTGACGTCATCACTTTAGAGCTTTATTGTGTACCTGAGTAACTAGAACAGCGGATCCCCATTCAAGTTTCAGATACATGTAATTTCCAGCCATATCTGGATCGTTGTTATCTCCAACATGGAAAAGCAGACCATCGGAATCGAATGTCTTAAAGTTGAATTTGATCGTTCCAGTTTTTGCTGCAAGCCAAGGCTGGAAAATAGCCGATGATCCAGAGGTGTTCATAAAGTTATACGCAACAGAAAATTGCAGCTGTGCGGTATCACGTGCAGATATGAATACAAGCAAGATCCAAAGGTAAACTTTTAATTCAATCATGTTTATTGTCTGCGTGTTGAAGTTCTGCCTCTCTGGGTGTGCTTGATACCAAATCTGCTGTACTTTAGGACTGGAATGTACAATGTTATTTTCTTAACAACATTTTAACTAGGGTCTAAAACATTTAAAGAAATTTGCTTTTAAGAGCTTGATTTAAGCATAAAGAATGATTGAAACAAATGCTAAAAGTGGACATTTGCCACGATTCTCGCCCTATATTTTGGTATGCAAAGAATTGCCTGAAGCTTTCACATGTTCCTACTGTATTGTATAATGGTGGATCCATTGAAAAAGTGAATCCTCAACTTCAACCAGAGGACCACAGTCTGGTCTCCTCTACCTGGGCTACTAATTTAATGAAAAAATCACAAAGAAAAGCCTCGTAACGAAGTTTGCTGTGTGCAGCATGTGTATCCAAATTGTCAAACTGATTATTTCTGACAACTAAACTCTAATAATAGATGGTGAACTTCGATTCAGGAGCTTTGTGTACAGCCACAAAGTGAGATATTTTCATTCCGTGAAACTGTGGAAATACCTATCCATAGTCGATGCGTTTAGATGAAATATTTGAGGGAAAATCAGTTAAGCAGAAGTTTCATTTAGCTAAGATATTTGATATTTGATTCAAATTTCTGCAGAAGCTATGCACTCTCATGTTCTTTTTTCTATTATGTTATTGATATATCTAGATCAGTTATCCGTTCTACAAAGATAATTACAGCAGTTCTATATCTGTGTTTCGCATAGCTGTTGTTTGTAAGAGCGTTCCTAAATAAAATAGAAAATATAATTCGAGCAGTATTTTTAACTATTTGAAGTCATAAGGTGATACACACTGGTAAAAAAATCTACATCTATCCTTTTTGCTATGTTTAATTATCAAAATTGGTCATGTCACTATAAAACGGGCTGTTAATAAAAGTATTAAATTTTCCAATACCTTGTTGATGGTTCTTCAGCGATTCCTTCCTTTCAACGCACCAAAGACATTTTGTGCATATTAGATCATTTTCACACATGGTGGTTTAGCTTTTAAATTATTAAATGAAATCTAGCATATGGTACATGAAGCCTTCACCAAAACAATACGGAAAGAAGTTAATGCAAACCAGAATAGCACGGCTCTGTCTTTGAATCAGGTGTGCTACTGAGTGAGGGCCGATGCCACCGGATGGTCGGAGGCATGGCGAATCAAATGATTTCAAAGATTTTTTGCAAAGCAAATGATTTCAAAGCTCTAATAAAAGGTAAAAGAAGCCTTGACAGCCCCACTTTTGTTAGCCTTGGCCCCCAACTTTTAAATTCTTCCCGCCAACCTGCCATATCAGCTTTCAAGACTTTTTAAATCGAGTGTAAGAGAATTTCGAGTTGCCAAAGCCTAGTGCTAAAGCCCTAAAGCATACCAAAGTAAACAAATAAGAACGTATGGAGTTTATGTTACTTTGGCGAAATTCCTAGTTTTCAATGCGAGCAATTCTTTGTTATTGTTCTATTTTCTGTGCATGTACAATTTCCTAGTGGTCGTTCCGAGATGGCATTAGTCATTAGTAAATCAATCCAAGATTTCATTCCAAGACCCTGACTGTCTACCAGACGTAAAAGAGAACCTGTGCAATGGGAGAGAACCTGTGCAAGGTGCTGCACGTATCAATGCAAGGCTTTTCTTTCCTTTCATATGAAAATTGTCGAAAAAGCTAGAACAAGTCAAGAATAATATTTGATATTAATGAAATCTTTATTCAAGGCATATTAAACACAATCTCTTTCAGTCCTGGTGAAATTGAAAGAAGGTTCGCCTGAATAAACATAGTATCCCTCCATCTTCTTTGTCAAAAATCTGGCAATATAAGCGTGGCATGGCGCATGTTGCCACAGCTTTGTTGAAGAGTTGTTTACCCGCAAAGCATTCTAGAAGGCAATGCGTTTCAAAATGGCGTCTGTATCAGGAAACAGTTCTTTTGAGATCAGCATCAACGTTGCCTTGAATTATTTCGCTCTTTTTTGGAATAAAAATTTGAGTCAGCTGATTACTCATTGTTATCAGAATCAAATTCATATTGGGGGAGAGGGGCTGCCAATTGCATTCCATCTTATTCAATACACTGTTATAAAGGAAATATACTACCATTTGAGAATAATTTGGGGCCAGATGCCAAATGATGTTCACCGGTAGTCTAGAAACAAGATACACTGCATAGACGAGAAAGAGAACGCTCTTGGCACACACAAGAAGTCTTATATAAGAAGAGCAATTGGAAATTCAAGAATTTTCATGAATGTCCAAGAAACCAAGATACCTTGTCATTGAGGCAATTGAGGCCCCTTCCCGCTTTTTTGCAAAACAAAAGAGCTTTTTTACAAGCTTTTTCTATGGGTGTTATATTTTCCATTCCTTTCCTTTCCGTAAATGTTTTAAAAAAATAATAATTATAGCCGTGATAATCATTAAATTAAAACTAGAAGCTAAACCTCCGCTATTCATTTTGTTCCTCGTCATTGTCATCTTCAACATCTTTGTTTCAAGAAACATGCTGAAATCATGACTGCCTTTCTAGACAGGAAAATTGTTGTGACAAAGTTAGAAGGTGCCTAATACCAGATCTGATTATAGATTGCACATCTCTAACTGATCTATTTTTCAACAATATCTTGACAGGAAATCACGTGATTGATGACAACAATAATTTCCTTGAAAAGTTCGATCAACTTTTAAAATTTTCTGCCTTTGACAATGAAAATAGCCAATGAAACTTCTGCTTATACGGGCCTTTTAATTGGCACATTAGTTTTTCGATTTAGTAAATGTCAGTGATCAATTTGTGCGTTCGCTTTTTCAACTTGCAGAGTGGGTAAAGCTCCACACATTCAGCTTTATAAGTTCGATAGGTGAAACAAGCTAATCATGGCATTATCTTTTTATTGATGTTTCAATTTTGGACAATTAGCATTATTATTTGCTATCCTGGACATCTTCTTCCCGGTTCTCTATCATCCACAGGTCGTTCATAGACTGAATCTGTTCATCTTCTTTTCGGTCTCTCCCTCTTCCACTTCCCAATTTCAATTTTCCGTGACTCTTTTCCCAAATGCGACATCTCCCCTCTCGCCAAGTGTCCCAGGCATCGCAAACTGGTTTTCCTTAGCTTCTTTAAAAGCATCAAAAATCTTAATCTGCGCTTCACTTCTTAATTTCTGATTCTCAATTCCTTGGGGATTTGGCCTGCATATTGTCATACTTTATTTGTTTCTAAAAATTATATTAATTCGAATAGTAACAAGTCGCTTACTATTTCTCTTACGTGCGTATTGCAATCGGCATCTGTTAATAATTTGAAAACAGGTCATTTTAGACCTTTCATTTCAATGTATCTTGCTTGTTAGAAAATCTACTTCATAGTCAATGCAAATGCTTTTCTACCAGAGTATTTCTAGATATCTTTATGAGGCAGTTATATATAAAACAAAATGGATTTTTCTTAATGCCCAGAACTATATGACAGGAACTCTTGGCTTCATTGTGTTGTAGAAAGCAATATTAAATTTATCTTGTCTTTCCAATTCCTTCCTTCGATTATCTGGACTCCTGGTGTCAAATGAACTAGACAGCTTCAAGAGATAAGTCATCCTGAAAATATCTTAGCACTGGAATAAAAGTGATCTAATGTGCTTTTATGCAAAAATTAGACCGTAGAACAGAGATAACAACATCAGAATTAATCGTATTCAGAAACAGATCAATACTCAGGACCTACTATGTTGACAAGCGCTAGAATGGGGATTTTAGAAAGGCGTCACGCCCAATACAACTAAATGTTGTTGTATTTGACACTCGTGTCCTCAGATAACCCCGCCCCCCTCCCCTCCAACGTACCAAGTGGCTACCAAAGAAATTTGTGATTCTCCAATCTTATAACACTTGAGATTTAAATCCAATTTTCAACAATGTGGCGCCTTTCTACATTTCCCTTTCTTTAGATTCTGCTTAGATTTAACTTGAAGATGATCTGTCTAGCATGATCTATCATCTAGTAAAAATTAAACTTACACTCCTGGGCTGGTATTTTGTTTTATACTACATACATTCACGAACGACTGAATGAACAAACGTTAGAAAATATCTAAAACAACGACCCAATGAAACGCGCCTATTTTTTATTCAAGATTAGTTCCATCACCGTCTGACCATTATCGGACGCCAATATTCCGGCGAGTTTAAAGTGAAAAGTGCTTTTGCATGACTTCATTTATAAAGTTTTTTTTAAAAAAAATTAGAGTTTGTGCAAAAAGTTTCATTTTCCAGATTCTCGTTGTTGATCAGCTTGAAAATTCATATTTCAGTAACATCTGATTTGAAACTTATATTACTTAAACTCAGGGGCGCCGCCACGGGGTGGACTGGGGTGGACATGTTCACCCCACTTTTTTTAAGATCGAATTGCTAATTTTTCCAAAACTGGATTAAAAACATAAGGAAGGGGATGTTCGCTTTCTTCTCTTAGATTGGAACTTTGTTTATTTTGATACTCAAATAATGAGTACAAATGAGATCTGATCGTGTGTCGGATCATAAGTTCCGAAAATATTGAGAAACTAAAATGAAGATGATCTATAAAACACAGCTTTATCGTGCTAAACAGTTGGTTCATAGCGTATTGTCTTTTTCATTTTTTCTTGTTAAAGGTTTTTGGCAATAAGTAACTTTTAAACTTTAAAACCCTTTTAAGCTGTGAGGATAGTATAGTTGCAGCCTTACCTGTTACAGCTGTATCACCTTTTAGCCTCAAAGTCAGACCAAAGGTTGGAAAAACGTCTTCAAATTCGCATCTATCGAGATATGGCAGATAAAATAGACAAAGGAAGCCTCGTTAATAAGTGTAAAACCATTGCTAGCTAAAAATACTACTCTGAAATAAACTTTTATGTTATAACCATTTATGTGTGTAAACCTTTGATTATGAAATTTAACTATTTTTTGGGGGTTTCAAAATATGTCAAACTTGGTTATCAATAACGAGTGTGTCTTCTCGTACGGTGCTGCACCTGTTTTTCACCCAGACCCCTTTAACAGCTTCATTCCTTCATTATCCACCCCACTATTTTGGGGCTGGCGCCGCCCCTGCTTAAACCATTATAAATACATGCTCAAATTCAAAGCCTTCACAAATGACTGTGGAAATTTCTTACAAACCCTGAAAAGAATCGGAAGACCTTCTCGTTAAAAAAAGACCGTGTTTCTAATGAATGAATTTCAAACTTCATTACTAAATTATGAATTTTACAAGTAAAATATTTTTGCTTTCTTTTATTAACCATAATACAAATCTAAGGTTAAATATCGCGAAACAAAACTAACAACGGTAAATAGCTGTGATACCAAAACAGTAAATAGCAAGTTACCAGAAAATTGTCAATATGTTATTTTATCTAATACTTACTAAAAAATGATAATCTTTATATATCACAAGATTTAAAGAAGATAAATCTTTTATTTTTCTGCTGATAGAATTGATTGACACAATTTTATGATTTCGCTAGGGCACCAAATTTAACTGCCTCAATTTGAAATTGCATATACCCAGAACCAAACAGGATAATGGCGGACGCTGTCTGTCGCTGTCCTGGGCTAATAAGCATACCTTGAAGCATCCCTTAAATATTGCATAGACTTGCAAAGCAGGTCTTCCTACCGCATGATTACTAATTAAGAATTCAGTTGCTAGGTTGAACGAGTTTCATCTGCTCACTGGCCGTTCACTTCAATCATATGAAACTTTTGTGGTTTCCAAAAGTGTGCCGCCATGTTTTCTTGTTGCCATGTGACACACAGCAATATAATTTTAACAGTGTTGAAATTTGCTGTTTTGAAATTGTAAGTGGGAAATTTCTGAAAAATACACAGTTGAATTTGATAAAGTAGTTGCTAGCTTTGATTTGTTTGTCACATTCTTGGGAATCTCTGGATTGATAGAAAACAAGAAAACGCGATGTAGGTAAGTAGTTATCCATTATAATAGTGCAAACATCTTAAAGATCTTTAAATCAGGGATTACTCTGACATCACAGGATCTAGTTCTTCTTTGGTGAAAATTTTTACTTTGGCGATAACCGTTTTTCTCTAACGATATCATAAGAATCAATTATCTCTGATCTGGATGATTTTCAGTGTTTGTCTGGACGTAATGCGAATGTTTGTAATTTTGTTTAATATTTCGATCTATATTGATTCTGATAGAAGGTTGACTCTTCTTCATCTAGAGTAAGCTGGCTGAGCATAAGAGCATTTATTCCTGACACACCTTGTTGCAAACGGGAACTTGTGAAGCTAAAGAAAATTAGCTTTTTTCAAGTTCTTAAAAGCTTTATTGATAAATAAAACGAACTTATGAGTCAATATGTACTTTTGACAGAAGTATACAAGTAGGAAACTATAAATTTGTTTATGGTCTTCACAGAATCGTTCGGGGAAAGGTCGGGCTCAAGTAGGTTTAAGTTTTGATTTGCAGACAATACCCAAACACTTGTCAATTTAATAGCAAGTTTATTGGTTTATTTTACTCATTCCATTCAATTTAGTCTACATAAATTATTGATTGGTGGTAGATGGTCAATGCTGCTGATGGTTTGATGTCTTTTCCAGTGAGAAATAGCTCTGACATTGATTGACATTGATTGACAGTGATTGACATTGATTGACATTGATTGACATTGATTGACATTAGCTGACATTGTTCATTTGCAGTTTGATATCGGTGAAAAGAACCTTAATGCTATTGTGCTGGTTGCAATTAAAGTTTGCAACGTGCTGTCACAAGTAATGATATCATGATCATTTTTCTATATCTTTCTTTAAATTTATCTTCTCTATCAATTATAACCATATGCCAAAAGTCTTCAAATTCACATCACATTAAGGAGAATATATTTTCTTTTAACATTTGTTCTCTTCGCCTCCAGCAACTTCATACGTTTTTTAGCGCTACAAGACTATTACAAATGTATTCTTTAAGAATATTTTATTACAAAATAAGTAAAAATTATTAAATCCAATGAGCTAGATATGACCAAGCCGCTAGGTATGCGTTCGACACAAAGTTGGACGTTTACATCAATAAACTACGTCATGATACTTTAGTCCTGTCTCAAAGAGACCATTTGACTGTATGATATTAGGCAAATAGTTTTCAGATAAAAAATTCTGAAATTTTGAACTTGCGTATAAATATAATAGGGTTTCTGACACCTGTTCCCTATCACGGCCTAAATCAAGAAAAGTCTTTTTTCCTCTCCTCATTTTATACATTTGGATAACTTTCTCCAGAAAACAATAAAATATGGTGGAGTTCGAGAATGGATCTTGTACTCTTTTTGTTCTAGATGCTTTCCTACCAGTATTTGCTTGTTTGGAAGTTATGTTTTCTTGATTTGATCATACCATAAATTCTAAGTATTTTATCAACTTCTTCTTCAAAATCCACGCTTCAAACTTCCTCCGGATGAGATTTTGTCCTGCTTGCATTCCACAAAACTTTCTTTCTGTATCTTTTCAATGAGAGTTATTTAGAAATGGGTTGTAAGTAGAGTCGTTTTTGGTTTGATCTTTACGATCTGTCAGGTAGAAATGAACATTCAAGCACAACGGTTAGTCCTTTTTGCCTAGTATGCTATCGTTGTTCTATGTATGGACCTTTCTCAAAACAACTACATTGTTGATTAACCCTCTCTGACTCACAGTTGTATAACCACAGTGTTTCCAGGACTCTGTCAAATTTTGTTTTCCCAAACATGCCTCATTATCAATCATCCTCTTAATGTTTCCTTTCATATATAAGACTATATTTGGGAGAAACGAAGTATGCACGAGTCTTAGAGACTCGACAGTCTTTTTAAGCATTATCCACCAAAGCCTCAGAACTGCTTTGCGATTCGGTTCTGGGTGATATTGCTTAAAGAGACTGTCGAGTCTCTAAGATTCATGCGTACTTCTTTTGTCACTACACTACCTCCCACATGCATTACAAATGAAAGCCTAATTGCTTCCCCTTGGTCAGCTTTGTGTCCCCACTCAGTCTAAATATACTGATATGCCCTTACGCGGTCTGCAGCCGACTGTAGGAGGTGTCACTGGTTCACTGTCACTGGTTTCAATTAAGAATCGCAAGATTTTGGGCGTCTAATGGAAGCATATATGAAAGTTAGTAGTAAAGTAAATAATCTAAGTTCTTGTTTAATGAACAGTACTTCGCAAGGAAGATTGATTCTTGAGATGGAAATCTTTACGAAACAAGTGCTTGAAAAATTGATTGACAAAAAGTGCCATCTTTCCAACTCTTTTCCTCCAGTCATTCTTTTCAAAACAATCAGAATTGCAGATGCTCTGTTCCTTACTAACCTGTAGTAGCTATAGGACTCAAATGTTGATTAGCTGAGAGCTTGCGCTAAATCACGTGACCTCTCTCGCCGCTGAGCCAATCACAGCTAATCACAGCTACTTACCAACCTGCTGCTAACTATGGTTTAAAAATGATTGATAACTGGATCTCGACAAGAGACTGTAAACATCTGTCAACTCCATAGACTTTAGTAAAGTATATGCGCTGATAAAGAAGTAAGGTGTCCAAGATGCTGCAGAGAAAGGTTGGTTTCGATAATACTCGCATAATTGCAAATAGTATTGCATGATAAATGGATATATTTTTAGCTTGGAATGATGCTCCTAGCGTTGAATCATATTTCTAGCGTTGAATCATATTTCTAACCTGGAAGCGCCTTTACTTATTATAAATCTTGCTTGACACCTTGCACTTGCTTGAAAATTCAAAAAAATCAATTTATATGTAGATGACACAAGCATTTCTACTCCTCGGGCTCTGCTACAATTATCAGTGACTTGCTTTCAGTGTAACGAAAAGGTTATCGCATAGTGTGTGCTTATGTCTCAGAGAATGGGCGAGTCCTCATGAATGGAAATTGGTAGCTGAACCGGGTCAACTGAAACTCCTCGGACAGCATTAAAAATATGGGTGGGGCCAATTTCTATCGTTAATAACATGAACACTTTAACGTTCAGGTTAATCTGTATTGTATCCCGTGTCCATGGAGCCAACGTAGATAATATTCAGTTTGCGTTGTAAATTTAAAATGTGTTTTAGAGGAGACTAAAATAGCATATAGTGTGCTGTTTTTACTCTAGTGGAAATGGGAAGACAAGATTGAGAGGGTTTAGTCCCAAATAGCTCCGAAACAGTGCTTAAAGTGACCCAAAAAGCATATTGCTTTTTGCTTTAGTGTGTTGAGCGCCTGGAAACCCTTTAACCGCAGCCCATTGATCCTCTCATCTTTAGGAGAAAGTACAGCTACAGTCTATGGCTTAATGCAGACCTTTTGTTGGGCCGCTCTGTTTGCCTCCATAATGCGACCAACTCCTTTCTAACTCATTTTTTCTGTTCCCTTGGTGATTTGAAATGAGTCTCCTCAGTGAGGTCTGCCAACGCCAGTAAGTTCCACGATGGCGGAGCTAGCCACAGTGATCGAATCAAAACAAACTGTGGGAAGCGCTACCCTCGTCAGAGAATCTTTTTTCTATTCATTGACTTTATGCTGTATTGAATATGTAAATGATATGAATTATTCAAAACAGATTTATCTTTCTTCTTCAATTAACTTAAACAACTAAAATAGTCGCGCTTCTGGTATTGCTCCGACAAAGTTAATTTAAATGATTTGCGTAAAGTTTTGTAGTCTTGTCTCAAATTGTTCCCAGTTCAATCAATGACTGAGTAAGCTTAAAAGTATTGCATACTAATCTAACGTCAATGAGAGCTTTTTATTTTAGCAGATTCATCTTATACTAATAATCCGATACACAGATTCAATAAATATAAAGCTATACAGTTAATGATATCCACCAGCCATCCTTGCAGACTCTCCTGGACCAATTCCTTACTGAACTAGTCATCTACATAATATCAAGACCTTGTGAGCGAAATCTTTGAATGTCTTTGCATGCGTAATTGTGGCTTAAGTCTTGAAAAGGTAGTTTTTCGATTTTAATAACCTACGGCTGCCAGCTTTAAAAACATGACTTGTAAACCTGAATTTGTATGTAAGTTTCTTATTATAAACGAGCTATGGTATGAACCAGTTCTAATCTTTCTTTGACTATCATAACAGGTAGGAATATTCATGACGGTCTCCAGCAAACATCCATCGACAAAACCACATTAATTATCAATAGATTAAGCGTAAATGCCATTTATCAGCCTGCCCACCAGCAAAAGAGATTATATTGTTCATATCAGCCTAAACGTCTGTTGTGATTTTTCATTTAGAATACCTTTCCCGAATATTGCAACTTCGTCCTTGGAACAAGTCGTAAGTTCGTTTTATTTTTCCTTCAGATTGCAGTCTCATAAATTTTCTATTCGCCTGTCTTCCTTTGCTTTTGAGACACTAAGTGCTGCAAATATTTTGGGAAAGCTTGGTGTTGTAGATTATTAATTGTTCTGATTCTTGTCAGCGGAGACAGTTCTTGTAATGAGATATGCCAATATTTAATAATGGAAGAGCAAAGAAGATCGATTTAGAAAAGAAGCCCTTCAAAGTTACTTTTTCTATTTTGCTTGGTCTCGCAGGTTCTCCTCGAATCAAAATTAGGCTCCCTTGAAATTTTCAAACTACAGTTTGCCTTGCAAAACACATAATTAGTTCAATTTTTCCAAAAGCAGTATGCAATAGAATGTTAGATCAACTGTTTAGTTTAGGTCAACTTTTAATTTTTGCAGAGTATTGGTGACAATTCCTTTAATCATTTAGCAAAATATTCCAACGTTTCTTTATTATTGAACGAATAACCATTGAACCTCTGAATTTAAAATCTCAAACGTATGTTTACAACAGTCTGCCTGTTTTTTCTTACTTAATCCTTTTTTGAATAACTACATAATCATATTTTTTCAGCTATAATATCTTGGTGTATAATAAATTGCCTTAAATAGATTACACTCTTTTTTAAGAATATTCAGGCACAGTATTATCCAATGTTCACGAATATCATAATCAAAGTTTTCAACCATAATATCTTACTGTATAAGAAAAATGCCTGGATATTTTACAAGTTACATTAAGAATATTGAGGCCCAGGATTATGCAATGTTTACGAATATTATAAGAATATCGCTTAGCCTCACTACATTCATAGTCATAGTTTCAAACCATAATATCTTGCTGCATTAGAACTTTTTTTTAAATAAATTACAGTCTACATTAAGAATATTCAGGCCTAAAATTATCCAATCTTTACAAATATTGTAAGAATGTCCCTTAGCCTCAACACATTCATAGTCATATTTATCAACCATAATATCTTGCATTATAAGAAAATGACTTAGATACATAAATATATTACAATCTATTTATAAGAATATTCAGGCCACACACAACACAATACAAACATATGTGTCTAGCTTGAAAGCAGTTGTCTGTTTTTTCATGTTCGCAACGTAGAAGTTCAGAACTGACACATCGCTTCTTTCAAAAAGTGTGGATTTTATTCTAGGGTGGGCGATGTTCCCCTGCAAAAATGTTATCTCAAAACAACAAGAATACTTTAAGAATATATTCAGGTTGAAAACGAACATTTCTTTAAGAATTTCGAGGCTTAACAAAATTTAGAGTATGCTAATGAAAAATGAGAATATTTCTATAAAATATTATGTCTTGTGCTCTGTCTTGGTTTTTTAATGTTTTGACGATAGAACTTCAAAAACTGGTTAAAATTTTATATGTTTTTCCGTTTTGTCAGTTCTGTTACCAGTTTTTACTGATCTAATTTAGATTGTAACATAGTTATAATTATAAAGATTCAAAAGATAAAACTATGACAAGGAAATATGTGCTAAAACAGTCAAAACGTGATAATTGTAGTACGTTTTCAAGAAATACTGGAAAATGTAATTTGCCGGAACAGCCCGTCACAATGACAACAAAAATTTCGTCGGTAAACTGAATTCCCTTTTCGCATGATTTCAAATGCATCAGACAAGTTGCTTTAATTGAAACGTAATTCTTTACACCCCCCCCCCCCTTCCCTCCGGTTATGGACATTTTTCTATTACCTTGTTTTCTTGTTTTTGGCATCGTTTGCTTACCTCTTTCCCCACCTTTTTTATACAAAACTTCTACCTAAATGATCTATTACTGTTAAGTTGATGCTCTGAAACAATAATATAAGGCAAGCCAACCTTATGAGAATGCTTCGGAATTCATAGAGATGTTCTTACTGCTTCCATTTTTTAAACTTGCGTAGGAAAGTTTTACAGGACTTTCAACAATACACCAACTTTGTCAAATAGTGTGATGCGAAGTAGAATGATTTTGTGCTAGAATATACATCACGCACGCACCAGGTATGATACGGTAGGATTAAATATTGGCGTAACGGAGGTATCTGGGGCCCTGCGGAAAAAAACTGAAACGGGGTCCCTATTTATGGAATGCCACAAAGTCCAGTCCAATGTTGGGAAACACAATAGCAAGTGCAAAAATGGTTGATTTTTCTCGATAGTTCGTTGAAGAAAACTTGAGCGAAATCTTAAAAACATGGATATAAAAGTAATCCGGGACTCCCTTTTGGTCGGGGGCCCTTTGTTATCAATAAGGTTGCCTAATCTGATCACACCACTGCTTTTGACATTTTAACATAAATTCCCTTGATGAATAGGTACTTCAGCTTGAAATAGTCTGAATCTAATTCTAGGCAGATTATAATTATAATTCCAACGTCTTACATTAATCATGAAAAGAATATTCTTGTGGCAGTCGTTCCAAGCAACATTTTCCATCAATGCAAAATATTGAAATATGCTGCAATGAGATCCAAATGCCCATTCACCATACAAAATTTGAATGTTCCGTATCCTCGCTGTTGGTATCTAGCAAACAAACTGCGTGACATTTGGGAATCGATTCAGAGGTCAAAAAATTTAAGGTTTAGGGCACAATGGCGAGATATGTCACAGAAACAGAAAAATACCTTTGTCGTCTGTGTTTAGTCATACGCAGACGATCAGATTTTTGCAAATTTTTCGTGTGATTTTATGATATTTATACATATAAAAAAGTTCATAAAAGATTATTTTTTTCAACCTGACCTGTTAAAAACTAAGATATCTAATTTACAATATTTTACAAGATTTTGTCATAAAAGAAAACTAAAAAAGTTATAGTAGCAGTAGTTCCTGTCTATAGCAAGTCTTTGAAGGTTTTCAGGGAGGGAGTGCAAATTTTGTTTCTCATTTAAGACTGTTCCACAGTTTCTTACCTCGATAAGAAAAAGGCACGCTGTATCATAAAGCCCCGGCTAAACGACTCGATTTTCACTCGATTTTTTACTCGACAAGCATACTACCCTGGGACCTCGATGTCCAGGGGACCTTTTTAAGTGATGAATTCCATTTTAAGAAGGGAATTAATCAAAAGAAACAAAATTTTGCCTGAAAATAGTAATTTATTTAAACGAAATAAGTATTTAATGGCGGTTCCTGCATGAAACGAACGAACAGGGTCTTATGTCGCTCGAGTTCGTCAAGAGATTGTAAAAGGATATTTGCACACAAGATAAACACGGCAGCCGATTTGCGTTTCTTTGCCTTCATTTTGTTGGCGCGAGTGAAAAGTCGAGTGAAAAATCGAGCGAAATATCAAATCGTTTGGCCACCCATGCTCGACTTCGCTCGATTTTGAGATCAAATGTCGAAAGAAAGATCGAGCTAAAAATCAAATCGCCTGGCCAAGGCTTAAAGTCATATGAGCGCAAAAACCGTCATGCGGAGGCGATCTAATTAGATCATCCGTTAAATTTTGTTTTCGTTGCAGTCGCAGGTCTCTGCACACAGAGATATTTTATTTTTCTGTCGCAGTAGACAAGTTCTGCTTTAAGTAGTTGCGTAGTAGCTTTACTTTCCATTTAGGGGAAGGTCATATTTGTTGACGGTCACATTGAGGGTCCGCAATGGTAAAATTTTCCGCTGAAGATATAGATGGTGAAATATTTAGGTGCCATTTTGCCTAGAGATAGACGATTTTACCGACTAACTAAGGATTTTGTGGACCAAGTAAAGATTTACCGAACGTCTCGTGAATAATTGGGGAGACTTTTGCAAATAGTTTTCAAAACATTTCAACCAAACAAGCCTAAATAACCTGGTCGTAACATTGACAGCGTTCAAAACCTCGGTAGTTTTAACAACATCTAATTCTTGAGCTTAGCTTTTGAGATAAACATAATCACAATACACAAATTAAAGATTTCAAAAATTTCCCCATCGATGTCACTCAGCCACACTTGAACTCACCATGGTAACGCTTCCTCGGCAGTCTCTTTTTCATCATGCCGTCCACAATTAAAATGGCAGACTTGCCAAATGTTGCTCTACTTAAGATTTTCCAGTACCAAAACAGGTTTCAGTTGAAAAATATATCATCCCTGGTATGCAGAAAGTGGAAGCTCGTTGCAGAGGATCCCTTGTTATGGAGAAAAGCAACAGCAGTAATTTTTCCGTCTGCAGAATCTTGCACTTTCCTTTCGCAATGGGTCACAGCTTTAATCACAAAAGGCCACGTCAAGTTTTCGTTCAACGAAAATTGTGCGCGCAAATTGATCCTTGAGATATGTGAGATTGCGGCAGAAAGTATGACATGTTTATCAATTAACGGGTCACGAAATATCGATGGTAATGCCATCCTCCAAATTTTATCTCACGCGAGATCGATTGAAGTTTTGGCTCTACCAAGCTGTTTTGGGTTTGTTGAATTCACAAGCCTTTTACGTTCGTCGGCAAAATTCAGGAGTATCCAGCACCTTCTACCGAATCTTTCGGATCTTGATATTGGTCACACAACAACTGGAATTATATTAAACTACCCAATATCTTTTTTGCGCTGTTTGAATGCAATCATGTTGCAATCATTAGGTTTATCTGGCCTAGTTTTCTCAACTGCAGAAGAACCAGCTTTGTTAGACTTGCTAGCAAGTTTCAGGCAAATCAGAAAATTGGACATTTCATTCACAAATTTATCAGAAGCTTTCCTAAAAGATCTTGCAGACCTTGAACTGTGTTATTTAGATGAACTGAATGTTGTGGGATGTCAAAACATCACTGCAGCCATTATTGAAAAAATATTCCTAAAATTCAGTCTTTTAAAGAAGATGTACATTAAGAATGTAAAAGAAGAAATGTCATATGTTAATATCTTTTATTATATTTCAAGATCTAATTGTAGTCTAGAGTACTTGAGATTTAATAATAGTTGGGTGCAGCCAAACATTGCAAAATTACTTCAATCAAACTTGTTTCCTCAGTTACAAAGAAATACTTCAGCTTTAAGCCTGAAGAAATTGGACTTGTCATACTGTCCAATTGGAGAAAATTTTCTGGCTTTGCTTGCTGCAAATTTGAGAGTATGTGACAGCTTGATTTTGGCATCTTGCAATATCAGTGACTCGGTTGTTCTTGCTGTTTGCAAGGAATTTTCTGATCTTCAAGAGTTGGACATATCAAGAAATAGAAAAATAACAGACTTGGCATTTGTGTGTTCTTGCAGATATGATCAAATCAAAGAAGTGATGTCTGCTAAGGAAAACCAGAAAATTACTGTTTGCAAGGAACAATGTGCAAACATTTCAAAGATGCACAGAATGGAGGTTTTGTCACTTAGCTATTTAACAAAGCTAACTGATGTTGGATTGATGTCAATACCTCACCTTGAAAATTTGAGAAGCTTGTCTCTTAAAGGGTGCAGAGCTTTAACTAGCACTGGGCGTGTTAATCTGTACAAGAAATTGTGTGTATTGATGTATTTAGATTTGAGTGAATTGGAAGTTGAAGATATGGAAGTGCAAATTGTGACAGAAAATCTTAATTACTTGACTGGACTGAATTTGGCAGGAACAGATATAACCCACAAAAGTTTGGATCTCATTGTCATCAACTGTCCTTTGCTGAGAAACCTTGATATACTGTATTGTGAAAATTTGTCAAATGATGAAGTTTTAGGTTTCCTAAAGAGCTTGGGAAGGCGGTTAAACAAATTCCAGTCAACATGGAATATAGAATATGAGCTGCTGCATGTTGTTTAAACACTCATTTCTTTGCAATGGAGATTGTTCCCACCAGTTTTATTTGAATTGAGTGCTTTAAGGTAATTACCGATGTAACAAGTCAACAGTTTCCACGTGGCGAGATTCAATGTTGAAATTTGTATTTTGATGTGATTTGTTTTTCAGAAATGCTATACCTCACCTCCTGGTAGCCTGTTTTATTTATCTTTTGTAAACTTTGTTTTATAGACTTGATGTTTTTTTATTTTATCAATGAATGTTATTATGTGGATAGTTCTATTGTAACCTTTAGTTATTTTTGTATGTTCTCGTTTGGTAAATTATGATTACTTTACTTTATTCTTATTGCCATGGTATCAAGGGCATGTCTAATGGAGAGGGTTATAGTGTTATATCTCCAGTTGTGACACCTCTGTATTTTTCGTGACTTAGTCCATGAAATTTCCAGTTCTTTGGCAAAATCATTCATTAAGTAGAGAAATCACAGATGAAGTTCCAATAGAAACATGATTCTATTCATTTAAGTTTTCATCTTTAACTTTTACAACACACAAGGTGCTCTACTTGTTGGTGTTTTTATATTCCCTTATTAGCTTGTTGCCAGTGACAAATTTACGTAATTTCTCATGAAAGGTCAATAAACGAGATTATTTTGGTCACGATGGTCATATTTTGTTAGAATGCCAGAAATGCTATATAAAACCCCTGTGCGACAATCCTTGTGAGCTTTTTACTTCAACCAAAATAGCAAGTAAATATGACAGGGACAGCAAAAGTTTGCCTTTGACTGCCAGGGAATGTATGCTTGTGCCAATGAGAGAATTTCAAAATGAATGGGGAAAAAAAGTCTCAGCTTGCAAGGGGAGGTGGGGATATGGGAAAATGCCCTTGTCACTCAATCTTTTAAAAGGGGCTTCCCAGGTTGGTAAATTTATCACAAAGACAGTTCTCACCAGGCTTGTTGCACAAGGGTGTTTTTTGACCACATTGCTGTAGATTCAATAAAATATCATTTTGGCATTTCATCTTGAATATGTTTAGCTTTGATAAAGTCCTTAGATTAGAATCATGGATTGCTCTCCTGCAAGTCTGACATTGAGAGAATCATTATTGCCTGTCAAAATTGTGCCCGTCCCACTCCTTTCCTTTAACAAATAACAAGGAGACTCAGAATTTTCCAAGCGAAGATAAATCTTGCAATCTACGTAGATAAAGTAGAAACTTGTCTAGGCATTTGAGATGACATTCAGGAAGAATACGCAGGCTGCAATAAGGCCTTTGTCTGATTGAAGAGTCTTACGTTTGAACAAATCGAAACGCTCAATAAGAAAAGCAAATCGACGAAATTGATGTAAAATAAAGAGAGGATATTTTGTAAAACAACTATATAAATGATGTCATTGAAGATTACTTTTTATCTGACTTGTATACTGGTGCTATATAACATATAGGCAAATGTTTTCTGCGTAGAACTGGACGATCAAAGAGCAGCTTTTCTTTGAAGAAAAGGCATGCGTTGCCATAAAGAAAACTAACAATATTTGGAGGAAAAAACTTAATACATAAGAAATTATAGGGACAGCCTTATGAACCATTTAAAGGTACCCTTATGCTAAGATATTGACACAGATATCATTTTGTACATAGACCACCGTATCCAAAAACAAATAATTTTTATTTTATGCTGGAAGAAAGCATTTCATCTTTTTAACAGGGTCACTTTTTCACACAGCATTTCCAGTTTATTACTTTTGAAACAGTCTTACACACAAACAGTATTTCAATAGAATGACAACATAATATTTTTATTCCTTTTGTTTTAGGTGTTTATCATAAACGCAGTCAGAGATGGGCTGGAATATTTCTTTACAATGAGCTCAAGTAGCAGGTTCTAGTTCGGAAGAAATTGGAAATATAAGTATGCTTTTAATGCAGTGTTACCTGTTCAGTTTTCTCAATTATAACTTTGTTTTTTATTGCAAAACATTTATCTACCTGCTTCTGAGTTTGGATATTCAGTGAATGGAATATCATTTCTTTGCACCTGTCGTGAAAACATTGTCGTGTATTGTGAAATACAAATAGAATCACCTTTGATGACAGTCTCACAGCTGAGCTTCGATTGAAGGGAATAAGTAACTTTGTCGAGATTTTTATCAATTAGCATATTTTTTTCTCTTAATGTATTCGTGGCGTGTGTATCGACCTACCGGCTTTGTATGTTCCCAGAGAGGGAAGCGTTTGGAAATGTCGGAAGAGCCTCAAAGGAATTAGTAGATTTGACTAAAATTAGTCTTGGCTTGTGACATCTGTGCGAAAAATGTCCCTCTTGGGGTACGTGGAGTGAAACTCAATTAAGGGGGAGCGCTTACGAACTCTGTCCGTATCACACTCCTGTAACTCCCCGTTTTTGACGCTTTTAATCAACTGAAACGCAAAAAAGTGTGGCTCTTCCAAAGGAACAGCTGCCTACTGGCAGGTGTGTAAAAACATCTGTAGCGTTTCTTGGTGATAAGGACTTTAAACATAGCTAGATCTGCATGGTGATGGAATCACGCAGAACCTAAGACAAGTCCCTGCTATCATGCAAACACAACTGAATTTAAAGAAGGAGATTGTGTTTTTCGAAGATTTATTTCATTTCAATGTGGATTTTTTCACGATGAATTCTGACTAATGGTTTATACCTTGAACGGCTATTGGCTGCTCTAAATTGGCTGTGGTACACAAATAACTTAGCTCAACGGTTGGTATTTTTGTGAAGAATATCTGTTACCTTTGTTGCTGCTATACCTTAAGTTTTTGATTTCAAGTTTCCGTTTTCCTTAAAGTAAATATATGAGGTGAAATATTTTTCCCTGATTTTTTAACAACTTACGGCTAATTTTTCCATTTTCAGAAATGTACCGAAACGACGTGAAGAAAGTTCGATTCTTTCGAGATGGCGATGCAAATTTTTCGGGTGTTAGTATCGCAATATCGAGAAACAGGTATCGCAATTTCGATTCGCTGCTCAACGATCTTTCTCGCAAGGTGCCGCTGCCTTTTGGCGTAAGGACGTTGCACACGCCTGGAGGTGTTCATCATGTCTACGACATTGATCAGATCGAAGATGGAAAAGATTACGTCTGCTCAACCTTCCATTCTCGGTAAATAAAGTTGCTATTTTGTCAAATTCTTAATTACATACAATACATGTTCACTAAAACTACAGGTTTGACACTTTTTTCTATTTTCTAGATTAACTAAGCTTCTCTTGAACGAAGCCAGCGCAAAAATATCTTTAAATATCATTTTACCTTGGCCATATCTAAACAAAACTAAGTTTGAATTTTACTTTAATGCAATAACAAGGTGTCATGTGCACTGTTTAAAAGAGGCGTGAAATTGGTATTGTTGTCAGAAAATTTGAGGTGTTTGTTTGTGCAAGTAGATATTTCAAGTTTCCATCGATGTTGTTTCTGCGCCTATTTAAAAAACGGAAACTGTGAAAGTATCTCGATTTTCATCCCAGTTTAGCATCTTTAAATGCAAAAGGGATACTTGAAAACTGTTTTCTCAAAGGCATTACTCAAGTGCTCAATTTGTAAATATAAACAAAGCATATGTTGCTTCGATTAGCCTATAAGATACAGTGTCACTGAGTAGTGGATGCATTTTCAGTTGGCTGAGTTTCAAGTATGGTCTAGACAGAATCCTGTATGTGCTTTTACTATGAAACGTGCCGGGAGCTAGTGCCTTTATCTAGGGCGAACAGTGTTAATATCACAGTGTAGATCTTGTCCCATTTCCACCATCTCAATATCTATTGTACCTTTTTGTCTTCTAGCATATATTTATATCGTCAAATTTTTTATAGGAATGTTATGAAAAACCATGCATCCCTTTCATTCAATGCACGATACTTTATTTCTTCGTTCTGCAACATTTTTCAGCGTAATATTTCTAGCTTGCATTAATACAGAAACACATTAATCTTCATTTTCGGTAGAATATTAAGATTTTTCATATCCGCGAATGACCTTATCATGTGAAGCCAATTCAATATCCCCTAAATTAAAAATCTCTACAGTTTTAAAGCCACTGTTTAGATCATTTATACTATTTTGCTTTTCTATCATTATTGATTTCAAAGCCATTGCTAATGTAAATACTCACAAAATAGTTAGATAGATAGATAGTCAAAGATACTATTGATGGTGTCTCGAATACTCGAAAGAGCGCCTTAGTCGTAACATAATGCGTAAGCCAGTAAAAATCTACAACCTGGTGTAGCATAACTGGCAGTATACGATCAAGTCTAAAGAAAAATTAAAACGAATTTCAAGTTCATAATTTGGCTAAAAAATAAAATAAGATCCAAATAGTTTCCAGAATTGTTTCAAGGAATTGTAAATTTCAGAAGACTGAAAAAATTGCTGAAGGCTGGCGAGAGTTTTCTGCCGAAGGCTTAAATCAGATCTTTAAATCAGATTTATCGAATTCTGTTGATCAAATTCGTTTTAGCTGAAGATTTATATACAGATTTGTGGATCTTAAGTGAGCGTTCTAATGATCAGATTTGGCGAATCAGAAAACATTTAATTGCTTAATTTTCAAAGTACTATAATCCAAATTATATATCGAAAGTATTAGCAAGGAAAAAAATAATTCACTTCCCGATCAAATTTAAAGAAGGAGTTTTGACATATTAAAATTTGATTTTTCCAATGTGAATCAATTTCCATATTTTTTTATTTATGCATTTAAATTCTATCAAATTTGATACCTATGAAATTTGTTCCCCTTTTATACCTTGATATTTTGACATTTCCATAATAAGTTTTTAAGTATGTTAAAAATTCATTACTATTTTCAGTTTGTCTATGACGGTCAAAAATACGAATATTCACCCTTAGACACTTATTTTCTTTAGGTTTCGAAAAATAATTACATTTGCAGAACAGGCATTCGTTAAGAAACCGAGAAATCAATTAAGTATAGTCTTGTTTTGTTCCTGAAATATTTCTGTCTGGAATAAGCTATATTTCAACATATGCATAATTTATGAACTCGATTGTTTTGAGTATTCGAAACGTGGCTTGGTCTTAGCCTAATTTTCCCCATACTTTAGAAGCAATTTAACGGCCTTTCTTTGCTCACTTGCTAACTCCTTCCCATTATCAACGAAGATTGTAAAGCACTGAAATTCAGAACATGAAAAACCTGAATTTTTAATCAACCTTAAAAGCTTTGGCGCTGTTTCTCGTCGAAGTCACTGTCAAAGGACTGTCCCTGTCCTTTATTATCCAAGTGCATCTGCCCGAACTATTATGCAGATCTGGTAGATTCTTTACTCGTAAACTCTTTTTTATATGAACGAGATAACTTTTTTCCGAGGCTTGATGTCCTTATTTTTTGGAGAATTAAAAGCTTTGGGGTTCTTAAAAATGTTCTCGTTTCAACATTGATTTTTTAACAGCGAAATGCTAAAATTGTTCTCTATTTTGTTAACATTAGAAACACTTTCAATAACAAGTTGGAGTTTTCTCTATTTTTCATCCACGACCGGAGATGTCTATACGTTGTTCTTATTGTTTTGATAAATCTAAAAAACAATGTTTTTAAAGCGTTTTCTTATCAAAAATGAGTGGCTTTTAAAAAGTTCTCGATCTATGTACTCACGTTTGATAATCTGAAGAGTGTCTGCCTTAAAGCTTTGGTATGACTCAAAATGTTAGCTTTTTCAAAGCAAATTCTAAATTTTTTTACCACAAAGAGATTGTTTAAAAAGGAGTGTTTTCACGAGAGCTGAATATTTTTTCAATCGCGGATTTGTCTGCTCCCGGATTTTTTCCATCACTGTTTTGAAAATTGTGCAATCTTGCATCCAGTGTTCCCATGATGATCTTCTCGTTGTCATGACAAGAATCATTTGTAACGAAACACGATTTGGATTTTCTCGTCCAGTCTAATCTAGCATCATGATTTTTGCTACCAAAATTAAGACAAAGCCAAATTGAGATGTACCAGTAGTCAAGCCTTTTTATTCCTGCTTAGCATAACATTCAACAATGTTTTCCGTATTGGCAATCTACTGAGGGCAGGTTAATGAATGAAAAACTGCTATCTCACTGTATATTACGATAACATTGCAAGAGTCGCGTTGAAGATAACAAGATTTATGGTGTCTAAGACAACGGTAGATAATTATCACAGTACAAAAAATTCTCAAAGTTCACAATGAAGATTCATCGTTGCAGCAACTGATGATATCGCTTCATGTTGAAGTAAATCGTGATCTGTGATCATATAATAAGAGTCGTCACTGCCGATACCAATGTTAAAACAATCAATGCTCACATGTGTTTGTATTTTCAACATTCACAAGATCAAGTGACGCCTTGAAGTTTGCCGTTTTTCCTTAGAAATCAGGAAAACACTATAATTTTTACGGTACTTCAGGTTTTGAACAGAAAACAAGTATGCTCAAGTTACATGTAGAATATGACGTCTTTTGATATTGTAGTACCGGAAAGCTTCCCTAGTAGAGGACCCAGATGCTTGTCCTTAGTAAAAAGGTTAGTCCTAACAAAGTCATTTGTCCTTTCTTGAAATGTGTCCTTTGTATGAGTTGTCTGTTGTTGGCGAGTCTTAGCAATGAGAGAGAAATTGACGGTTGCTTGTTGGTGAAGGTTTCCCCTGTAAAAGGTGTCCGTGATTGCCAGTAATTTCTAATGTTCTTAACTATGGGTGAGAAATTGACCGATGTTTGAAGGTATCTGCTTTCACTTGGTTAATTTTACGAATCGTGACAATGAAAGATGAGTTGCAATCGTCGGTTTTAAAGGTGTCCGCTCTAAAGTGTTTGGCGGTTACTTCTACAAGTGTCTTAACCACAGAAAAGAAATTTAATGGGTCCCTATCATCCATGCCTTGAAGCTGTCCGCTTTGAATTTGTATGGGTTATTGGGTGTCCTCATCAAGGCTTAAAGGCGTTTGACGCAGGTAGAAGTGGCTTACAGCTACTCGAGCACGAGCGGCTGACCAATCAAATTTCGCACAGAGAAAGGAGTGGGACAGTTTCCGCCTTTCTGCGAAATCCCAGAGCAGCACACAGTGGCTTCACCTGAATGTGCGCGTTCTCTGATCAATTTGGCCTAAGTTATTTTTGGATTCGCTGTACTTATGCATGTCAAATGCCTTTAATACCTTAACCATCAAGGAAAAGACTTTGACCTTTGAGGGTTTCCGTTTTAAGAAGATGCTTGCTAATGGAGGTTGAAGGCTGCTCTTTAAAAAGCTCCTAAAATGATTTCTGATAGGCTGAACTGCAAATTATGTTAAAATGAAGAAGAGTAAAGACGTTAAGGTATATTTCTGTTTTGATTATTGTACACGGCTAACAATATTTGCCTACGTATGAAGTAGCTGAGCGGAACGAAGATTTCATCATTATCCTTGTCAACAATCGTTAACAGCAACATCAATTTTTTCAATCTGAACGAAAACTACACCTTTGAAAACAGCGGGCCAGATTTTTGCTTTTTGCGATGTTATTCTTTTGCTCTCGGTTTTCAATTAGGTTTTTTATCTAGAAGCAAAGCTAAATTGACTCGATCAGACCACCATGCGTTTATTTCTCACGGAGTCCTACGGCAAAAACATCTTGTTCGCACAAAAGTGCGAATGCATTCGCTGTTTTTTGATGTAAACCGTTCATTCGCTAAATATTGCTGTGTGTTCTAGTGGAGAGTTATAATTTTTCAATGGAGGGAAGCACTATTTTTATACAGGACATTTCCTTCCTTTACTTCTATTTCATGAATATAGTAAGCGCCCGTGGGCCAAATATATTTTCATGGCAATGTGCAGACCCTTCCTATGCTTAAGGGAAGGTGTTTTTTAGACATATTCAAGCCAAAAATTGCAAAATAATTACAAAAAATATATAAACCTAAAGAACTTTACGGTTCCCTGTCTATGTCTGTCTCCATGGTCCTGCCTGTGTCTATGTTCATGTTCCTGTTCCGGTTCTCGTTCTGGCCCCAGTCCCGGTTCCGGTTCCTGTTCATATTCCTGTTTTGTTCCTGTTGCTGCTCCTCTTCCGTTCCTGTTCCGTTTCCGGTTTTAGCCATTGTTCCTGCTTAAATTCTTGTTCCTGTACCTGTTCTTGTTCCTATTCACGGTCCTGTTCCAGTTACTATCCCTGTTCCGGCCTTTGTCCCTGTTATGTTTTGTTCTATTCTGTTCCTGTGCTTGTTTTGTTCCTGTTCCTGTTTCGGCTACTACTTCTGTTCCTGTTTCTCTTTAAATATTGTTCCATCGGTATTTCTTCAAATTTACCTCCTCGTGCATTAATTACATAAATCTTCATCATCAATTTCTTTTTAAGTCAAAGAAGAATATTTCCTTTATTTACTTTTCAGTCAAGCCTTCATCTTCATCCGATTTATACTCAGTTACATTGCCTATGACAGCTACTTTCAGAGATCTATAAGTATATATATTTGCAGTTTTGTATAGGTATTGGTAGCTCTTCTAGTCTGAAAGAAAATAGAATCGATGAACAAATTTCTACCCTTCCGACTCTTGAGTAAAAACTTTGTTTTTCTTATAACGGTCCTGAGCTCTTGAGAAAGCAGGAATATTAAGCCAAAAATTTTCTCCGGAAAACAATCCGCAAATTTGATCAGATCGAGTTTGTCTGACCCGTTCCCTGCAATCCGCGGATCGTTGGTGACCTCTTTTGCGTCCAAAGCGCGTGCGCAACACAAAACGGATCATTTTCCGCAGTGGGTTTTCGGCTTTAATCCAATTCTATAAGATTTAGGCCGTACCTATTGAATGTTATCTTACACGATCCAGCAACATGGTGAATTTTTTCTGTCCAAAGGCTCATAATTTACTCACTTGCATTCATTCACTTTTCAAACAACAATTTCGACGATTTCTCTTCTAAAGCCTCATTTTGGCTTTTCTAAACCCCTATCCGATTTAATGCCCTTTTGTTAAAATCCGAAAGATCGTGCAATATATCGTGTTCTAGTACTTTCCATGCGAAAATAGTTTTTCATGCGTATTTTAACACCACGAATTTTCAGTAAAATTCTATAACCGCCAACCACACATTCGACCTTATCCTAAAAATAATTTCAGCATGAAAACAATTTATTTCTCAGTTCTAATGGAGTTTAGTCCGACCAACACGCGAACCCTATTGCAAAAGATTTTGAAAGTAAATAATTTTATTATATGAAATTTTTTAAGCGTAGGATGCTCAAATGGACAAATCAGGTGTTAGAGATGGCACTTACAATGGCCGATAGGCCTTCAAAAGACCCTTCCTATTATATAATCAGTTTACTTCTCAACTATCTATTTCATAGCGGCAATTTTTTGATAACTATTTCTAGCTATGCTATCTTGGTAAAGATTTCCTCCTATCCTTTTCTCCGCTGTTTAGCTATATTCTGCACGCCGACAGATATTTGTGTACCCGCGATTCCATAGCAAATTCTCAACAAGGTCTCTGAGTTTCTGATTCTTTTGTTAGGTCCTCTCTCTTACAATTAGGTATTCCATTTTTTTTGCTTACTGTTAAGCATCAAAACTTGAAAAACGACAAAGAAGACATGATTTTCAACTTCGTTGACCCTCACCTGAATCATTTAATCTCTAAGGCATTTCAAGCAGAAACAGATTTTTATCGTCAGCTCCCACCATCACCTCAATACCCGTTGGGATAATGTTTCTCAGTAGCATCTTAAGCTGAAGAAAATTTGCGCATAACTGTTTTGAGAAGTCCACACAGCTGTCAGTTGTCGCACATAAGTGCCATGTTTTGCAGCAAGAACGTAAATATCACAGAGCAGATGCTTGCAACCCAAGAAAACATGCTAGGTTTTGCAACATATCTTAAAATCAGTTGGGTTTAAAATGATTCTGGCGTCTTGATGTTGGCTTTTAGTTATAGGTAGAACAATAAATCATTTGGGACTAACTAACTCTATCTTGCGGGATTTGTGATTTTAAATTATGCATGATTTATAAACCCAAGACTTTCAACTTTTTGCGAAAATGCTAGAACAGTTAAAATTCTTTTTCTGCACTTCATCTTTGATAAACTAACCATCTTCTGGTAAAGCGTGAGTTTTTTCTTTCCCTTTGTCACCTGCTATGCTGTTTCCTCCAGCCCCTATAATGAAAGTGTTCATCATTGTTCGATCAACCTTGGCTTTTAAAGAATAAGTACCTCGTCTGCAGGGATGCATTTCAAATGCCTACATTCTATCCACGTCGCATGATGAAAGCTCTGCCTTTTTTAACTTTCATTACATTCAATCACTGTTGCTCTGCTGAAAATGTGAAAACATTCTGGTGCTTTTGAGGCGTTCATGTTCTTTAAATCAAAGGCAATCGAAAAATACTAAAGGGGCTTGAGCTATCTTCACTACAAAACTGACCAATCAGTGAGTGTGATCCCACTAACACGCTTCTTGATTGGCTAATATTGATTGACAGGTTATAAATCTTTTTATCTGTCGATTACTTTAAGAGCGAAATGCTACATTATCCTTTTGCGAAAATTACGAATCCGTTCTTTTAATGGTATTTCTTTTTATAATCTTCCAATATTTCGGAATAAATACAATTCAGCAATTGATTTGCAGTTTCTCTTTTTGCTGTTTGTGAGATACGCAGGCAATAGGGTTAGGAGCAAGTTGCTACGAGTTTTGCAACTCAGCTGAAAGCTTAAACATTCCATACCCGCGTATTTCTCTGCCTTTACTCGAACAATGTTTGTTCATACTCTCTCTTTTCATTTTTTGTTTAATTTTTTCTTTAATCGCGGTTGTTCCGTCAGTACAGAGGTACTGCATTTCTGGGAGATCTTGCATACATTTGATACAAATTACAGCTAAAATTAATTAATATACTAAAATAAAAAGTAAAGTTATCTATATACAATACTAAAAAATAATGCAATCATCTAACAAAGTTTTTGAAAGCAGCTTTGAATTTTTTTAAAAATGAATGCCTGCGAACCAAAAAGGATCCAAAATCCAGCACCAGGATAGGAGGAAGCTCGCTTGCTATTTTCTGTGTGTGTGTAATCTTTTTGTGATTCCAACTACAAAAAATTCTAGTTTCTAATTACATAATAAAATGCTGTTTCAGTCTTTATCATATCCGCTACAGTAGGCCATTTTATACTTGTCATCCAGGCACTGGCAGATGTGTTTTTACGATTCCTATATACAATTCTATGCGCTCAGTTCTGAAGTTTTACCGGTTCTGGAATCCTAGCAACTTGATACCTTCAGCATGCACCAAAACCGAACAACACTAGCGAAGAATTGTTCCATTTCATCAATCATATCATATCATGTCATTTCAATCATAAACTATGTAGCATTGATAACGAAGATTTTTGAGGAAGTTTGTTTGTTTGGCTGTTTTCTTAAAATACTTGTTTGGCTGGTTAAACACAATACCTTATTTCTAGCCCTATCAAGAGGCTGAATTATGCTGGGACTAGCCATAAAGCATCCTGGAAACCGACTCCTCGCAAATCAGATGTTTTTTACAAGAACGAGAAGCAAAACGAACCTAGCGAAAAACTGTTTCAGACTCGAAATCTGAAGCCAAAATCAATAACGGTTATCGCGAAGGATGATTCATCAAATAGAGCAAGGGTGATCCTGAACAGGCGAACAGCTATAACGTATGAGAGTGTGCTGCAAACAGTTAGTGATATTCTACAGCTAAACAACGGACCGGTTAAAGATCTTTTTACGATTGAGGGAAAAAAGGTATGGAATTGTATTAAATGTCATTTGTACCAATGTGCATGCTTATTTTTATATCCTTTTAGGTAAAAGGCTGTTTTTTTGCGTTAATTGTTTTTGAAGCTGTTAATTTATGAAAGAGTTGAATTTGAAAACAGTAAAACTTGGTAGTCTTATATTTCTGTTATCACACTATGCAGGACAGATATTTCTTATCCTTGAGTAGTATCTGCTTTGTTTATTTTTAGATATATCTAAATTTAAGGACGTGCTAAATTTGAAAATTGAAAAAATATTTATTCTTTCATACTATGCTGGAGAGATATTTTGTCAAAATATTATAAGAGGAAATGCAGATACCAAAGCCATTATTGAGTTATACATATCAAAATTGGACATCGATGATTCCGGGATTTTGCAAACCTTTGCTTCAGTTTGGAACAAAATTAAAGCAAATTTAATTGAATTTAGTGTGATCAAACTTGCTGTCTCGAAGCAATCCTTTCCTGCAGTGACTTGTTAGATTGAAAGACAGGGCTACAGGTCAGGGGATTGAGCATCAACCCCCCCCCCCCCTCCTTGCGCAGCAAGAATTGCTATTTTATCTGCATTTGTACGAAAACCCCTTGAGCACCTCAACCCCCCCCCCACCCCTCCACCCCACAAAACTTATTTTTAACTCACATTGTCTCCCTCTTCTGTTCCAAGATACCTTTCGCATGGAGTTGTTTACAAATTTTGTGTTTTTTAGTAGTGCATCAAGCTAGATGTTTTGTTCATCAGTAGCTTTTTGTGAGTCCTCTTTGGTAGCCAAAACTACTTCTTTATGGTCTGTGGCACCAGCTTCCGTCAACATTTTTCTGATCGATTAAACATTTTCTACCAGGTTGGAGGTATTGCTGACCTCATCCATGGGCCAGATGTCTTTGTCGCCGCTAGTAGAAGTTCGGGGACTGTATCTGCGAGAAGCATGCCTTCTAGGCTAGTAAAAAGCAGTGAGTCTAGCTAACTTCATTGGTATTTTCTTAACGGCCTGATTTTTTTCTAACAATGAGAATCATCACTTTGTATTTATAGCATGTTTTTTCATTCAGAAGATATCGTGGCTATGAGGGCCCACAACCTTTTACAAATTAAGGATATATTGACTGCTCTGTCAATATGGCATCGAGCACTTTTACTGTCTACTGGAGACAGTAAGGTTCATTAAAGAGAAATGGATATATTCTAAACTACTCCTAAGAATAAGTCCATTTGAATTGATTTGTGTGTCTTTTTGGCAAATTGCACATGTTTAGTTCTATGAATTGTGATTAAGTGTTTTGAGCTAAATTTATTTAATTGAAATTATTTAATTTATGTTTTTACCTCTATTTTAACGGTAAATATTAGATCTTATGTTGACATATTGGTTAAGCAGCAAATAGGCGTCTTACGTTGACATATTGGTTAAGCAACAAATAGTTCTGCGTTTCATGATGCATTCGCTACGAGCAACGTAGTTGTAATTCCTATGTTTCCAAAGAGAGAATTGTCACTGTATTGATCACAATATGATAGGAATAGCTGTTAACATTCTACATTTACGTGCAGCTAAGATTACGAGTCTGACCCTCTTTGGAAAAATGGAATTTAGGATAGCTTACTGTTTCAGCGAGAGCCTTGCTGTCCAAGTGATATTTACCTAGAAGGGGGATGTTATGAGGCATCTCCTGACTGGTAATTAACCTGTTTATCAATCTGGGGGATTGTTTGTACCCAGCAAACTTCAAAGGACTGGGGATAGCATAAGAATTCCCCTGATGTGATGAATCCCACCACTAACTGAACTGCAGGAAGCAATGAGTTGTTATTATAAGCCTGGGTTAAGAATTCTAGGCCCAGTTCTATGAAATTTAGAATACACCAGCGTTGCAAAGTGCATTTTGTGGTTGATTATAGAAAATTTTTAATCAATTAATCAATTTTAATCAATATTAAATATCTTCGTAAACTACACTTATAAGATTACTTTTCTAAAATTTTTCTTTATTTCTTGGCAGAAAAGACAAATTCAGGGCCCTTGCAAGTCTCTTCTAACTCGCAAAGCAAAAGTGCTGCTGGACCCACTCGCAGGGACAAAGCTTCGGTTAAAAAGTCGCCATATACACAACCAGTTTTCGCGAAAAAGAAGGAGTCCAAAGCTAAAGGTAACTTTTTTCTTATTTTATTTCCTCCCAAGCTTATTATCTACTAACAAATATCCAATTCAAATAATTCTTAAACGCTTCCGCAAAGCGACCTTATTTAATTGTGATTTCATAAGTAAAATATTCACAGTGTCAGCAATTGTTATTCCACTTGTATAGTTAGCAGTTATATTAGCTCAACGAAAGATTTTTTTTATCAGAATCTCTGAAATGGAAAAAAAACTCATCAGGTCCGGATAAAGGAGGGTCCCCTTGGTGCTGCAGCTTTAGGCCCATTCTTAAAATAGGCCCAGATGAAATCAGTCAATAACCACACTGAAGCCAAATAGACCCGATGATAGAGAACCGAAATGTGACGTCATCAAAAATATATTTTTAGAATTTCTTAAATTTGCCCGAATAATCTATAAGAACGACATAAAATACCTTTCAATTTGCAAAATTAGCTAGATGTGTTCCAAATTGGGCGAGATATGGCCAATGAAAGATTTCGAGTTTGCTAACGGATTTCTGCTATTCTGGCCTGGTTCATAAAGTTATGAACCAAGACCAAATTACAGAGGTTTGATGGGGCAAGAGCCTGTGCTCAAGTGGCCATATCTCAGCCAATTCGTAATGCCTTTAACTGATTTTGTATATTTAGAGGTACTTCATGGTGCACTTTCAAGTTCTGGGATCAAAATTCAGAAATTCTAAAAATAGATCTTAATGACGTCATCACTTCGGTACTCTATAGGCTAATTTGGGCTAGAGTACCAGGCCTAAGTTGGCTCTGTGTATTCGGAACCTTGTGTATTCTAATGCCAATATTTATCGCAGGGAGAAAGATAGCAATATTGGTCTTTACTGCAAAATTTGTCACGAATCATTCAAACAAAAACGGAGCACAAAATCATCTTTGTAGCCTCTTCTCTTTTGTTTCTTTCAAGCTTCTATAGCTTCTTCCATTGTATTACTTAACCTTCGTCTCCTTTGTTTATGTCTTCAGGGAATTTGTTTATTTTCACCGTAAAGACAAGTGCTCTTGAAGACGCTGGTACCAAAGGGAAGGTTGCTGTTGTTGTTTGTGGCTCTAAAGGCAGCACGGGGGAGCTGACTCTTGGGCCTCCAACCTCAAAATGTTTTCAACCAGAATCAAATGAGGAGTTCGAGGTACACGGACATATTATTAGAGTTGTGTTAAACTATGTTAAACTGCAAGTTAGATCATGTTGGACCATGTTTCTTTCTAAATATTCTCTTATTATCATTGCCGAACTGCTTTATTGATGATAACGCAAAGCAAGGAAGACAGGAATATTCTTGCTAATTCTTTACAAAACAAAGCATTGCTAAGGCAAGAAATTTAAACGCAGCCACAATCCAATACTTTATTCAGCCGAAATTCACACAAGATTTCAATCAAAGCTAGGTAGTACATTATTCGCTATTGAAATGATTATAGCCAAAGCCTCAATGTGCGATTATTTAAGGTGTCTCTAACAAGCGGTATTTCCAGCGGCCCCAAGGAGGGATAATCACGTCCTACTGGAAATAAGAAGGTGTCAATTATTCTACTTGTATTTTTTGTCCTACCATAAATGATTTTTTATGCGTTTTCATTTGAACAGGGTACATATTATTCAGTTTTTCCATATCAACCTTGATATATGCAGCCATTCATGAATTTTGTTGTTGTTGCTTGAAGCCAGATAAGACCGGCACGCGGGCGCACAGGGATTGTTGCCCCCTTCTTGTAGCAAATTTTTCTTTTCCAATGTTTTCTTTTTCTGTGCACTTTGCCTCCCTCTACCCCTGACCTGCCGCTCTTTTGGGTTCTCTAGCCGTAACTGCTCCATCGGACGCTTCATTTCACATTGTTGCTGCAGCTTTCACATTTTGCTAACTAGCTGATTGTAAATTATCACCAGCAGTCATATTACATCGGGGTTGATGGCACAATTTCTCTCTACGAAGTCGCATCTGGGTACTAAGTCCTTGATCTGTCACACGCCGTCTACTTTGTAGGATTCTTAATTGCGAGAGAGTTACTAGACACTACACATTTCCTATACAAGCAGAGTTACAAATTACCGACAAACAGAGTAATAAGCATATTGTACTTAATTTTTCGGTAATTCCTTCATACTTTAATTATACAAACACCTTTAAAATACTCTTAAAATCTTTAGATCAATGTTGGCAATATTGGAAAAGTTAAGAAGATACGGGTGATGCATTACGCCGAAAATGACGATGACACAGGCTGGCACTTAGATGAAGTGAGCTTTCATTTTATGTTCTTTTCGTTAAAACAGAGATAAGATCGTGGTTTAATGGTTAATAATTCAATTGTTTCTTTAAAAGTGTTTGTAATTATTACATTTGTTTAAACTGTTGATTTTAAAAATGTTATTTTGCATTGTATGTATGTATACATCTCAAACTCACGCATTAAAATCTTTAGTGATCTCAAACTTGTTCTTTTACATGGACGTATTTTCAGCCAATATTTAGATGAGCTAATAAAATATCTTTGATCATGATCTTATCTCCAAATTGTTCTTTTTGTTTTAAGACCTGAATGTTTGCTTAATTTTGTTATGTTCTTGCATGGCCGGCCGTGCGAAGTAGCCGTTGTTGAGCGGTACAATGTCGTGGTAGGATTCTAGGCCGTATATTTTGTTGTTGAAGGTTAGCCTCGTATATGTGTCGTTTCTATTGACACCAGTAGCGCAAAGGAGGCATCTTGGGTCCTAATGAAAAACTGAAACGGGACCCCTGTTTTGGACGGCAATGAAGCCCCCTCCAATGATGTAGAGCATGTGAAACACAATAGCAAGTTGTAAAATTGATAATTTTTTCATTGAGAACACGAGGGGAAGCTGCGAAATAGAAGCGTAATTTATAAAGAACTTTATAAAATAAGAAATGAGGTCAAGTTTAGCGAAGTCGAACTAAAGTACCCTTAACTGCGTCACACCACTGATAGAGACCACTGATTATAAAGAGGTGATTTCTTTGGAAAACCTTCCCTGCGTAAACCAGTACAATTCTATCACTTTTTTCAACAGGAAACGTTTTTTACCTATAGTATGTACGAATAGCCTTCTAGACTACTGCCCTTAACCTTGGAACTGCTAGGAGCAAAAGTGCGATATTGTGCAATCTGATGCGAATGTTTTTCATAATGCTTTTTCTTTTAGATATTGATGACAAGTCTGGCCCGCTCCAGCGAAGAGTATCTCTTTCAATGCAATCAGTGGTTTTCTAAAAAAGATGAAGGTGACGTCACACTGTTGGAGCTGCCTGCAATAGTGAAGAACAAACCAGTTGCAAAGGGTGTGTCTCTGATTTTTGAAGAAAACATTTTTAGCATAATTGCTGTATCATTAACGTCTGTAAAATATATTTTACATAGCTTTTCTTTCAAATTCAACTTAAATATTGTCAATAATATTTTCATTATAACTATCGTTAATATTATTCTTTTAACCAATTACCAAGTCAAGAACAAACAAATTTTTTAGCTTACATCACAGCTTTATACTTTTTTTAATAGCTTCTATCGCGCGAGATTTTGTATAATTTTTTCAAAAAGCAGTCAATGAAAACGATTAATACAATATTTTTTGCAACAATTTCACTCGCTGAAACTGTTAACTTTTCTAGGGATATAGCTTTTTATCGTATCTCAAAATTTTACAAGATACTCCTTTTATTTGTATCTATTATTTGTAACTGAAGTTGAGAAGAGGAAAATTAGATTAAAATAGAAGTTGTTATGCACTTGACCTAATAAATGGGCAACAAATTAGCAAGTAAACAAATTAAAAAACATAGAATTTTATCACTTCAAGGCTATGAGAAAGCCACCTTTACATAGTCAAGTCTTTAACCCAATCTATCAAGGACATTCTTAATTTTTCATAGCTGGATTAATCTCACTTCTGTCTTTGCTTTACTAGTGGTTGACTACGAAATCACTGTGATGACTGGGGAATCACCCTCAGCTGGCACTGATGCTAATGTTTTTGTTGTCATCTATGGAGACGCTGGCGATACTGGCAAACGCTGGTTGAAAAATTCAAAAAGTTTTGGCGAACCTTTTGCTAAAGGAAATGTATGTTTGATAAATACTTTGTTTGCAACTCTAACTACAATTAACTTATTAGCGAAATACAATCCTTGCCAAAATTCAACTTTGTTTTTTATAAAGCTTTTCAATCAAAATTTTGATTTGCTATCTGATCCCCGTTCCCTATATTTCTAATAAATTGTCCAATTTGCCCTTGTCTCCTTAACATATTGCTCAATTACGTTTTGATGCTAGATGTAAACTTTTTGTCATGGACAAATCTATAATTGGATGGAGAATATAAATCCACATTTTGTTGAGGAGGGGATATGGTGGGCTTTTCGAACAGTAGTGATATTCTGCGAAGTTAGTTTGATCTAGAATTGTTTATTGGGATTCGATCAGGGTTAGGCCTTCATCTGTTTTTGGCAAGGATTGTTTTATTCGAGTAGACTTGCTCAACGAGTCACAAATTTTGCTGTTGAATTGAATTTGTGATGCTGTTGCGTCTGTAAATGGCGTGATGCTGTTGCGTCTGTAAATGGCGGAATTAGCGAAACAGATGCCCATAGAGCTTGTTTACAAGTTGCGTTCAGCTTTCGTCAATATCGACACGATATTGTCTGTAATCACAGAGTTTTCAGGTTTTTACGCACAATTCAAGGTAGTTACTTTGTGTCAGTCAACTCAGTCGAGTTTGGCTATGTTCATTCGACTGGACATCAGATTAAAAGTTTTAGGCCATATAGGGTAGATGCTAGTAAGTGGTAACATATTGATCTTACGATAGCATATCAAGAAGCTCAGACCCATTATTGGCTTTGCTCCAGGCACCGCGCAGCATTGGGCTAGCAGGGGCTATAGCCCCCCCCCAACCCCACTTTCTTCCAATACTCTAACGGATCCTACGAAGTAACAGTGCAGTGCGCGGTGCGGTGCGCGCTGCAGTGCGCGGTGGGTCCGCGGTGCAGTGCGCGGTGCGGTGCAGTGTGCGGTGCCGTGCGTGGTCCGTTTCGGTACGCGGTGCGGTGTGCGGGGCGCTAATTATTTCAATGTTCATAACATCTGTTTTTTGTTCATCTATGAATTCACCTATCTATTGAGTGCTTCTTCTTGTCGTTTGCAGATGTTTTTGCAAAGTTTTTTTTATCTAGATCGATGTTTTTGACGTAAATGCAGTCAGTTTGGGAACTCTAACCAAAATTCTTGTTGGCCATGATAGCGAAGGAAACAGTTGAGTATAGGTTTTGATTGAAATCTTTAATTTATGCCAAAGCTACTGTCTATAGGAATGCAAAGTGTTTTGAAATGGAATAATGTGTTTTGATGGCTTTGATTTTTTATTTGATCCCTTCTTTTGTCGCTTTTTTCTGCAACTGCTTTATTGTGAAAGAAGTTGAAGAAAATTTGTAACTGTCGACTAAAATTTAAAATGTGGGATTTTAAACTGTTTTGATAAGATCATCACTGTCTTTTCCTACGAAGATATTTAATTTTTTTTTTTATACATTGCCCTCTTGCTTTTTTACTTCAAGTATCCTGGCCACATAAAGAAACTCTGTTGATTTATCATGGCACAATATGTTTTAATTTCATAAGAAAAATGTGCTTTTAAAGGCATCCTGTTTGTAAACAGATTTTTATTTACTTTCAAAAAACTTCTATATGCTTACCAATTTTAATTTCAGCTCCAGGTTGGTTTCTTGAGAAAATTATCGTGAAGGATCCAGAAGAAGGCAAGGAATACTCTTTTCCTTGTCGAAGGTGTGTATTCTCAAAAACTTTTCTCCATCTTTGGTTTCTGCTCAAAATGCAAAACTTACAAGATCAGTAATTTGAGTCACGCACTTAACAAAACTAGGTTGGATTCAATACACAAGTTATAATTCCAAATTTTAGCTCTATCTTCAATTATTATTACTATTCTAAATTATTTCTTAAGGTATTAAAATGGGTATTTTTATATAATGTATTGAATAGCCATCGGCTAGAATTCCCACACCATGAACATTTTTAGTTCTGTTAATTCAATTGTAAAAAAACACCTTTCATTACATTATCCTTCTTCCATAAGCTTGGTCCAAAAAAATGCTGTGTGCCAAATTGCCTGTTTTTTCTGCATGGCAAATGATTCTTTATGCCAATTCTTGAAAGTCCTGGATTTTGAAATTAGAAAATTATGAAACTTTACAACATTCTCTGGTGCATGTTAGCATTTTTGGACTTTAATCGCTTCTAGTTTTCTTACTTTTACAATAAAAAAGTCAAGCTTGATATATTTTGTCTCCCACAATGTACTTTGTTTCTTTATTGGAGCTTTCTGATGCTAAATTGGCTATATTGTAATTATTGTCTAAGAAAAGATAAAAGCAGGTATAAGTAAGAGGTATCCATTTACAGAAAGCCAGAGAGTTTTCTTTTTCGACTTTACCTAAAGTGAGCCAAATGAAATGGGCAATTGAACGCCCTTGCCTTTTTTGAATAGCATCTGTCGTATCACCTTTTACAGAAGTTCAGATAATTCAATGATCAGATTAAAATGGGTGAAGTATTCAAAAATTTTCATTTTTTCATGTCAAGATGTAAGGATTTTTCTCTTGCTTTGTCTAGATATTTAGATGAGGATATTGGAGATGGCAAGACAGAAATAACAATTAAGGCATCTGTTGTGTCAGGTATGGAACAAAGCTATTTGTATGATGGTTTAAGAATGTTTAATGCAACTTAGAGCCTGTCTTTTACTACGAAGCGCCGCTGTGTTCAACAACGTTCATAATTTCATACATTCTGAAAGCTTACTGTTAACTGCCCGTTCGAGAGTGCTCGATACCGCACGAACAGAGCTGCCTTTTTTATGTGTAGAAAAGGATGGTTTTATATTGTTATTCCGATCCTCATACTTAATTCTACCATCATACAAATTAAAATTTTCTATGAAAATTGATTCTTAACTATTGTATTTAGCGTTGTATTCCGAATAACACCCATGACAGTCTGCTTTACTCATACAAAATTTAATGTGCTTTTCGATTATATTTACTCGTGTTGGCTTCTAAAGCCTTATGTTAATTTATGTTGGCTATTTTAACCATATCTGCAGATTAAGATAGTGCCTCCACAGAGATAAACCAGGATAAATTGTAAAAACAAAATTACGTTTTGAATTGATGTTGACCTTCGAAAAACCACCCATGACAGGTTTCCATTAAAATGCAAATTCAAAATTCTCCAACAGCAGGTTGTTTTCCGATCCATTCGACTTGACTTTAAACACATTTCAAATATCCGTTTTTCTTTTTACTAGCAATAAGTAAGTGGTATAGCAACCAAAGTATAATTAGAAATCGATCTTTGTTCAGGTAAACAGAGCAATGGTGGCGCCAGTCACTAAGTTCTGGGGGGACAAAGCAAATGACTTTCGAAGTTGCACCTTCAAATGACTTTCTTAGCCAAAGTCCAAATTTCCTGCAACTTACAGTCAGACATATCATGAGCAAAAAATGTTAAAAACAATCTTGGCGACCTCCTTTTTCGAAATTTTTAACATGACCCCCACTTGGCTTGAAAATGCAATTTTTTTCAAATACTGTCTTTCTTATTTCTTTCAATCCGTCTCTCTCTGTTTTAGAAGCTTCTCTTTGCTGATATAATTAATTTTATAAGAAAATCGTCTTATTAGCTTATGCAAATGCTAAGATTTTTTCACAATCGAGACTCGTTTTGGAATTACTGAACTTTCAATGCGGATGCTGGAGCAATGAAGATGTTACTCAAATGAAAATTATTTATACACTCTTTTTTCACCGTGAATTTTAACAAAAAAGGCTATAGAAAATGAGTTTTAGTGGTTTGAAACTGAAGAACGTATTTGAAAAAGCAAATGTTTTAAAACATGGTTAATGGCTTTGAAAAAAGCAAACATTTAGTAAACTAAAGCTTTTCGTCTGACACTCTTCAGAGTTTAAAACGTCAGAACATAGATCGAAAACTCTACGCTAAGAAATATATATACCCAGTTGTGGATCGAAATAGGCCAATCAGAAACACGAGCACATGACTATAAGGGTTGACCAATCAGTGCCGCTTGCCTATTAGAATGTTACCAGTGGAGTCCTAAGGTGAAAACGAACTCCTTTTGTCTACACAGTAGCGGTTTTTTCGTGCTTATGTAGATAGATTCTAAAACTGCTAGGTGGAACGACGATCGGGCTTTACCAATAATCCGAAACGTGTCGCCATTTTAGTTTTTTGCACAGTCTGGGTTTTCTAGCAAATGCTGCCCGATAGCAGAATCGCAGGTTTTAGTAGTAAACATGGTTAGTTTTTCGTCTGCAGTTACAAATTTTCTTCAACTTCTTTCACAATAAAGCATATTCGGAGTATAGTCAGATTGGGCAACATTTCCTAGAAAACCCAGATTGTGCCAAAGGCTGTTATGGAGATATGTTTCGGATAATTAGCAGAGCCTAGTCTCTCTAGGACTTTCAGACTTTCTACCTAGGACTTTCAAAATCCATTTTCATAAAGAAGAAATAGCTGTCATGTTTGGACAGAAGACGGTCACTTACACCCTTGGACTCTTTTTGTGCCATTATCTATAGGCAAGCAGCACTTGTTTGAAAACCATGTGCTTTTATTCTTAGTGGCCTATTTCAATCAACAATTGGGTATATATGTTTCCTAGCTTAAAGATTTTGATCTATGTTCTTACGTTTAATACATTGAAGAGTGTCTGAGGTAAATATGATTTCAAAAGGTTCCTTTTTATAGCGCCGTTTGGGGGAGATATGACGTGATTTTTTATAACGATGACAAAAATACAACATTAGAAATTTTAGAGAAGAATCAATGATATGGGAGTAATCCTGAATGCTTAGGTAACGCCAAAGGAACTTCGAAAATCCTCTTCAACCATACAAAAATTATCTTTTAGCTTCTGCTATGCTAATCCTTCTTTCGCTTCGAAAAAGCTTTCCAGTCCCGACGTCCGAGTAATGGACTGCAAAAAAATTTTTAACTAGGAGATCTTATAATCTTTCTCATAAATGGTTCAGTTAATTCTGTTTCCCAGATTTGACTAGGAGAGTTCTGTAAAAAAAGAATATTCGTGCACAACATTAATTAGCTCAAACAATCTTTTGGTGGTACAAAACTTGAAGATGGCTTTGAAAAAAGCAAACATTTAGTAAACTAAAACTTTTCGTCTGAGTTTAAAACAACCTATATATTTCCTAGCGTAGAGTTTTCGGTCTATGTTCTGACGTTTCAAACTCTGAAGAGTGTCAGACAAAAAGCTTAAATTTACTAAATGTTTACTTTTTTCAAAGCCATTAATTAGTTCATTTAATGATAAAATTTTCCAGAATAAAAATCGTTTTCTATAGAGAGTATTTCTAGTTTTCCAATTGATCTGTTTTGTAATACGAATACTAAATGTACAGCCGATATGCCGAACATCAACAATAATGTTCTTTTTTGTCTTTTAGATACGCAGCTTACTCCTGAGCAACTGGTTAGTTTTATTCCTAGCATTTCTTCTCTGTCATTTGTTTTTCTCTTCAGTTCTAAAGAGCTTTGATAGAAAATGAATCATTCTCTGTTCTTCAAAGAAATCTACAGCAGCTTGCACTTTGATTTCTCGAATATAGATAAATCCAAATCCTTAAATTATGGCAGAAATTGTCATAGAATGAGAAATGTATTACAACAGAAGATTCGGAAAAATTATTTAATAACCCAGTCGTAGAGCAGTATGGGTTAAAAAATGCGAGTTACTCAAGGCAAAATTCCTAGCAATATTTGTCATTGCAAGTCTGGTTTTAGAGTCCCAGTCTCTTCGACATTTAAGAGACAAAAATAAGTTTTGGATTGTTAAATTGAGCTGTAAATTGTTTTAAACTTTTCTTGCAAATTTAGGTTATGATTAGCTTGTTACTAATTGTAAACTTTGTCCATATCTAAATTTTATGTCATTTAAACAAATTTTATTTTATTAGTTCTATTGAGAATATTAACTGTAACGATTTTAGTTTGCATTGATCAACTAGATGATATTGTAATAAGAATTATTATTATTTGTTTCAGTCACATAAACATTTAGAATAATATTCTGTTTATAATGCATAATTCCAGCCATGTTTTTCTAGATGTTACGGTCCTTTCTTATGCTTTTGTTCACTTTTTAGTGGAAAACAAGCAAGTGGAAGTTTGAGGACTCCAATGAACTTACCCTGGTATCTGTTGCTAATGGAAACGTTCTACGAATCGAAGAGAGCACAGGAGAATGCGTGGCAGATGAACAAGAACCTGAGAACTGTAAGTTAGGCCATGGGAAGTTCTTAAAGCTTTTGAGAAGGAAAGAAAGTCAAAGAGCTCACCCCCCCCCCCATCCTTTCAGGCAAAGGGCATGCTCAGTAATGATTGACTTCGATGCGCGTGCTCGTTCATGGAAAGAACAGTGGTTGGGTCTTTCTTTGCAAAACCATTTTGCTTTGAATTGGCATTTGGTTTGGGAGGTCTCGATAGAGTTGATTAGCACTGCTTTTGGCTCAGATGGTAATGGATTATTTGCACTGCTTTTGGCTCAGATGGTAATGGATTATTTGCAGAAACGAAACGCCTTTTTAAGATGCAGGCTCTAACGGGCAAAGTCGCTTAATTCAAAACCTTTTTTCTCAGTTGCATATGATTTTTTTAGAGAGACACCAGCTTTTGTTGATTTCATTATTTGTCTCTTTTTGTACCATTTACTTCTGCTATGGTAAAACCAAAGCGTGACGAGAAATGTTTTTGGTTTTATGGAGGTGAATTGGTTTTGAAGTTGTTATTTTACTGTGTGCTCTTTTAGGAGAAACTTTTTGTGAGTTTTTTGGGGTTTTTTGGTGGTCTGCGAATTATAGTTTGGCCAAAATAAATCCTTAAGTATCTCTAGAAACTATGAATCAATTTAGAGCCAGTAAACAACAACAGCAACAGCATTATTTTTGTTGCCATCATTCAAGAACCATTAGCTCGAGAATATCAGCTAGAATTGAAAAGACTGGCCTAAGCTAGAGAGAACAGATCACACCTATTTTGTTTGTCAAAATTATCAGCTATCCAGTTGTTAATCAACGACGTTCCAAGTTTTCGTAGCCCATTACATATGCATTTACAAGTGATTGTTTGTCTTGAATGTGAATTTCTTAAACCTTTTTGTTACAGCTATTTTCAATGTAGCTAAAGGTGGTGAATCATCCTCGCGTGTTTTTACTGTAAGAACGAAGGATCATGACTTCAATATGACATTGGATGATGGAACAGTCAGTGGGAGAAAGGTTCGTTGGCATCTGTTTAAATCCTAAATGCGTATACAATTAGTACGCCTGCCTGATCCGGGACACCATTTAAATGCAGCTAACAATGGGTACTTTATCAAACGAAGAGAAAGTAACTGATAGTTGTTTTTAGCTGCAGTTGCGAAATGACTTCGAGACAATAATTGGGTATAGATATGTTGAACAGGCGACTTGAAATCTATCTGCTTTGTTAAGAAAGTAGGAGTCAAAGATGGATATGCAAGTAGGATATGCAAGTAGAAAGTAGGAGATGCAAGAAAAGTAGGAGTCAAAGATTATGATGATGAAAAATGCGACTCATCGATACATTTTAAACGTACTCTTTATATTCTATTGTACAATTTCCACAGATTGAAGATAATTCTATATACTATTCTATGGTCCACCTACAATTTGTTTGGCAAAAAAGTTTGTTTTTGGACTTTTTTTCCTTGTAGTTCTTAAACAATTTTTTCTTTCATGGCAAATGCTATTTCCATCTATCAATATAATGTCGTTTTTATACATTTTTACACCATTACATTAATTAAAAGTAGTACTATGTTTTAAATATTTAATGCTATGCTAACACTTCATATTGATCAATCTATGTTTTATTACAGGGCAACCCAGGACTTCTTTCCGAGTTTTATGTCATCGTGGCTGAAGACAACAGCGTCACTCTTGAGTCTGTTGTTCATAAAGGAGTCTTTGTATCCATATCAGAAGAAGGAAAGGCCCAACCTGGAGATAGCAGTCTTGGCAAAAGCAACAAATTCAATATCTACGTCAAGGTAACATAAAATGTCTTAACAAAACATAATAAAACACAACAAGACATAGCATAACATAACATAACGTAACGTAACGTAACGTAACGTAACATAACACAACATAACGTAACGTAATGTGACGTAACGTAAAGTGACATAAAATGAAAGAAAATAAAATAGCTCAAAAGTAAAATGAACGAAAATAAAATAAAATAAAATGTCATAAAATGTCAAAATGTAAACTTATATAATGTAATATCATGCAATATTTATTATTCGATATTTCATGCGTAATATAAATCATGAAAAGTGATTGAATTTATTGTAATTTTATAAAAAATTTAAACAGTAAGAGTGTGTAAATTTTGCCAACTGATATGAGGTTGGTCCAACTTGTCATCGAAAGTCAAGATGAAATAACAAAAACTTCTTTCAAAAACTGTTTTTTTGCGTTTTGAAATGAGAATCATATTTCGTCTTCCGACAAAATGCTAAGAAATTATCGGGTCGGTTTTTCATATTTAAACCACAAGAAAGACAGTTCTTAAGACCAATGTCTCAATCCGCCATTTGCGAAGATTGGAATTTTTTATTTGCTTAGAGGCTCTTGCGCAACCGGCATGCTTAGCACGAGTTATTTTGAGAAATTGACTGTTTTCTGTATTTTCATATAGTACGATATTAGGCCGGCTCTTTAAGTTGTAGTCGCAAAGCATGCCGGTTGCGCAAGAGCCTTTAATGGGAATCTCTTACGAAAATGAACCTTATTTTCCTCGCGAATTTCCAAAAACGCAAAAATATTCAGAGCCAGTTGTATTTTGCGCATGCTATTCTATATTCTGTATGCAAGCAAGGAAATCATGTTTTTTTCAGGGCACATTTCGTAATCTTGGTCGTGTTAGAATTAGGCCATTCTTAAAGAACCAAGCTGTCATTGAAGAAAATGAGAACTTGTATGGTGATGGAGAGCCGGAAGATGAAAGAGGTATGCATCGTTTATAGCTTGTCTCACAATTAAAGTATTCTGATGACATCACTTCCTGTCATTTTGCTAAGGAAAGCAAAGTGGGCCCTTTTGCGTTTTGTTCTATCAAATGGAAGCAACAGAAAGATTATCTACATTGAAAATGATTCTTTAACAGTGCTGTCGGAACGAAATTCATATTGGGGAGCTGCCCATTGTATCAGTTTTTTGCCTCAATCATTACACTGTTAGAAAAGGAATATAGTACAGTCTGACAGCTATTGGAGGCTCTTTCCCCCTCCACCAACACTAAACCCCCCCCCCTCCTCCCGCTTCCAACGTCCCTCTTTATGTTGGAGACCTACATTGTCTAGTTTACTTTTTGCTGCCTGCATCTTTTGTTATAGATTGCTATTTCTTCTAGTCCTTAGTGGGAGAGACTTATCAGTTGCTTACATTCAAACGACAGTGATTTTTGAGCCTAACCTCATGTATGTTTTCTACTGAAAACAGGTGAATTCGTTGTTCACAAAACTGGTTCAGGGACAAGGGCATTTCAAAGTGCAGTGACTGATAAATTTGTCAGCGTGACAGCTTCAGAAATCTGTTGCAGAGTGAGTATCATAGCAGTGTTTTCAGATATCGTCATTAGAGGGTACAGGCACATGTAGTACTTAATACGTGCATTTTTTACATGCTACTAGGCAAATATTTTTCAATGCAAGTGACGAAGGATGTGAAAACATTTATTCACTCTCTTCAGCAAAGTAATAGGAGCATGTCGGTTATATTCAACGAACAATGACATTAAAATCAACGCATAAGTCAAGAAAACGATTTGCTGTGTGTCTACATCATCAATTCAAATTTTGATTGATAATTGCTGTCTTCCTCTCTTAAACTCAGTGTTTTATGCAGGGCGAGGACAAGAATGATGAGGAATGCCAATTTAGGGTCCACAAAGATAGAAAACGGGGTGTTTTTCGCTTTGAGTCAGTCAAGATGCCAGGGGTGTTCTTTGGTATTTCAGCAACAGGAAGAGTCAAGCATGCTGTTGATGCCGGAGATTCGATTGCCAGTCTAAGTGTCGACATTGTATCACGTGAGTAGAATGCTTCCAGTGCAAGATTATTTTCCAAAAATGCTTCAATTTTCAAACAGACGTTCTCAAAATCATAATAATGATAATAGTATGATAATAATAAAAATGATAATGCTTCTCGAATAATAATAATAATTTTTGCAATAATATTACTTAGTTTTCGAGAACATCTACAAATCAAATTTCTGTGTCCACACAGAATTGACATTTTTCCCCTTCTCAAAAGATTCCACTCTGGTAATCGTTTGAAATGTTTGTTTTTGTCAGTCACAGTTTGTTTTCTACAGTAAAAACCCACGTGGAAGAACCTAGGGATTTTAGAACCTTCCGGCAGAAATTCGTTTTTTTTAATACTCCTAACCATAAGAACCTGGTTAGCCAAACAATTTCCAACGGGTCCTTATATGTGGGGTTTCACCATTTGATTTATATACTTAATTACAAAAAAAGTGACAGAAAATTGAATTTTTGCAATAACATTGAAAATACACAATGTATGTTAAATTTGAACTGTTATTATAACAATTATTGATGCCATTTCATGATATACAGTACTGTATCATTGATCCTTTATATGGGCTGCACTTTCATCAAAGAGGACAAACTAAGCTTGAAAAATCTGAAAAATAGAAAGCAAAAAGTCTGGAATTCTACATAACATAAAGCGCTGGATAATTACCAACTGTGCTTTATAGACCTTTAACTTACTTAAGAAAAGCAATGTATTTTATCTTGTTTTATAGTTGTTTTTAAAAACCATGTTTCTGTTGTAGTTGGAGAAAGGCGTCAAGCTACAACGCCAGATAACGAGCATGAAGATGTTGAACGGCAGGTTTCTTCCGATGTTGAGCAGGCTTCGAGGAGGGGATCAACTGCCTCGCACAGATCTAAAGAAGAAGATCCGGGATACAAAGATGATGAATTCGAAAATGAAGATTCTCGGTCAATATCGAGAGAGAGTGGATCGAGAGCATCAACCAGAGCTTCTTCACGGAGAAGTAGTGCTGCTTCTTCTAGGAGAGACAGTGGGGCTTCTAAGAAAAGTAGATCAACAAGTCGGAGAACTGCATCTCGATCTGGCTCAGCGATGTCCCGGAAATCAAGTGCCGGTAAGGAAGAAGAAGAAAAAGAGAAACATTCAGAAGAAGATGAGAATAACGATGATGATGGGAAAGATGCAGGCAGCAGACCAGGAACTGCAAAATCGAATGCAGAAGATTATTACAAGTCGGAAGATGATGGCTTTGAAAATGATTCTGAGAATGAAAGAGATGAAAATAAGCCAGAAAGTGAAGAGAAAGATGATGAATCAGGTGAATATAAAGAAAGCAATGGGAGTAGAAAGAGCAGTGTTGAGCACTCTTCACCTGAGGAAGATAAGAATCATTCAGGGGATGAAGGGGACAATGACAAGGCCGAGAGAGGGGCCGGGGAAGAAGAGGTGAAGTCCGAAAAGGACGCGGAAGTGCCAGAAAATTCGACTCGTGCTGCTAGTGTTTCTTCAAGAAAAAGTTCAAGTCATGATCGTGAAGAAGACGATCAAAATCTACCGGAGAAGAGCAGCTCACGCCCCCAAAGCACTGCTTCTAAATCTCAGAGTAGACCAACGTCCGCTAAGGGTAATGAAAGACCAACATCAACATCTTCTACGAAAGACGAAGAAAGCAAAGAAGGTGAAGAAGGCACAGGAGATAAGAATGAAGATTTGCTTGGACAAGAAGATGACTTCAAGAAATGGTCTTCAAGGTCGCCAAGTCGCAACTCGATGGGTGAAGATGCTGGCCCTGCAAGTAGACCAGGATCGCATCGTTCCTTGAGGGACGCTAGAGAAGATAGTAATGATAAAGATGGAAAACTTTCACGGCCAGGAAGTAATACTTCACTTAAAAGTACGGAGGATAAAGAAGATGGAGGTGATGATAAGGCTTCAGTGCATGATGACGATTTGGGAGAGCAAAAGGAAGATATTGGAGATGATCCAGAAAATGTTGGGGCGAATTCTTTGAAGGACGAAAATGAGAATGAAGATAAGCCAAATGTCAAAGACGAAGAAGATGCAAATGAACAGAAAAATACTTCCAAAGAAGAAGAAGAAATAGAAACAGGACCCCAGCCACAGTCAATAGAAGGTGGCAAAGAAAAAGAAGAAGAAGAAGCAAATGGAAATGAAGATGGAGAAAAGCATGAAGATGGAAAAAATGGTGAAGATCAGCAGCAAGGAGTCAAAGAAGCAACAGGTGCTGCCGATAAAGAAGGTGAAGAAGGAATTGAAGATGAAAAAAAGCATGAAGATGACAAAAATGATGAAGATCAGCAAGGAGTCAAGGAAGCAGCAGATGCTGCCAATAAAGAAGGTGAAGAAGGAAACGAAGATGAAGAAAAGCATGAAGATGGCAAAAATGGTGAAGATCAGCAGCAAGGAGTCAAAGAAGCAACAGGTGCTGCCGATAAAGAAGGTGAAGAAGGAATTGAAGATGAAAAAAAGCATGAAGATGACAAAAATGATGAAGATCAGCAAGGAGTCAAGGAAGCAGCAGATGCTGCCAATAAAGAAGGTGAAGAAGGAAACGAAGATGAAGAAAAGCATGAAGATGGCAAAAATGGTGAAGATCAGCAGCAAGGAGTCAAAGAAGCAACAGGTGCTGCCGATAAAGAAGGTGAAGAAGGAATTGAAGATGAAAAAAAGCATGACGATGACAAAAACGATGAAGATCAGCAAGGAGTCAAAGAAGCAGGAGAAGCTGCCGATAAAGAAGGCGAAGAAGTAAAACCGAGTGATAATACAGGACAGTTGGGTGAAGATACCGATGGAAATATAGAGAATGAATCAAAGGAGAATGAAGAATCAGAATCCAAAAATGATAGCACAGCTGAAACTGTGGAGAATAAACCTGGTGAGGAGGGTAATAAGGATATTGATAATAAGGATAGTGGCAGGATATCGAGGGAAAACAGTACCGCCAGCTTAAAGAATGGAGTGTCTCGTAAAGGATCCAGCAAGGCAGACAGCCGGCCGTCTTCTCAGAAATCTAAAGCTGGAGTTTATGAAGGACTTATACGTGGGCAATCTCCGCCCCATTCTCGAGAAGGTTCTGCATCATCATTACGAGGGAAGCGCTCATCATCAAGAGGCTCGAATAATTCGGCGAAAAGAAAGGAGAAGAATGACGCAAGCAAGGTTGAAATTAGTAATAAACCTGCGAGCCCTGATTTGGTCGAGCAAAGCAAGGAAGAAGATGTCAAAGAGGATAACAAAGAAGATAATAAGGAGTCTAATGCTGAAAAGCCAAATATTGAAAAGGAAGATGCTAGAGACAAGAAAGAAGCTAATGAAAATGACAATGTAAATGAAGAAGATGAATCCGTAAAGAATGTTGACAAGGAGAATGATAAAATCGAAGATAAAGAAGGAGGCAAGAAAGATGAAGAGACCCCAGAAAAAGAAGATGACAGTGCCAACGGTACAGATGAAAAGAAGAATGAGAGCAAAGATATAAAGGAAGACCAAGAAGTCAATGGCGTGGCCAGTGATGGAAATGAACCTTCCGCTGGAGACGGAAATGAAATAGAAACAAAGAGTAACGAAAAAGAAGAAAAGGAAAGCAATGAGGCAGAGAAGCCTATGGTGCAGTCTGAAACAAAGGAAGAGGATTCAGCAGAGGAGAAAGGTAAAGAAGGGGAAGTAGGTGATAATGAAGAAGAGCAGCAAAATGAAAATGAAGGCAATGAGTTAGGGAAGAGTGATGACAGTGGTGGTACAGTAGAGGAAAAAACCAAAGATGAGAAGAATGACGATGGAATCTCGCAGAACAGTCAAGACGAAGATGTATTGAATTTAAATGAAAATAATGAAGGTAGTGAAGAGGCGCAAGGCGATAAATCTAGCAATGATGAGAATAAGGATCAGACATCAGATGCGAATAAGCCAGATGATAAAGATAAGGACAGTTCTGCTCAGAATGAGAAAACCGGCGATGGCTTGGTTGAAGGAGAGGCAGCAAATCACGAGAAAAAGGATGACGGAAATGTAAATTCTGAGAACGGGAAAGAGGGAGTATCAGACCCTAACAAGGAAGAGGAAAGAAAGAAAGATGATGGTATAAATGAAGGGAATAATCCCAAAGATGAAATTGAGCAAAATAAAGATGGTAGTGATGGACAGCCGGTCAGTAAAGAAGCAGCTGATGAATCACAGAATGACAAAGAGGATCAGGTAACCAATTCAGATGAGGGGCGAAAATCAGGTACCAATACTCCAACAAGCCTGCCAGCAAGCAAAAATCAAACAGCTGCAAATTCACCTATCTTATCGCCAACTCCTCCAAAGACACCGAGAAATTCGTTATCTGCAAGACGGCCTTCTTCACGACTTTCCAATCCAAGTGGATCAAAAGCTGATCTGAGGTCATCGACTAAGCCGTCAAATGCTACTGAGGTAAAAGATGAAGAACATGCAGAAGACTTGAACGACTCTGTGGGCAAAGAAAACGCTGAGGTGAAAGATGAAGAAAAGGCCGAAGACTTGAACAACTCAAAAGACAAAGACAGCGCTGAAGAAAAATCTGAAGGAAAAGAAGCAGAATCAAATGATTCAAATGATATCAACAAGAAAGCTGTCAATGAAGAGAATGAAAGAATGGAGGAGGGAAAGGAGGATAAAGAGAGTTCAAATGAAGGAGATGCCGGTAACAAGACGGAGGATGCAGAGCAAAAAGGCACTGACAAAGAAACAGATGGGGACAGTGGAAGGTCTCTTGAGAATGACAGTAAAAACGCAGAAAGTTCTGTAGAGCATGAAAAAGACGCAGTTTTGAATGATAACAAAGGTGAAAAGGGTGACGCTAAGGAAACTGACGGAAATCGAGATAATGCAATTGAGAATACAAAAAAGGATGACATATCTAAAGGGGCGAGCAATGTCACTGACGAAACACCACAGGATGGAGCTTCGGAGGAGACAAAAAATTAAAAAGACATTTTGAATTTTAATTGCCACATTCTAATGAAGGATCCATCTCTTTTGATAATGTCAGCTGAGACTGAACATCCATTGGGCGTAGTCTAATCAAAACATCTCTTAGGCTGGTGGAATTTGTAGAATTGAAAATGAATAACTCAGGAGTAGATGAGATATCGTATCTAAATTCAACGTAAACAGAAGGCAATTTTGTAATGTAAGATCAGGGATGACTGCGCGTTATTAAGGCAGGAGGGACAACGTTGCCACTGAGGGACGGTGATAGAAATTTCCGCTAAGATGAATGAGTCCTAGGGGGCAGGGGGAAGGGGTACATTATATGTATATTTTGGTCCGGATTTGTACCACCCATACAGTTGGATTTTTGCCAACAAAGTTCCTCAACGTAGACACAATTTTGACGAAAGTTTCCTTTCAAAAGCGGATTGAAAATAGCCTCGTCATTATTCGCAATAAAGAGGTTTATGCGAGTCTTGATTATTACAAATGGGTTTGTTGTAAAATTGCAGTTTCCAGTATAAAGACAGTGCACCTCCATATCAGAAATAGCGGAATATTTCCTAGAAGTTGCCTTTTCTTTCTGGCTCTTTTCAAATTACAAGAATTTCTTAGAAAAAAGGGCGAATTATCCATTCTTTTTCAATTTTGTAATAGAAACTAACGTGACTATAGTAGCCCGAGAAGTAAACTTCTGAAGGTTTTTCTTTACTCAGAATTCTTGCCTTTCAAGGCACTGCTCCAATGTTTTTCCTTGAAGACCACGCACATGAACTGTGAATTTATTTTTAGCTTGCTTTCGCATAATTAGTCTCAAACGAATTATGTTTAGCCTCAAACGTATCCTCCTCTTCTCCATTGTCTCCTTGATACTGAGGCAAAAAGTTATCAAGTTCAATACTATTTGATAGAATCGTTTAACCACGGCTGTAGCGGATATTAACCCTTAAAAGGGCTTTAATTGTTTCACTGAGACAAATCTGGCCGAATATTGCGCCTGAAATACGATTAATTTTCGCCTGTTTAGAGGGTGCTGCAGCTCCCCCAGCCCGCATTTCTCATACGCCTATTAGTGTAAATGAGGCTAATCGAATAACCTCATAGTCATTTTTGCGATTTAGGTCGTATCCTGTGAAAAAAAAGAATTTAGGCCACTATCTTACGTCAAACGATCATCCTTGTTGCTTATATCCTACAACGAGATTTACATAAGCTTGTTAATATTCCTCAGCAAGCAGGTATTCTTTACTGTTGTAAATGAATCTATCAGAAATGGGTGTAAATAATATAATAGTTTTCAGAATAAGATTAAATTGCAATTGATATAATAACAGTGACTGTTGAAGACAATATAGACTTGCAATATTAGATTAAACAACACGGAGAGTTTGCCTGTAAACTTTATCCAATATTTCGTTGTATTTCTCAGGGTTAAGATGGTTTTATGTAAAATATTTGTGTGGTTTCTTTCGCTATGCAGTTAAAGATGTCAATACTTTAATAAAATATGCAACCTCTATAAGAAATTATTTTTTAGTCAGATCCCTGCTATAGACTTATATAAAAAAACGAGTAAAGACAGTCATAAGAAAACTTCAGTATAAAAAACAAAAAGTTAAAAACAATTGAATTTTTGATAGGGCAAGAACTCAGCAACTTCCTGATGATCCATCAATATGACCCGCTTATAATAGGATTTACAGATAATGATTTCGACTTTTCAAAATACTTTGTCCTTAGAGCAACACTTGAACATGCGGTTTTTGACGTTTCAAAGAGCCTGGCCCTTAGTAAGTTTCCCTTGGACGCCATGTTTGTTTATTTCAGATTTTGGCAGTGACAGTCTCAAAACCGTTCTGCTACCTTCTCCGAATCCCGACTAGGAAACTTGGAAGGTGATGGGGCCGTGCGGAAAGATTTTTCTCACCCTAACCTCTTCCCATAAAAAATTACCAAAGGTATACCCTGTCCTATGAAAAGCATGCCATAAATACGGGAAAATTATATGAAAATGTACCAGATTTCGTGATATTTACAGCTAGCAAATGAAACATACTCATTCTCGGAAAACTCTAAAATCAGAGTATGATGGCTATACCACTGGTTAAATTTAAGGATTTCTTTCTAAAAATGTTCTTTTTCAAACATACAAGAAAAATGTATTTTAAAACTACATATCTTTACATCAAGATGTTGAAAATAGTCTCAGGTTCTCCGATTTTAGTTTATCACAAAATTTTAGTTGTTAAACATAAAAATTGGCCCAGATAGCTTTCGAGCCAAAAGATCTGCCCAAAATATTGAAAAACCCTTGTAAGTCTAAATTTGAATGTGTACCCTGGCTGAAACTAACGTAATGGGGGACAGTATCACCGGGGAAATTCGGCTATTGAGGTACATGGGACGTGATACAAGACAAAATGTTACCGATTTATCCAATTAAAATTACATATTAGTTTCAGGATCGCCTGCAGAATGTTTATATGACCTGTTTCCAGTGGCGGCGCCAGCTACTGCATAGTGGGAGGGTAATGGTCGTTGCCAGCGAGACCACGCCCCTTTTTCCTTGTTTCAGTGCATTGTACTAGCATAATATTTCTTAGGAAATATTATCTACCCCTGTCTAGCACCTTCTGATCAATTTCTAGAAGAAATGTGTGGACCATGTTTTGACAAAAGTGGGGGGGCTAATTAGCACCCCTTGGCGCCGCCACTGCCTGTTCCGGCGTGGTATCGGAATGGTATTAAGCATGCCAAAGATTCCTATGGGCATACTTTCGCCTGTGGGGTCTCGCAACGAATCGCCATGCTCCATTGCATCCATTGCTGCTTCTGTCTATTTTAACCCCGAGGGATTCCTTAGAAGCAAATTTGAATTCGCGTTTGAGTGTATTCAAATTCAGCTTCATTTGAGTGAACAACTTCACTGAGCCAGGCATGAATCTGTCAACAAAAACATCAGCCTTTTCGCTTCTATTGGCAAAAGGTTTCGTGGAAACAAGAAGGTTTGTTTAAATTTTCTTACTAACTAACTGAATATATAAAGCACTACGTATTTTAAAAGTTGAGCGTAAGCTGCATGCCGCGCATTTTTTTACAATATCCTTGCCCATAATGTTTAGCAGAATATGTTCCTGTTTTTTCTGCTCTATTGATATCAAGATGTCCAGTATATTTATTTTTGTATTAGTATTTGTTTCTACCTAGCATCCGAAGGTAGTTTTTAGGACACTGAGAAGCTTATGCTTATCGAGCAGTGTCTTGGTCCTTCCTCTCGAGGTGACCACACCTTATGATTCCTACGCCTGGAGTTACAGAGATATTCAAACATGAAATGCTAAATATTCATTTCTTGTACAAATTCGTTACTTTATTGTATCAATTTATGAAATACCCTCCGCTTTCATACCGACCTATTGGCGCTTACCCAATGTTTATACATCTCTCCAAATTTAAGACTATTCTCCAATTTAGGCCAAAGCCACAATAATTAGAAATTGTTACTTTACACATCATCCATTATTTCTCTACAAAATATCTAAAGGAAACCTTTAATCCCCTAAAGATAAAATTATCTCAAACACCAATCGTTTATAAAAACAAAGATTTGTTTCAATGCAGAAAGTTCTACTGCAAGCATAGGCCTATCATTTTCCCTGTTAGTCAATTTTGTAGTGCATTAAATTCAAATTAAATTCACCCGCCCGATTCATTGGCATAAACTTAAGACTTCTGGCAATGTTCTTAAAAACACCACCATGCTTTGTTCATTCAGAGATTCAGAGTTAAAATGAGGTCTTTACACGGCCTCGGATTTTATTTTTTTGTGTCTATGAGAATTTGAAACCTGAAACAAGAAATACATTGAGTTAAGCTTTGCCTTTTTAGCTAGTATCCCCTCCCTTTGCTTATAGTATTTATATACTGTTTAAGAACCATTCAACTTCTCCTTCTAGTGTTCCGAATGGAGACTGTTTTCTTCTCAGGACAAGACCCAGAATACGAAATGAATTCAAACCAGTGACATTGCTCTTAAGGTTAGTTCACTTTTTCAACAATGACTGATTATAAAGAGGCTAACCAGAATTTCAAAAAAATAGGAGGGCTAACAGCAAACATCCAGATGAAATGTTATTGACGGAAAATCTTGCTTACCCTAAACTATCGCTTTAGCAATGACTGTTTGTGACTGATTTAGACAAAGCGAATATTTTGAGATCTTCACTTGGTTGATGGCATGAAACCCATCGTCTGGGATTTAATCTCACACAGGGCGTTCTTCTGAAACGGGGTATAGTACTAAGAGGGCGCGAGGGTCTAAACTTGCTTTTCAAAATATAAACGGTTGCTTATAACGCAGATCATAGACAGTTAAAAGTCTGCTCGGGTTTACTGACAAGTCAATGCCAAGAGTTGGCCTTCCCCCCCCCCCCCCAACCTTCTGTCACCATAGAAGGAGTCGCTCGTGATTCTGATTGGCCTATTTCGCCAATACTTATTTACAACCAGAATTGCAATCATAGATGTGAAGAGATATCTATTTCAAACTTAAACTTCATCTACTGTCCCGAGCAACCTAAATAAAGTTAAATTCTCCATGGCCCCCACTTTGCTTGCTAATTATAGTTATCAAATCCCCGTTCAAGTGTTAAGTAGGTAGCCACCCTTTTTGACCCCCCCCCCTACTTTAGAATCGGTGGCGCTGGCCCTGTATCAAAGGATGTCAAATGTTCGTATCACATACTAATAATTGCTACTGAAGAAGACATAAGGAAACATTCATGACCGAGAACGATGTGTAAATTTGCGCTGAACCACCATATGTCTAGTGCTTAAACCCTTGTAGGAATAGAGAAATAGAGAGCCAAAGTGTGATGTCATAAGAAAGTTATTTTTTAGAATTTCTTAAATTTGACCACATAATCTGAAAGACGTCTTAACATGCAAAATCATTCAGATATGTTCAAAATCGGGTAAGATAAGGCCAATGAAAGATTTCAATTTTGCTAACGGATTGTTGTTATTCTGGCCTGGTTCATACAGTTGTGAACTAAGACCAAATTGCCTAGGTTTGACGGGAAAAGAGCTTACAAAGGTGTGCTAGTGTGGCCATCGCACAGCCAATTTGCTACACTTTCGGCTGTTTTGCGCATTTGGAGGTATTATATAATGCTCTTTTTTTATATGTGTTCAAATTTGAAAAATTCAAAAAATATATTTTTGTGACGTCATCACTTTTGTACTCCATTAGCCAATCAAATAGTGCTAAAGACCAATCAAAACAATTAAAGATTTTGATCAAAAGAGACCGATTTTCATAAGCATTATCTATAAATGCAATTAGTTCCCTACTAGAAAAATTAATTTTTTTTCAATGCTAAATTCAACGTCTCAGCACTTTGAATTTAGGCAATAACTCTTTCTGTGTAGCAAAGATACCTTTTGTCTTTAACAAAATTAAAATCATCAAGTCTTAAACTTTAAAATGCCTATAATTTTTTATCTAGTAGAGCTATATGCATGTCTACATACCTTGCTGTGCACCATCATAACATTTTATCTAGCTGCACCTGCGCCATACCCTTGCAAAAGATCTTACCCTTTCAGTTTGTTTTAAAAAATCTATTGACTGTATACGACATCTGTTATGGTAGAGTAGCCGAAAAAGGATCAATCCCTGCCAACCTTTTCGAGTAGCTTTAGGAATTTGCATGGGAAATTTCCCTTCTTCTCTACCCCGACCCTTCTCTAATAATGCCTAATTTTACTCTGTACAAACACTCCAATACCTGCCATTGTAGCTTCCCCGCACGGAAATCAAAGAAAGTAAACTAGGCTTCATGATTTTGTATTTTTCGTTTTCAGAAAACATCGAGGACTTAGTCATTTCAAACTTAAAATGGTCAAATGTCAACATGTTATCTAGGTACTGTGTTGCTGCAAATAACATTAATGCCGCGTCTCTTCGGTGTATGAGTTAAGAGAGTTCTCGGCTATCCTTGCTCCCCTGTCTCCGAGTTCGTTCTTCACCATAATATGACTTGAAGATGGTAATTTTCCAATACCCCTTTCCATGCATAGCGGCAATAACAGTGCCAAGCTGACAACAAGACCACCACAAAATAGGATTACAAGCCCTGCAATGACAAAGCCGTCCCTCTCTTCATATATGTCGCTCAATGATTTAGACTCCTTTTCAAAACGAGACAAATCCGAACTATTTTTCATGGTCATTGTCATATTTTCACTGACATCGGATGACAACGAAAGAAAAAGTGAAGGTAGAAAGTAGCCATAAACGGTGCACAGGGTGCCAATGATTATCAAGGCGACACTAAAGGATAGGGCAAAAAGCGTATTGCTACCCCTTGCACAATAAACAGAGCAACATTGCTGAGCTAATGATGGCTTGTCGTAACGATTTTTGTATAATTCTTTGTGGTAGCCAAAAAGTAGGCCAACATTTTCAGTGTTTTTCGTACTCTGCCCTTTCTGTTCCATTTTCAATTCCCAAGTGTATATCTTC